AACGTGATAAAGAGGTGAAGTGTCAACAATCGATGTTTTTCAGCTTAACCGTATAAAACAACATGAAAACTTTCTATAGAAATTGTAAGAGAATTCTCATTGACTAATAATTTTCACTCGTGGAATCACGAATGGCAAAGAATATGTATGCTTATTAGGACAAAATTCTGTACCGAGAGATGAATCTGTATTTTTTTGAAAAATAGTCCGATTTCTCAAAGATAATTCAGTGTTTCCGTTTGTGAAACTTTGTGGGTCGAAGAGAACGAATAAACATTTTGCAAATCGTGCAAACGATCACATTTTCTAATACTATATGAAAATCAGAGGCAGGAATCCTATTTATTACGAGGTCCAGCTATTAAATAACGAGACTGGTTAGAAAAAAGAATTTTATTATGAAAATAATTCTACATTCGAATGCTCCCCTTCAATATACTCCCCTCACCTCGCCTCACACCTTTCCATATGTTTCTTCCATTGATTCAAGCAGTGCTGGAAGTCTCTTTGGTGAGAGCCTTTATGAGCTCTGCTATTTTTGGCTTTACCGCTTTCATCGACTCAAATCGAGTCCCTTTCAGAGTATATTTTATCTTTGGAAACAAAAAAAAGTCGCACGGTGCCAAATCTGGCGAGTATGGCGCGTGGTCGAGCACTGGAGTGCGTTTATCGGCCAAATACCGTTTCACAGATAGCGCGTTATGGGCAGGTGCGTTACCCTGGTGCAAAATTCACGAGTTGTTCTTCCACAACTCGGGCCGTCTCTTACGAACTCGTTCTTGTAGTGTTACCAAAACTGACAAATAGTAAGTCTGGTTGACAGTCTTACCCTCTGGAACCCATTCAGTCATTACGATACCGTTATTGTCGAAAAAAACGATCAACATTACCTCGAATTTTGATTTGGACATCCTTGCTCCTAATCCAGTCATTTAAGCTTAAATTAGGTAAGAATCTCGGAATTCGAGATACCCAGCTGTAAGTCTGTAAATACTTGTATATTGACACCCCAAAAGTTGTCTCAAAACCGACATATGGTAGGGTGTAAGCAACTATTAAATTTCAAGGTCAAAGGTCACAAAAATCGATTTTTTGCGCTTTTTTTGGAAATATCTCATTTCCTATAAGTTCATCAACTATATATGGCGCGTTTTCGACCGGAGGCACCGGTTGACCTGAAGTGATGCTGTGACCGCGTGCTTTCCGCCCTCTATCTCGAAAACGGTTCACCGTATAAAAAATTTTTTCAAACAATATTTGTAGAGAATTTTGTATTCTACAATATTGATGATAAATACAAATAGCAAAAAACCCATAGGAAATGAGATATTTCCAAAAAAGCGCAAAAAACCGATTTTTGTGACCTTTGACCTTGAAATTTAATAGTTGCTTACACCCTACCATATGTAGGTTATTATTATTATTATTATTATTATTATTGAGAATTGTCCCCTTAGGCTTCTAGCAACGATTTTTAGCACTCAGTCGGAGTTTCTTCAATTTAACGAGGAAATTGAGATTGATACGTTGCTTCTGTTTTTCGTCACACGTGTTTTGGTGCGTGAATAGAGAAGATTTTCAGATACCCAACGCGCTACTAGTTTTTTCCCCACCCCTCTAGGGTGACCTCTAGACGCGCAGTCTCGTTATTTAACAGCCGGACCTCGTATACTTTTTGGAACCGTTTGATTTCATCATTCGGTTTCAACAAGGACATGTATAGGATTTTTACGTCAACAATCGCTCAGAGATATTATATATTTCTTTGAAACTATCCTTCATGTTTTACCCAATATGAATTCAAAGAATATTTAAACAAATCAAAAAGGCACTTTTAGTCTTGGGAAGTCCCCGTACAGTGGTTTTTCCGTCAACAGGTGAGAGAAATTATGTATGGCGGTTTCAAAGAAATGTTCAGGTAGCTGCTTTTTCAGTTTGTGGGTTTTTGAATGGACGTCATAGACATTTTTTTCTGAGTATATTGAATGATACTTTTCCAATTATTAAACTGCAACTTGTTTTTTGACAGGAATATTGAAGAAATATGATGTTTTTAAGAGTGTAGTTGAAAAAAATCGACTAGCGAATTCGAATACACGACGTACACGTAGTAATCCTTCCCATACATACTTTTTTGTCATGACTATTCCTGAAGACGCTTTTTTATTTCGAAGACGAAACACAATCACTATAGGAAATTCCTTAAGACGTTCTAAAAGCGGTGCCTGTGCGAAAGTAGCGATTCGCGTTGGATTTCAATCGCTGGAGATTAAATTCATTTGAGAAGCAGCCTTTGCAAATCCAGCGACATGACTGTGTCAAGACATGTTGATGTCCATTTCAACCCCTAACAAACTTATTGAAGCAGAAAGCGGAATTGTCTGTCCTGACATTAATATATTCGGTTCGGTATCCTTTTGGAGAAAACAGATGCCTAAATTTTCGTAGCATTGAGTTGAACCAGGTTAATTTCACACCAATCCAAAAAGAATGACAAGTGTGCTGTCTTCAGCAAAGAAATATATTGAATTTTTGTTTTTTTCCAGTTGATATACAGTAAAAAAGGGTTGACGACAATATGGATCCCTGGGGAACACTATAATCTTCAATTTGATTTGTAGGAATCGATATTATTCTTCAGTTGATATCATCTTCATTTTTTTGCATTTCACCGGTCAATATTTGATTCATTCATTGATTATTTTGGATCCTGTTGACTTTTTGCCCTTAATATTCATTACAACTTCTTTACCTATTGCATTCAATTTTTTTGAAAATGTAAGGAGGTTTCTACAGTTTTTTTCACGAAACATATAATGTAATTGGCTGATAATTCTCAGTAGCTTCTTAGGAAAATCAATCCAAAAAAGCAACTCTTTAATATTTTCAAAAACGTTTAAGTTGAATAAATTGAAAGAGGTATATTTTTAGGAGTGGTTGATTTTTTTCAGAAGAAATGTTTTGGGTTTCTAGTTCTCCATCTTCATACAAATAAGGTGTGGAAATCTTCCAAAGAAAGGGAGGAATCAATTATTTTCAAAATTAACTCTATACAAAGACACAAACGCTAACTTGACAAGTTATCTTTTTAGTTTGTTTTGTATATGTATTTTGAGTAAAGCTCAAAAAGCACAACAACATCTGCATGAAGCTGTGGGATATGTAATAATATCTCATCGACTGTTCAGATACATTTCCATAAAGACATTGAAGGTACGATCTAAAGAACTGTCATATTTTCATGGACTGACACCTATCAGAAAACACCTACTCCCCTGGCTAATACCACAAAGGGCGTTGGATTATATCCGACAGGTGTCAGTGCAGCATTCTCACAGAAGAATATGCAACTGCCGGAGTCGACTTTCAAATATTGGAACGAGCACACTCGCAAACCGGTTTCGGGCTATTTGGTCTCTCGTCAGTGCAAAGTAGTACAAATATAATACAATACAATATCTTTAGTCCTTAAAATGATCACTCCACAATGATATAGGAGTCGTCAATGGTAAAAAACATGAAATGTATATAAACATTAGTACTTACAACAGTGTTACAAATAGGTAATGCCGGACATGATATTAATTGTTGATTGGCGAATGTAGATATTGAAAATATTCATTAATATTGTAAAAACAACCATCTACAAGATATTTTCTGATTCTCCGTTTACTACTAATAGGCCGGAAGGTAGATATTTGGAAATTTTGGAACCCGCTAGAGATGGCGTCTTTTCGAATAATTTTGTAGGATGTTGTTGTAGTTTGATTAAATTCCCGTTCTCTGTTGCGTAATTATGACATTGAGAGTTGGTTTTTTTCACAAAGAGCAGACAGTTATAAATATAGAGAGAAAATACTGTTCTTCTTCCTTTGCTTGGAAACCTGGTCTACATGAATCAGTGTGACGTAGATTGTGAAGCATACGAATTATTCGTTTCTGAGCAACAAAGACCCTGTTAATATTTGTTGCTTCTCCTCCTAAGACCACATTATAAGATAGAACAGAATTCACAAGAGCATAGTAAACATCTAGCAGTTGTTCTTCACTCAGTATTTTTTTAAGCTGCATTAAGGCATAGAAACTGCCATTGAGTCTTTTACTTACGTAGTCGACTTGAAATTGCCAATTCAATGAGTGGTCGATGTGAACTTCTAAAAACTTTTGTGGATTCTGAAGGGTATATATTTGTGTTATTTATAATAACGTGTATGCGATGTTCCACAGATATTCTTGGAGAAAACTTTACCAATACTGTTCTGCATTGACCATAAGTCTATTTTGACTTATTACATTCAATTTTTCTTGAAGTTCCGAAGGACTTCTGCGGAAATAAAAGTATCATCGGTAAAAAAAACTATCGAAGTAGTGGCGTTATGTTGTGGTAAATCATTTATGTATAGTAGAAACATTAATGGTCCCAAGACTGAGCCTTGTGGAACTTCAACTTCCAAGTCATAAATATTCGAGTTTACATTATCCCATTCTCTGTACATCTTTCGAAACTTCATGTAAGACATAATCCAAAATAGAAATTTACCTTGAATTCTCATTGCACAAAGTTTCTTGGCCAGTAAATTGAAGTTTATAAAATCAAAAGCCTTTGATATATCGAAGAAGAGTGCAGCCAAAAACTTTCCTTTGTCAATTTCTTCATAGATAATTTCCAAGAAAGCTGTAGTCGCACTACAGCTTTCAATCAAACAAGGGATCATTTCTTTTCAAGAACAATTTTTCCTACTTTCAAAATATCTGCATATCTAAAAGGCAAGTCTTCACATACCAGTCTTAAAGTATGTCCACTCACTATAGGTGAGGAACATATTTGTTGTTCACTGTTACCTTATGTTTCCCTGGAATGAATAACCGGCGATTCATCTTGTAGATGATAGATTAGTCAGTGACTATCAAGACAAAACTACATCTAGGCCCCCTTGTTTGGCTGTCCTAACTGTTGTCTTGTCACGTTGGTGAGAAACTCATCATTTCTTTTTTTCCAGATACCACCAGAAGATGTCCTCCAACATAGACTCGCCAGAGAAGAATAGCACCGCCTACAGCCAAGTTCCAGTATCGGAAAACGACATGTTAGAAACGAGGTATGACGACAAGCAGATCGAAAGCAAAAACCTGGTTGACTCTTCAGAAAGTGAAGAAGCTTCCTCCGGCGATGCCGAAGTAGTCATCCCTCCTGACGGGGGTTGGGGCTGGGTGGTAGTCCTCGGCTCCTTCATGTGCAACGTCATCGTTGACGGGGTGATTTTCTCTTTCGGCACCTTCCTCGAGGACATTGCAGAAGAGTTCAACGTGACGCAACCGGAAGTGGCGCTCGTGGGATCTTTGATGTCAGGATTTTACCTCATAGCTGGACCTTTCGTTAGTGCCATTGCGAACCGTTATGGGTTCAGACTGGTTACCATTGTGGGTGCTATCATTGCTGCGGCTGCTTTCGCGATATCGAACTTTGCGAGTAGCGTTCTGTTTCTGCATATTTCTTATGGAGTCGTAGGAGGTGAGTTCGATTTATTTTACATCTATAGTGGAACTTATATCCAAAAAATACTCCAAAATTTCTGACCTGAAAGACTGAGAAGGGTTTAAATGAATGAGTCCTCTTCCGTATAAACAATCGACACAAACTATCAATATCAAGCTTACTAGACGTAGCTTAGACCAAGTGCAACATACGTTACATTGGAGATTAAGATCAGTAATAAAAAATAATTTGAAACCTGCATTGTCTGAAATTCCAGATATGTTGGTGTTTATTCAGAATTTTGGATTGGTTCAAACTGTATAACAATTTTCCATAACATAACATAACCAATATTACTGGAATTTTATCCCATCACCAAACCGTTATTTTCAACACCTCGAAACGTGTTTCAATCACCAAGTGATCATCTTCAAGAAGAAGAATAAACTGATTTAATCTTCCTCTTCCTCAGTTCAACCTTCCTCCCCTTCAGTTTAATCTTCTTCCTCCTCAGTTTGATCTTTCTCTTGAAAATGATCACTGATTCAATATTCCTCTTCTTCAGTTTGATCTATGTCTTCCTCAGTTTAATCTTCCTCTTTTTCAGTTCAATCTTCCGCCTCCTGAGTTTAATCTTCACCTTGAAGATGATTACTGATAAAATTCTCTTCTTCCTCAGTTCAATCTTCCTTTTCCTCAGTTTAATCTTTCTCTTGGAAATGATCACTGATTTAATATTCCTCTTCCTCAGTTTGATCTTCCTTCTCCTCAGTTTAATCTTCGTCCTCTTCAGTGTAATCTTTCTCCTTCTCAGTTTAATCTTCCTCTTGGTAGTGATCACTGATTTAATCTTCCTTAGTTTAATCTTTCTCTTGAAGATGATCGCTGATTAAATGTTCCTCTTCCTCAGTTTAATCTTCCCCTTCCTCAGTTGTATCTTCCTCTTGAAGATGATCACTGATTTAATCTTCCTCCTCCTCAGTTCAATCTTCCTCTTGAAGATGATCACTAATTCAATATTCCTCTTCCTCAGTTTAATCTTCCTCTTTCTCAATTTAATCTTTCTCTTGAAGATAATTACCTGGTGATTGTAACACTTGTCGAGGTGTTGGGATAAACCTCTAGTAATATTCATGACTACACCAAGGTTTCTATTTGTCCTGATAAATTGACCATAATACCATTTACCAAGAGAAGCAATGAAGGGAGGAAAACCTCTTAGACTTTGATGTGAAGAGATGAAGCTATTAGGAAAGGGTTGATAATTTGGAAGTGATACCAAATTTCAAATTGACCAGGAGTCACTTTGAGACAGGATAAAAAAGGTTGAGGAAACATTGATGCTGGTCAAATTTAAGTTAAGATATGGATGCTGAAACCTATGGCAACCTATGCTTTTTGTATTTGACTACTAGAGATGAACTGACCGTTATTAACAAACTAGGCAGTGTAAAAAAACTTGGATGTTCCAATTTAGACTGGAATCGTAATCGAACTACAGGAGATCGGACAAAATTGAAACTCCAGTACATTAAAAGGAACAAACATAAGACAAATTTCATGTTAAAAATCATGTTCAGAGGACATCTGAACAAAGGAAAGAGAGCTAGTTCTACAATTGACGGAGACATTAGCTGCAAGTAGAGGGACAGAGCAGCTCGCCATAGCTTATGCAAATATGTGACACTGAATCAATTTATGAACAACGCGATTCACGTCTAGAAGAATATATAACTGAGTCTCATCATTTTTTCATTATTACTGCATTTTTTATTACGTTGAAATGCCAAGAAAAAAATGAAGATTTCGATAAGACCACTATCAGGATTACATCTGAAGATGGTTTACCCATCTCAAATTATTCAACTGAATAGTTTGTTCTTATCTTGTCACTTTGAAGAAGAAGAGTCATATGAACGTGAAGGATTCAGTAGTAGTGCAATAAATATTTTCTGGCGCCAGACAATATAAAAAATAAATTGGAATTGTCACCACTTCGTGAACAAAGAATTGACTTGTGAATTTGGGCTCGAAAAACACATGTGTCACAGCATTCTTGTCGTACCAATGTTTTCGTTATTCTACGTACCTAGTACAGAGACTCCTGTTTTTATTTCCTTGTCAACAAACAATTTTGTTGAGCCTATTTTGGTATCGGTCCATCGGTGTCAGATGCTAATGTGGATGCTTTTCAAACGGTATTCCGCTGATTGTTTGTCAAAGACTCACAGGACAGATTTATGGAGGTTGAATGCACGAATGCACATGGATATTAATAAAGAATACGGAAATAGAGTGAAGAATTTCGTGAGCCAAATATAGGAGTGGAGATTCCTTGGAACACGGCTTTGTTTAAGCCCTGTTGGAAATGAGATCTGATTTATTTTAGGGGATTGAAGTCGGGAGAAATGTTTATGGTTAAGCTTGAGACAACCGAATGTTCAAAGTTGAACAGTGGAAATGAAAAAAATGTCTTAAATTCTCCAGACTATAAGCCAGTCCTCAGGGTAATCCAAAGTTGTTTAATTGAGAGTGTATTAGTATCTTACAAATTATAGGAGTTACAAGGTCGGTCAAATTGAGTGAAAGTTCCCTATTCACGGATATTATCTATTGATGAAAACAGATCTGGAATATCATGTTCGTTTCCGGAGATATTGTTTTGTTTCTGTTGATATTATTTTTGAAACTTTTAAAGAATGTAACTGGGCTCCTATTTCAGCCGAGCTTGGTTTAGCTCAATTATACTTGGAATGAGACGTTTCATATTCACTAGGCCACCCATAATGATATAATAATTTTTGAATACGGACCTGGGCAGATCACGTTTTTCGTTACTACTTTTTTTTCTGAATACATTGACATTTGACAAAATACTACCCAACAGAGGTTTTTGGCTAGTTTGACAATGATTCAAGCGAAATTTCTTACTGGTGAGCATTTTTTTGAGATCTGTCTACAGCCAGTAGTCGCTGGGAGCCAAATCTGGCGAATACGGTGGATGTGACACGAATTCGAAGTTCAATTCATGTGGTTTTGTGTTGATTGACTTGTGGCAAACATTTTTTCGTTGCCATGCGGTCGTTTCTTTGTAATTTTGGCCTCCAAACGCTCCAAGTGAAGTGATGGATCCATGTTCAATCCATTGTTATTTTTAAAAATGACCAAACAGTGCTCAGAATCATCAAGACGTTCTTGTTTTTGGTCAACAGTGAGCTACGGCGGCACCCACTTTTAACAGAGCTCCCTCTTAGTCAAATACTCATGCAATATAAAGCTAACACGTTGTTTTGATACCTTTACAATCTCAGCCAACTCACGCAATTTCACTTTTCGATCATTCAAAACGATTTTGTTGATTTTGTTATGTTTTCTGGTGTTACTGCCTCATTTGGACGTTCACTGCGTTCTATATCATCCGTGTCTCTACGACCACGTTTGAAGTTAGCAAACCAATGATTAATTTTTGTTTCTGATGGAGGTATTAATTATTCATTGTTCAAACTATCCTAGACTAACTGGTGTCTGTATAGGTAATTAATAATGCTAACAAAATTTGCACCGTGTTGAATTTACAATCTTCACTTCTTATTATTTCTTCTTTGTTGGCTACTATGTACCATTAGTGTCAACGGTCAGTTTTCCGTTAAATTTACTGTTTGAGTTGGCTACCTATGTATGTATCATTAGTGTCAGTTGTCATATGTATTTGATATTTATATTTTCCACCTTTTAGTTTTTTTTGCTGTTTTCGTCGTATCCGGTTTGCATTTGGTATTCTCAATATTTAGTATTCGTAATGGCGTAAACAAATAACACAATCACTGACATTAATGACAAACAGGTTAGCCAACTCAGAAAAATACATTTCCCCCAAATGAAGTTCTTATTCGCTGTGGTCCATTCTGTGTATATTAGAAAATACGTTTTCATAGAACCTATCTATATTTGATAATGATCTACGCTTGATGTGAAACATAATACTCCAATATGTGACCCACGACCATAAGTCTTTCAAAAGTAGGTATAATCGTGAAGAATATATTCTGAGAATTTCACCTGAGGGGTCAATTTATTGGAGAGGTGCCGCCCACTCTCTTGAGTTTCAAAATGAAACGTACCTGCTGGGTATGTCTTGTACGATTTGCTGGTCACACCGCCAATATTTCATAATGATAATAGAGACAGCTATTGAAAATTTACCTGAAGTTCGATTTCAACATTCGAAACTATCACACAGAAAAAAGTTATTGATGCAAATCAATTTTAACTCGCTTGAACAAATTTGCAACTTGAATAAGGCGAAATTAAACTATTATTTGAAGTAGGTTGTTGTTTTTGTATCAGTTCATGAATGAAACAGGCGAAATGCAAATCTCTTCTCCTTTGCATTTTCAACCAAATCAATTGATTTACTGAAGGGGTCACATGATCTCTGTAATTCAGGCTGAATATAAATCTAATGCTCGCGTTTTTTTCTTTCTGAGAATAAGTCTCAACCGTTGGGGAAATCCTGCCGGTAAGTTAAAAAACCTTCCATTTGGTCTCTCGAATTCTGAGTCGTCAAAGGTCAATGTAATTAATAGGCAAGGGAATGTCCGCTGTAAAAGAATACAAACGAATCTTTGAAATGACAATGATGAAATATCTTCAACTGTTGCACGAAGTTAATGCGAAATAATTACCTAATTAGAGCTGTACCCGGATACTTGAACAGTGAGAGGAGATTGACTGTCTTTTTTAGAATCAAACTATTCATCTGAGTTTGTGTTTCTTGGCTTTATGACTTGTCCATTCAAGATTAATTGAAAATAAACGACTACTTGTTTCTTCATATGTTGCTTAATGAGCGATTGTTCATAGAATTAGGGAAAAATCTCTTAATTTCTAACCTATAAACTGTAAATAATCTGATTCTGATTCCTTAGCGAAGACTTGAATTCGATCAAACACAGGTAGATTTATATCTATCGAATTTAATAATTTTTTGTATGGAATCCATCTCAGATATTTGAAAAAAAATGTTGGTCAATAACAGGGTTGATACGTGTTGAATTACTCTATATGTGACGAAATTGGCCAACTCATTGAATTTCCGCATTAGAAAACAGATTTAGCAGTAGGAAAGAACTCAATTCAAGTTGGTCATTCAGTAATTTTTTTTAATTCCAAAAGATTGAGTTTGAAACATTTCCTCTCCCAAATATAATACACCATATGGGATTGGTCTTCTCATTCAAGAAAATACTCCTATGTTCTTTCATTCTTTGAGAAAAGGTTCTCCCCGTATGACCAATATAAAGTTCTGCACAAGAACCACGAGTCAATTCAAGTACTTCTGATCTATCTGACACTAAAGTAATGTTATTTTTGTTAGGCTCTCTTAATATCGATAAGGTTCTGCTCAGTAGATGCGCGTTAGAAGACGATCAAGGAGAGCGCTCAGTTGCATTAAAGCTGTATTCAACGGCATATTATTGGGAAATAATGGAAGTTGTACCTTCAACAGATTAAACAGATTTCGGAAGCTGAATGTCATTATTCATACCTGGATTTACAAGCAAATGAATCCATGTCAACTATTTTCGCCCCGGTGCAGAGTGAACACATTTAGTGTGTCCTATTTTTGAATGAAAGTAAATGAATGAAAATAACTTTCAGACCGTCGGGTCGAATGTGTCCCTGTTACATGGTCTAGAATGAAGAAACTCGCCGAGTATATAATAATGATGTGGTTTATATTCGCTAGTGTCGTGATGAATGAAAAACCGGCATCCTTCAGAGGAAGGGGTACCTCGAGGTTCGGATTTGAGGCCCCTATCATGATATATGTATTTTCGGTATGTAACCTTGTACAATCTGAAAAATCAAATTCAATAAAGAATCTGCTTTAGTGTGAAGAGCAAAAAGAAGAGAGTAATAGTAATAGTAACCACTGTAGAGTATAGTCGTCTTCACAAAATTTGCCTTTGAATTGAATGATCTATGGAGAAAAAAATCATGCATTCAGCTTCATTTAAATGGTTGACGTTTCCGAAAAAAACTCTTTTTCCGTTTTAAAACCTCAAAAAATGCATTTGTGAAGAACTTCTCAATTGGAAACACAGCTTTATCACATTGTGGATGCCTAAATATCCTAAAATCAACAAGGAACATTGACTGCACAAAAAAATGTCTGTCAGATAATACTGTTTGATGTTTCATTTATTAGAATTTTTGTTTCAGTTATTATATTGAATCTTTGCAGGTGATTCCATACTTTTTATACATTCACTATTTAATATATCCAACAAAATGGTATTCCTTACTTGAATATTGTAACAAATATGTATTTCTGGAAGTTGCAAAGCATCCAGCTTCCAGTACATATTTCATTTGAGTATATTTCACAACTGAAATCTCTTTCAGACGACACTGTTTCTAAATAAATTAAAAGTGTTAACTATGAGTGACTTCAAGTTCATGATAACGAAGGAAAGCGAAACCGATGACCTTTGATTCCACCTCACCGTTTTGGACAAATTGAGTTAGAGGTCATACTCTCTATTATTGGAATTTCGTTTTGAATGCTTTTTTGATTACTTTTGGAATACATTATATTCATATTTGATATGAAGAACCAGTTCTTCCGGTCTTTTTGATAATATTACTGTGCCTGGCAATAATTACTGTAATAACGGGTCTAACGGTCAGGGGTGTTGCTGTTTTATTAACTTAAATTATCGATAGGTGTGGAAAATTGGTTGAATCAATGTTATACGTTATACTAAAGAAGACTGTAGTCGAATTCTACATGATAAAAATCAAACAATTTTTAAATTTTTTTAATTCTAGACGCGAAATATTGGGATGTTTGGATATTTGGGACTTTGACTAGATGAAATTTTGTTCAGATGTTACTTTTATAGGTATATCTATTTGTAGAGTAGGGAGGGTGTGACCCGTTGTACATACTCCCGAAGAGTTATCCTCCTAGAACTACATCCTTTGATTCCATTCCATTTCTTTGGGATCGAGCATGGGCGTGACGTTTGGTTAGTTCCGCAATTGTCGTTGTTGTCACTGGGTCCTGAAATTTTTAGTCCAGCCTCTCCCTTGGCTAAAGAGTTACCTTTACTTTTATTGTGGCCTTCAACCCACCTTAGGATAATGTTATTATCTACCGAGGCTGGCTTATTTTGCCAGATATTCCTCTCCTGGTTATTCCTTTTGTAGCGATCGAGACACCAGCCAGTTCTGTGTGAACCACACCGGTATTTTTTCCCATTCCCCACTAAAATCCTTAGGCTTAGTGATCTCGAGTAAACTCCACATCCTGAGCCTTCTTTGGTTTTTGAGCCGTCTGTATGGGTATATACTAGCATTGATGAACTAGAGAAACAGCTCAGGAAGGGATACCACCAATTTTGGCTTCAGAGAGCTTGATGGAAAGGGTTGTCGAAGTATTTTATAAAAAAAGAGCAGAATGGAAATCGACGGTGAAGTCTAGGTGTTTTTTGAAAACAGCTAAAGTCTAAGTAATATCTTAAATAAGCAGTAACCCCTTAAATAGGCAGTAGACTTTAAGTAACATCTTGATCTATAAAAAGATGGAAAATAATTGAAGTCTCATGTGAAAGGAAACTTATACAAAAAGTCACTATGAATCAAGTCTTGGTGGCTCTGCTTGTGGAAGATGAAACTGATGAGATTATCCATTAGTGTATATTTTTTTAACACAAATAACCCAAATACTGCCTGAATATCATGCTAGGATTAGCTTCAATCAATTTTAAAATAGATCCCATACAGCCCATATTCAGTGTAAAACCAGTCTGTTTCTTGCTTATGCATCTTTCAATACTTCGAAGCTAGGCGTGGAGATGTTTTCTGACAGACCGATAACAAATTGCATGATAATGAAAAGATTAAAAAGTCGAGATAACTGATATTGATACTTGACAAGAGATAACAGTTGAATTGTGTCGGCAACCTTTGATGTATTCACCTTCCTTTCACTTTCCATATCACAAATCAATGACCAACTTGTATCGCTATGTTTTAAAATGCACGGTATATGTCTGAAAGTAACGAGGAATCAGTGTGTTCGAAGTAGTTACACTGATATCGATTAAAAAAAAACAAATGCATCAATGTAGTGATTTTCTTCATTGAAAATATTAATTCGGGAAACACATTTATGTAATTTTCGCTACATTATCAAAATAGCTTATTCCAGGATGAAAAAAATCAATATTTCACTTCTAAACTGCTCCACAATAATGGTGATTCAAAAAAAAGCACAAATGAAAGGTTTACGTTGAAAAGGGTGCCTAACAAACTTCAGTATCAATTAGTCTCCTAATTGACTCAATTGAATTACAGTGTTTTCCTAGAATCATTAATTTTATTCAGTAGGTACAAGTGAGATAAACTGTTTCTCAATGAGAGAATTCTTATAACAACATGAATACTTGTATAGTTTTCAAATTATTTTAATATTCAGTGAAGAGAGTCTCACTTTTGTGAGTGTTTTACTATTTTAGAAAAACAAATCAGGTCTTCAAACGCCACATTTGGATAATGTCACTTTATTTCCCTAAGATTTGTTATTCAACATCATGTCGCTAAATCCCAAAATCAAACTGAATGTTTCTGTTTTGCTCAGTCTATTGGAATCCTCTATAATTTGGTTTGAAGTATGCATATACAACAGAAGTGTACCTTGATGTGTTTTTTCTTAAAGATAAAACACAAGCACTACAGGAATATCCTTAAAGCGCTCCAAAAGCGGCGCCAGTGCCAGTGGATTTCGATCGCTAGAGAATAAATTCATTTGGTAAAACGTTCTCAGCAAATTCATTCCACCTAAACACCATTCTCCAAATGGAAGAGGTCTTGAACAGCAAAGTTCGCGGTGTACTGAGTTCAACCTGAAATGATGAGTACTCACAATCCTTCGTGTATTTCTGATATGTTCTGGTCTTGGTAGAATCAAATGTGCCAAGTTACTTGAACACCTCCCGTGAAAGTACCTATAACAGACAGACAGATCTCCAACCTTCCTTTGATATGTTCCAGACTATCAAGGTTGCAAATGACATTCGTATCTCCAGCAGCTTCAGGATATGCTTACGGGCGGAGCTCCAAAGAAGGTCTGATCTGAGAATGAGTATACATACTCATTTAGAAATTCACTGTTTCCTTCCTTCCTTTGGAAGATTCCCACATTTTCTTTATTCTAATCTTCTGATGAACAATAGTGACACTTCCACCAACTACTGCCTAAGTATCTGATTATATTCTCTCTTTTTGTTCCAGGTATTGGTTTCGGTTTCATATACGCACCTTCAATTATAACTATCGGATTTTACTTCGAAAAATGGAGGGCATTGGCTACAGGAATAGCGGTGTGTGGATCCGGAATTGGTACCTTCGTTTTTGCTCCAATCAGCAAACTCATGATACAACATTTGGGTTGGAGAGGAGCTCTTTTATGCGAGGCAGCTTTGTCGCTGAGTTGTATAATTTATGGATGTACATTCAGGTACGTTTTAAGTACTAGAATATTATGAGAAGTAATCATAGCAAATACACTTTTACATTTTATTATGAGTAGTAGTAGTATTTATTTTTCTTGTTTGAAAGTATAAAATTATTTTTCACAATATCTTCATACAATAACAAGAAATACGTCAGAGAAATACGTCGTAAATAAAGAGAGCGTTTTCACATTATTTTATAAAAAAAACACAGAAAAACGTCAAAAAACGCATTTGAAAAAATAAAAAAAAGGGGCAGACTCCCTTCTAGTACGTAATAAATATGTAAAAAGTTGAACAGTACACATTAGTTCCATATATATATATAGGAGTTTGAGGAGTGCCAGATGATGACAGTACTACCAACTGTCGAAAGCGCTCGCAGATAATTAATAGAATATATAAAGAGTGGAAAAATGCTTAGAAGTCATCAAGTGAGTAGCAATTTTTATCAAGTAAAATTTTTTTCAACCTATAGTTGAAGCTTTTAAACTTAGGTGAGTTTTTTAACTGAGTCATCCAGTTTATTGAAGAATTTCGGGCCAAGATAAAGGAAACTTTTTTGCAATAAGGTCGTTCTGTGAGTGTTGGGCATCAGAAAATCTCTATAACGGGTAATATAACTATGTTTCTGGGTTGAAAATATACGTTTGTTCATGTAAACATAACTACATAACTCATAGATATACAAATCGGCAACTGTAAGTATTCCATGATTTTTGAAAACGTTTCTACATGAGTCTCTCCATCCTAGTCCAGCTAAAATTTTGACGGTTTTTTTTTGGAGAATAAACACTCTTTCAGCAGAAGAGCTGAACCTAACCTAACCTAACCTAACCTAACCTAATCCATTATAAGAATGAATAGCCAATAACAAGGTTTTATGCTGAGAATGTCAACAAATATGAATTTATCGATAAATCGAAATTGAGTTTTGTTTAATTTAAAAAAAGATAGGTCTATATGAAATTTTTGAGAGCTTTTGATCAACTGAAAGCATTTTTGATAAAAATCAATGTATCTTCAGATGTATCGAAGTAGGCATACCCTAGCTCACTTTGATTCATCCCTTTCATAAGTTTACTCATTCTCAAGTACCGATTCCCAATAACCTGCCATTTTAGGCCATTTGGCCTAAAAAAACTTCTAGTTTTGTCCGATTTCCCTTTTCTTGATCTTCTGACTCCTCACCTAGTTTTAACTAAGCAGAAAGTTATACCAAGTTGGTAGTCGATCGATTTCAAAACCATTCAAATTATTCCTGATTCTTTGGAAAAAATACCAAGTGATAACATAGAACATATTATTTTTTAAACTTTTCGTGCCAGTTCACTACAAAATGAATTGTTTTCCAGGCCACTGAAACCGACAAAAGTCAGAGAACTCCGCGACAAGGAGGAAGAGCCCGAACTGAAAATGGATCCGTCCAAACTCCCCCTAATGACCAAAATGAAAATGGAGGAAGCGATGAGAGCGATGAAGAGACACTCAGTTGGATATATCCACGACAATCATTCATCAATACCGAGGTTGTTAGGAGTGAACAATAACTCTGATTATCCCACGGTATCCGACGTGTACCATACCATTAGCATACCAAACCAGAAGGACACGAGCAGAAAGAAAGTCCTGGGCGAAGCCCTGAGTTTTCCTTCTTTGGGATGGGACAGAAGGAAGTCTTTGAAGAATTCGGAGCTTATGGATAGGGAAAAGCTGAAACCGATCATATCACCGAAGAAATTGGACACTGATAAGAGTGACAAAGAGGATGTAGTCAGGCCTTTGTATAGAGACGATATATTCTTCGGCGGAAGCTTATCTAGGCTGCCACAGTACACCTCCAATACCTCTTTGGGGTATAACTTAGCGATAACTAGGCTCCCAACGGAAAACGACGTCCAGGAGGAACGAAGACATACTTGCAAGCTGTGCCCAGAGGCTCTACGAAGGGTTCTCGCTACTATGCTCGACTTTAGCCTTCTGAAATCACCTACGTTTCTCATATTAGCTATAGGAGGGTTCTTTACCATGATGGGCTTTTTCGTCCCTTACATGTACCTGGGGAGCAGAGCTACTTCGAATGGCATCGATGAATCAATGGCGGTTTGGCTGATTTCTACTATTGGGATTGCTAATACTTTTGGAAGGATGTTCTATGGTGTGATCAGTTCTTTTCCTGGAATGAACGCCCTTGTCATCAACAACATTGCTCTGACCGTCGGGGGATTAGCTACCATACTGAGTGGTGTGACGATGGCGGTTGAATACCAGTTCTTCTACTGTATCGTGTTTGGGCTAGCAATATGTAAGTATCATAAGTGTTAGTACTGGTTAAGAATCGTAAATAACTAAAGAACTTGGGGGATCGGACCACGGGTAACCAACATCTTTTGTATGGGAGGGTCGCTTAAGAAAATCAGGGATTGACTCAGTATTATCACAGTATACTATAACCAGTAATCCCACTTCGGGTAATTTTTGGTTTGAATTTTCTACACGCAGACCCAGGAGTTGCAGTCTCAGGTCTGCGCAAACGACGAGTTCAAGACAGGCACGCAATCAAAGCGTTTAAACACTGCTCAACATAACAAATATTCATATAAACTGTTCAAAAAAATACAGTCGATGAAAACCATGTTGGGCAATATGTTGAGCAGTGTATACACGCTTTGGTTGAGATTGTAGTAGGGAGAAATGTCATTAGTGTCAAATACGTCATCATTATAAAAAATGAAACTCCTGGACATTGATATCAAAGGGACCGACGCTGAGTGAAACTACTGTATACAGAAATACTGTGGTATTATTACAAGTCTGCTTGCCGGGCATTGCCCATTTGAAGAGCGCACTAACAATGGAGATCATAGCTGCAGGCGAATCACCCAAAATCAAACCCAGATGGCTCCAGCAGAAATATTCATTGAATTGTTTAAATTTTTCTTCTCCAAAGCCTTTCACTGTCAGCAACAGTGACTGCTCTGAATTATCGATGAAAGTTTTTTCCTTAGGTACCGGCTTTCATAGGCAATAGTTTTTCTCTCACAGACGACACTGTCAAAAGAAAAACACCGCCTATTCTGTGCGCCTATTATTGCGCTAGAGAACTAGTGAGAACGAGATAAAGATACATATTTCCATTGAAGAAGCGGCTCTGATAATCTCAAATTGTTATCAGTCTTTCATAATGTTTATCCAAATTTTTTCCTTAGATCATTCGAAACACGTCTTGTTATGATAATTTATCAAGGGTATAATATAATTCCATTGTTATTGTGCAAATGGATTATTGGGTCATAATCTCGGTCAAGACGTTTTTCAATGATATACGAATAATGAACAATAATATTTTGATGCTATTGGAAAATTTGAAGAGCTGAAAAATTTACGCACGTGGACAATTGAAACGTTTCCAAAATTGATATAATAAATAACTGCTGAAAAAATTTCATAACTGTAGGCAAAAAATTATTATAATAGCTTCAATAAATCTAATTCATTACAGCAGAAATTATATTTACCTTATCCATCATCATTCATATATGAAATATATAGTTTTATTGTAATTATAAATGTCAGTTTAGCTCTTCATACACCTCATTAACATAATACTAGTAATTACTCTCCAATTATTAATTCTGAAATTCAAAGATAAATATGTAAGTTCAACAGGTATACATATAATAAAAATCTGACAAGTAAATATCAATCATAATTATCCATAAAGTTGATTGTATTATTACAACTACCTTTCGGTATGGTTAGTTCACCTGATTCATTGAAAAGAACTATGAAACAATTTAGTAATAGTAATAATTAGTAATAATTACTGATATTTATATGTAGTACATAATTAAATATCAAAAATGTTTCCAGCTTGCTTCGCTTCGCTGAGATCGGTTGTGGTGGTGGACCTACTGGGATTGGAGAAACTGACAAACGCCTTCGGTTTACTGCTTTTGTTCCAAGGGGTAGCGGCAATAATTGGAGCCCCCTTGGCTGGTGTCTTCATGAAAGCTACCGGTAACCACGACTCCTGCTTCTATTTATCAGGAGGGATGATTTTGTTTTCTGCTGTGCTGTGCTACCCATTGAACTGGGTCAATAGGTGTGAAAGGAGGCGACACGCTGAAAAGGCTGCCAAGCCTGTTCCAGTTTAGGAAATACTTTCACTGTTTATTTCAATCTGCTGTGCCACAAATATTCCAACTACAGGAGTTTGACTGAATATTCATAAACTTTTTTTAAACGATATTCTTCCTCAACTTTCATTCAGATCTGAGATTTTTTGAAAAACCACAATTTATGAAGTTACTATTTTCTAAATATTACTATTTCTACCATTGGGATATACAGGTAGTAGATCTTTACAAATGTGTCATCAATTTGTGCACCCTTGATGATTCGACAGAGTAATGGCATAGCTGCTCCTAACCTCGAAATGAAGGGTTGAAATTATATTCATATAAAATTCGTCACCACTCTATGAAGTATTTTTTGAATACAAACCTTATATTTCATATTCCAACTGAGATATCTGGCAGCTGAAATGAGTATGAGGAATATCAGACAGAGCCATTTCCAATTTGAAGTTGAAATTTGTAGTTACAATAAAAGATTTGCTTACTCTGATATGCCTGCAGTTTGATAGTTCTGTAAACAACTATTTGTGTAACAAAAAAACAATAAACAACATTGAACTGCTAAACAATAGTGAAGCATTTGATACATTCTTAATTGGACTTACGATTTTGATAGTTTCTTTTGATGTTCCGAGTGTAAGTTGTCAGCTGTCACCCAAATAAAAGCACTCTCTCTCTCCCTGTCTCTCTCTTATTATGTATTTGATCCTATTAGGTATTGAAGACGCATGTGTAATGTTTTCTTAACTCAAGTGTAGAAATTATTCATTTAAAATCTTTTGGGAACAATTACTGTATCCTGATGGTCCATATTTGTGGCACAGTAATGAAAACTTAGCAATAGTTTTTGCGAAAATCGGGTTTCATTTACTTACAGTAAACAGTTTTTTCTGCAATATTTTATGTTAATTTATTAATGAAAGATTTTTGAGTATTATTTCTGTAATGATTTAAATAATCATTTAAATAATGATATTTTTAAGTATAGAGCCTGACCAAATAAATATGTCTTTCGAAAATTCACTTCAGCAGTGACAGTGTGATTGTTCTGGAGCATGGAATGTTTGTTGTGTGAATTTTTTAGAGAAATGATGCCTGCTACACGATATACTTATAGGGTATCTTAGATGGTGACTCGAATGTGGAATATTTTTCATAAAATCCGCAATTTTCAGTGAACTAGGTATATGTATTCTCAAAATCCTGCATTTTTGTATGTTGAATCTTCTTGTTTCAGAATGTCTCTACTATAACGAAACTACCATCCATTTTTTTGATTATCACTGTTCACGTTTGGAAGAGAAAAAATATTTTAAATTGAGATTACCAGCTATTCAAAATACCCTGTAATGATTTGCTCAGAACTCATACAAACGTACCTGTGGCATTTGTTTAACGTAATTTCAGTTTAGTAGAAGAGCTGCAAGTGGAATATATCAACGTCTAATGTTTCTTTTGTGATTTTATCAGGGTTAAACCTCAAGGGTAATATGCTTGTGACTTAAAAGTGACATAAAAGTAACATAGACATCACATAAACGCCACTAGTTGAATTAGGTTATATTTGGGTTTTCTTTCAGTTATGTTTGTGAAAACAAAGAATTTGGAATTTTGCAGCGTTTCTACTCAGATGTAAATATCATTTTTAGATTTATTATGTGGATTTGAAAAGACATTCAATGTCTTAAAATTGTTGTATTCGAACTAATTTCCACTTTGCCATTTTGAATTTTCAAATAACTTTTTGATTCGTCTTTATTTTATCATTTTATGATATTTAATAATCATTTGTTTTATTTATATATTTTAGATGTGTGAATTATATATTTTGTTGTCTTGATTAGATTAATATTGTGTATGTTCTATGGAAATTGTGTGAATCAGTTTCATAATGGAAGTGTAGTAGAGCTACTGATTATGTTGGAATTGAAATTGATTAGATAGTTCAGGAACCCCATTCAAAATATTTTCTAGTAAACTCTTTTCAATTAAAAATCAACATAATTTTTAAATGAATATTCATAAATCAACTATTTTTGTGAAAAACATTTTCTTTTCAAATTAGAATGAAGCTTTACTTATTTATCTAGCTTTATTGGAACAGTTCAATTTAATGAAACAAATGATTTTGTGAAGAAGGGGTTTTGCTACACCTTCAGTATTTCTTGTGAAGTTATCCAGAGTTGTTTACTTCTTTGAATGAGTTTATTCCCAATTTTTGTATTTCTTGATTTGGTAAGACATTAGGACTGAAAATAACTAATGCCGAGATTGGAATATCCTTATATTTCTGATATTATAGAATGTCGTAGTTTATATAAAAAAATTTGGATTTCCCAGATTGAAATTATTTCGTTTTGACAATTAAAGTTATAAATTGGTTCATTTTGTACTGTGGTGCTAATTTTTCTTGCCAAAGTCTGGAAAGGCCTTCGATGTAATAGTTTCATTTCTATCACAACTAGCCTTAATATCAATACTCGATTTCTGAATAATATCTATTAGTTGAGTCTTCAAAAACAGGGTTTTGAATTATTGGCTTGAGAAAATGGAGCTCAAGATAAGACTGATTTTATATGTTTTTATTCAAGTGTAAATATAATGAATTCAGATTAGTAATAAAATATATTTACGATTCTGTTGTTTCCTTTATTATTCTACATGTAAATGAAACGTTGAACTCTCTAGAGACTCAAAAGTGGGATAGTGAAATGAGATTCTTCTATACAATAATAACACTTAATTAGCACTTTATTTTTATTGTCTTTGTATTGGTTTACGAGTATCTCAAGACTTTATTACATATTGTTAATTTTTTTTCTCAAATCAGGTATCTCGATTTTTTTTTCACTTATTCGTGGTCGTTTTCATCTTAATTTCTTGCAAGTACCTAATTAGCACTTTACTACGCTTAGTTTATACCTGATAGAGCATTCGTCCTCGTTTTCGAGAGACCTGATTCTTAGATCTGTTGTTTAGCGAAATTGGAAGCTTTTGTTTATTAATCAGAAAATTTTACGATCCTCACCGTTTAGCACCTAATTTTCGACTTCGGTACCTAAAAAGTACCTAATTTTGGCATTTTCTGAATGAGATTTCCGTACTTTGCTGGCGTAACAGAGCTCCCAAACTTCTGCTCGACAACCAACAAACTCGAAAAAAACTTTGAAACAGCTCCCTTTTGCTGCAAAAATATTCACCCTTGAATTATTTTTTTCTTCGAAAAATATAAATGATAACTGAACTACCCCCTTTATTATAAATAGATCATCGAAATAAAAATTCCAGTACTATTTTCTCCATTTATTTTTCTTCATCAGAACAGTCAATGCTGTCATTCTAAACTAGATTAACTCAAAGGAAACTTGGCAGCAGTTTGCAAAGAGGGACACTTCCAATAATTCGTTTTGCGTAGGTCTTGAACATTTCTGCAAAAAAACCTTCAACGTACGGTTTTCGGTTTGCTGTGGTGTATACTGCAGTGGCATTTACATAGCCTCCTGCTCTCTTTGCTTTTTCAGGATTTGTTCCATTATAGAGATTTTGATAATCGAAAGTGATGAAATCTAATGAGGCCGAAACGTGGTAAGACACTATGTCGAGGTAAGTTTCTCCTTGCTTCTCAACTTTGACAGATTTCAACTGGTGGAGAATCGTCAAGTTATCTATAAAAAAATAGAAATGATAAGCGTGGAATATATTAGACACAGAGTTATTTTTTCCAAGGCAACATCATAGAAATTGAGGGAATATTCATAAAACAAAAAAGTCCAGCTTGTTCAGCAAATCATGGTTAATCTCTAGGTGAAAACTCGATAATATCAACATTACCTTCAGTTTTCTTTAAGCCTCGGTAGATAATAACACTATCCTGAGATGAATTAAAGGGCACGACAGGAGTAAAGGTGATCGCATTGCCGACTCTTTAGCCAAGAAAGCGGCTGGACTAAGAATTTTAGGACCTACGGCCTGATGACTTCGACAATTGCGGAACTAGCCAAACGTCACACACATGCTCACTCCCTAAAGAGATGGGATGAAATCAAAGGATGCAATCTTGCCAGGATCACCCTTGGTGACCCTGAGAAGCTGGCGCCGAAGAAATATCTGATGTCGACCAGGAAAAATCTACGCTAAACAGTAGGATTTCTGACTGGCCACTGTCAACTAAGGAAACACACCTATAATATGAGGCTAGTGGACACACCTCTATGCAGGATGTGTGAACAGGAAGATGAAACTGTCAGGCATGTCCTTTGCGAATGTCCGTCAATAAGAGAGTGTGTGTTCGGCGAGTCTTGGCCTACATTTGCTGATATAAAAGAGATGTCTCCCAGAGACCTGTCCACCTTCCTGGAAAGGACAGGATGGACGATTACCTAGGAGGACAGCTTCTTGGGAGGATGTACAATGGGTCACATGTGACATAAGTGCTGTGGGCCTACATTGAACTGACCCTTCCTACTCTACAGATACAGATACCTTCAGTTTTCATTGTCAAAAAAGTAAAACTATAGTTTTATTCTCCATGTAATTCATATGACATATGAAACAAAAATCGCCTTTCATAATCTTGCAACAATTCAATTCGTCACAGTTGGTTACTTGTAAATATAATTAAAAGAAGATCAAATGAGTACGACGGCCTTTATGACACCAAGTGTACATTGTATTTATGAATAACTTCATTATGCAGAGACTAGTAAAATGTTTTGATGTCTATAAAACTTTACATATAGAAAAATCTACAATAGATGATAGGAGTATTAACTATGCGACACATTTCCGCTTTTCACATAACAGAAGTCTCTATATCTCGACGAATTATTTGACAAATATAACCCAACCATACCCCAACTTTGGAATGATTCAATTCGAACTATTGAGGTTAACTGGTACGAGTATATTTCTTTTTATTTAAACCAATGGCGTTTTTGCAAATTATTTCTGCTGGAGAATTTTTTTTATTATTAAATCACGACCCATTTGGGATTAACTTTTCTTGTAACACTCTACCATAATTCTCAGAATTCATTTCTGAATGATAATCCTTTGATGTGATGCCGGATTTAAATAAGCCAACAATTAGGTATGAAGCCCATGTAATCACCTCCATGGACGATAATGAGTCTCTTGAAACGATGAGCAGTCACAGTTAGTAGCGTATTATTGATATGTACCGCTCTTGGTTGAATCAAGTGTGCCAAGTCACTTGAACACCTCCCGTGAAAGTATCTGTAGAAGGGAGACAAATCTCCAACCTTTCTTCGATGTTCCAGGCTACCAAGGTTGCAAGTGATGTTCGCGCCTCCAGTCAGGCGGATGGCTCTTTTCTGGATGAAATCCAGCAACTTCAGGGTATCTTTGGGGACAGAGCTCCAGACATGAGAACAATACTCTAAAGAAGGTCTGATCTGAGCTTTATAAAGCATCTGAAGTTGTACAGTGTATAGTTTTCTTGTTCGGAACAGTGTTCCAAGCTTTTGAGGAGCAGCCTTTGCAATTCCAGCGAAATGATTGTGCCAAGAAATATTGGTGTCCATTTTAACCTCCAACAAACTTGCCGAAGCAGAAAGCGAATTGTCTGACCTGACATTATTACAGAGTGTAACAAAATAAGTGTAAAACATTTGAGGAGGTGATTTCTCATCGAAAAAAAGATAGGATATTTTATACAAAGAAACTTCATTGGAGCATCTCTTGTTAAGATACAGCTCCTTGAAGGGGGTACATAAAATTTGTATGACATGAAAAAGCACTGAAAAAGTTCAAATTTCGAAATTAACCTGACGTTTTGTACTACCAAAAAGACACTTAGCCAGTAATTTATTTGGTTTACCCCATGGTTGTAAGGGATAACTTTTTCTCTCATTATTTGTTTACCATTTAAAAATTTATTTCCGATAGCCTGTTTCATTCTAAACAAAAAAATGACTCTTGGGTTTTTTGCCCAAAATAAACCAGTTCGCATCTAAAAATTATTTTACCTTACAAAATAACGGCATGCCTGGTTGGTTGTATCCAGTCTCTGAATGAAAATATGCAGCAATGACAGTTGACACCGGAAGAGCAATTACGAGCAGTTGCGATGCTCGATACTGGCGGAAGAGCTATTGCAGCGGCAATAGCTCTGATGGTACTGGGGATGTGAATGAGTCGTACAAGACCCACAGTGCCCGTTCAGGATCGTTTTCTGTAGTTGTAGGCATCACAAGACCGAACGCTAACTAAACCTCGGTAGGAAAATCAACTACTCCATAGGCATCATATCGTTGTGAGCGACGAGAAACAGGTTTCATGTGTATGGACATCATTCACATATACCGCTTCGCGTCCCCCCATTAACAAGATGCATTTGCACCAGCAGACTCGCGCATAGGCACAAAAATACCAAAACTGGGAACAGCAAGAATGGTGCTCATCTGTGCTATTCACAGACGAATAAAAATTTAGTTTTTACCTGGATTTCAGAAGGATTCGTATGTGGAAACACCAAAGAAACGCTTATCATCTTACGGTAGTTTAGAATGTGCTCGCCTATCGAAGGGCTACAATGATTGTTTGAGGAGGTATAAGATCAAAAGAAAAAAAAGAAGCTCGTGTGTCTAAACAGATTTCTTGATGCAGTCACCTATCGTGATGCTATTCTGCAACCTATCGTGCCCTATTGTGCTTAGTATGCACCGAGACTTGGGTCTAATTTCCAATTTGTGCACGATAATGCATTCCCCCACACAGTAAGGGTAGTTTTCGAATTTTTACAAAGCCAAAATATTGCTTATTTTCATGTGGACAGACCAGTCTCCAATTCTCAATCCAGATCAAGCTACAAGCTAATGAGAAAATTTAGAAGATGAAAATAAAAACTCTTCAAATTATGTGGAAACATATAAAAACAAGAAAAAGATTCAATGACAATAAGAGTTGAAAATTATATTGTCTCTGCTAATAGACGTAAGTAAAAAATTACGTGCTGTAGGACAGCACACTTATAATAACATTCATTGTAACATTAATTTCTAGTTTGAGAAATCCATACTTACATAAATCTTTTACGGCTGGTCCAAAACCCCAAATCGCTTCTGGAGCTCGGGTTTTGTTGTACAGGAGTGTTCCATAACCTACGTACGTAGATTTTTGAACAACATTTGGAGTGAAAGTAGTAAAATTCAAAGCTAAATTTGATACATCAACACTGAAAAGAAAAATTCCAATTAGTTTCAAACAGAACTGTATGATGAACCTGTTCAATCTTGGCTCTGGGCGGCCATTAACATTCCCAACTGAACTTAACATCTCTAAAGTGAAGAAAATTGTATGAAACACGTTGCCGTTCGACAAGTGTCAGAAGAACACGGTGAACTTCGCCTCTTCAGTACTATATGAAGCACTCAAATTTATTTAAATCGTTTTGACTCAATGTCACGGACGAGTTGGATCTACTCACGTCTTGAATAGAAAAAAGAAGTAGTGCTCAGGGAAATGTTTGTTTCCTCTCCTGGCGCAGTTCCTGCTTCTGCAGTTCAAGAATCTGGTGCCAGTTAGACACATGAGGTGGTGGCACCACCTCAACAGGAGAACTAAGAAGCTTTTGCTATTAATCCGATATTACTGGTAGAACAGTTGTTCAATATCTTCTGTAGACTTGAGGTTGGATTATTTGGTTACTTCTTTGTCATTGAGTATCAAAGGATGGAGATCCATCATGGCAGTGACATTGACGGACTGACTGGGCTCAGAGTCATATATTTTTTCCGCATGCATACAACACTTAAGCTGATGCGTCATTTAGTGGGACCACAGGTGACACTTCATCCGACAGAGGTATACCATCCGTCTTAGGGCGATTTTTTGTGATAACATTAGTAAAGATTAGCGTAAGCATTCCATAATGATTGTTATAGGAAATCAGTAGATATGAAAGCTTATGCAGATGATTTTGTCTTCTTGGCAAGGTCCACGTCGGTGAAGGTGGCTTGTAATATCCTGAGAAATACGATGGACTTTGTGCACAGTTAATGTCAGAGGAAGCAGCAGCAAAACTTAGATAATCCACTCCACCAGGAAGTGAAAATTGGACGATTTAACGCCACTTCCCTCAATGGTGAGGTTATTCCATTTGGACGGAGGTGAAATATCTTGGCATTGTCCTTGATAAAAAACTCACCTGGAACGCTCACTTGGAAAAAGTTTCACACAAAGCCAGACTGTCTCTTTAGACATGTCGAAGGATTTGTGGTGAAACTTGGGGTTCAAGTCCCAAACGAATCCATTGGTTTTATCTGATGATTGTCAGGCCAATGATCACTCATGCAGCAATTGCCTGGTGGCCGAAGGCTTTATACAAAACGGTTCAGGTGGAGCTCTCTGCCTGACAGAGACAGGCTTGTCTGGTTATCTGTGGTACCAGATCTACCCCATCTCTACATTTTTCTGGAGAAAGGCTAGATGGACTGCATATAGACTTGTGCTCATTGCCAATTGCACAAATCAATCTAATGCAGAGTACACTAGACTTCTGGTTGGAACTGGAAGTTACAGCTTTCTGGGAATGACCTCTGACAGTATGCCAACTACTGTCAACTAGGAACTGCCTTATACAGTATTTTTCCCGAGTAGATAGGATCAAGAGCAGATAGTTGCTGATTCACAGATAGATCAAATACACCTTCAGGTCTTGGTGCAAGTGTTTTCAGAGGTATCAACTGTATGCAACTGTATTTCAAGCGAAAATATATGCTATTAAATTGTGTAGAGGGAGATTCGTAGAGTCCAGTCTTATAAACAAGTCAATAAAAATATTCTCGGACAGTCAAGTGGAGTTGGGAGCTCTTGGCTCCTACCGAGCAACATCTAAATTGGTAGCAATTTGCCAAAACAAATCTCCTCAATAGAAAGACTCAACAAACTGTCTCTGGTGTGGATTCCTGGCCAAACTGGCCTAAAAGGCAATAAGACTGCTGACTCCTTTACAAGGGAGGGTGCTGCAAGCAACTTCATTGGCCCAGAACCTATCATTGGCATTGCTTTACGGCATTGCCCAACAAACACTGAACACCTGGATGGTAAGAAGATTTATAGGTTTCTGGCAAAATCTTCCAGGATTGGCTCACTCCATGGCGTTCATTCTTTGAAGCTTGAAAGCATATAGTTGTTGGACTACACTAGGGATATACTGAATCATCATATGCAGAGACTTGGACTGTTGGAAGACAGTGTGTGTCGCCTCCGTTTGGAAAATGATGAAACAGCAGAGCACATACTTTGTGCCCGCCCCGCTGCGGACCGAATCAGGTTTTCAGAGTTTGGCAGGACCGTACTCTTACCACCTGACCTGAATGATCACTCACCATATAAACTAATCGACTTCGTTAAAAAGCGGGTTGCGATGGAGGGTCGAATAGACCCTCTTACTTCTGACCTAACCTGAACTAACCTATCTAACGAAATCTAACATTATCACAAAAAAAAAACATTTATAATGAAGTAAACAATGAATAAATTTGATTACATTCGACTCACCTTGCACTCAATATTTTAGAATTGATGAATCCCGTGTGCGATAAGTTCCAGAAGTATTCATCAAAGATGAAAACGTCATTATTAATGTGGTATTCACAGTAAGGCGAGAACAGAGGTTCCGTTTTGATGGTGATGGGAGATGAAATACCTAGAATGAAAAGTATTTTTGATATAGTATTTGATTTTGTTCACTAGAAATAATGGGTTGATTTTGAGTTGAAATTACTTTCTACCATCCCAAATATTTTGAGTGGTTTTTGACTTTTCTCTTTAAATAAATTGGAGAAATCTCCCCCTGACAACAAGCTTCATTCTCGATGAAGTTCGTGAGTGAATTATAGCTTGAAGTGAGAGTAATCAAGTAGAATTCACTGCTGCAAAAACTCAAGCATCAATTTTCCGTAAGGCAGTGAATGTGGTAAATAATTCCAACTCATTGGATGTCAAGTTAGATGTCTCGAGACAATCTCTATCACAAAAAAGCAGAAACAGCTTTTGAGAACCTTGAAAAACGATTTCGAGTTAGAAAGTATTATACACCTCAGCAACTTTTAATGCTTCATAGATATTGGAATATTAAATTTTTTGAAGCTTCGCCTTCAAAAATATTGTGAAGCTACTAGAGTGTACCTCGAAAAAAGTCATTCAACTGATTGTCAATTGAAACATCCCAAGAAATGTTGGTGGTTTGAAATTTCGAAGGAGAAGGTATTGTGAATGAATATAACCCACAGTATTTCTACCAAAGAAGAGTTATTCATCTGATTTGAGCCGCAAAACCTAACAAACAACCTTGGTATTCAATATTATATACTGGACGAAGCTGGAAATTTGTCGAGAGACTTTTCCTACAAAGTTAAGCATCATACAATAGAACTTTACACCATTTTATAAAAAATATCTCACACGGATTTCAGTAGAATGAATTTCTCCTGATGATTGTAGAAACCCTAGAAAACCTCCAAATATCTCTGTAGTTTTTTCAGTTGCAGAAAAACCCGGAAAAAACTGCAGCTCCATATAATCTGAAGATCTTGAATTGCCAATTTTCTCTCTTTCGTAAAACAAAATGTAGGGTGTCTCCAGAAGCTCCAATAAATTCAAGACAACGCCAGAACACTTAGTGACACGATTATCATCAAACTTAATAATTATATATTAGGAAACGCTAGTTGGAGTTTCAGAAAATCACATACGTTTTTGCTACCTCTTAAACATTTACAACAAAGTAAACAAGTGAGGATTTTTCCAGAGCAGTCAGGGGTATTGATTCTGCTATTTTTTTGCTCACGTAGAGTATTCAACAAGAACCCCAAGAATTCTGAGCAATCCTCTCGTTGTCCTAACGAGTATCTAGTGGACTTCAATGACTCCAGGAAATCGCTTGGTGGAAGAGATGATACAATCTTACAAAACTGCAACTGCATGAACAATTGTTTGAGTTTGGTGAATAAGTAGTTGGAACTATGAGGAAGAAAATTAGAGACTTACACCAGTTTTTCAGTATTTTCATTTTGACGAATATCAGATCACTGTGTTTAGCATTCGACATGATCATGAACAAACTGACGGTGATTTAATAATTTTGATTTGATGCAGCGTCCAAAATAAGTCAACTGTTGTGAAAAATACAAGTTGCTCATGAGTGTGTGGCTCCAACACAAAAACTCACCTGGATCTGCTAACTTCGGCCAAGCGTCTCGAATAGCACTGAGGATACATTTATTCAACTTTTGGCCTTCACCTCTGCAGATTTTGAAATCATCAGCTGAAATAGACATTGTGAAAGATACTTTTAGGTAGACACATGCAGAAATGAACATAATTTGAACAGTAATGGTATGGTTTTTTTGGTACATGAGAGGAGGATCCGACTGAGTAGAACCGGAAGAAGCTTCAAAATCGCGACCACCGTCGCCATTTCACAATAATACTATTCCATGGCTTTTCTGTATTTTCCAATATGGTTGACAATGTTGTTGTTGAATGGTAAATTGACTACTTTTGTGTTTCAAATTTGTCAATACTTTTGGACAATTTGAGTTTGAATCTCTAACTTTCATCACTGATTGCTTTTCGAAATATTTACTCACATTTCATGGATGCCCGCAGTCAACCAAGTACGGTCTCTCAACCTTGTGAACAGAAAAAAGTTGCAGGAGGACAAATCTGGTGAATACGGTGGCTGAGGCATGGTAACGGTGTTATTTTTAGTGAAAAAAATACGAACAAGCTTATTGACTGTGTGGCAAGAACTCCTAATGCACTACGACACGGTAATCGAAGAAAATAGTGAGTAAAACCTTGACACTTGATCGAACCTGGCGTGTTTTTTTCGATTTTGGCTCTTCTATTGTTACGATTTGTCTTTGGTTTCGATGTTATGACTATATATCTACAGTGTGACCCATTTTCAATGGAAACACCCCCCTAAAATTTGAAGTTGTAAATCGATTTCAATATTTTTTTTAAATGTCAAGTACTGAAAGGTCTACCTTGGCACAAAATTTGAAATGTTTATTGAAGTTTCAGGGCATACTACGATATTTTTTTTTAGTCGAAAATCGGGATTTTTTATTAGCGTTTTTTTTTATTGAAAAAATCACTACGCCACTGGAGTGCCTCCAAATAGGTGTGACCGAAATTTCATGAAAAATATTGATTATTAACAAAGTTATGACAACTCAAAAATTCGAAAACTCACACAGCTAACAGTCACAATATATCATTTTTTTTATGATTTCAACAATAAAGTGCCGTCAGATGAGAAAAAAAAACAAATAGCGTAAATATTTTTAATGAAAATAACGGAATCACATTCACACAATTCAACTAACAAGCAAAAAATGTTAATCGACGTAACTAATAACTAATTATTGAAATGTTTCGATTCAGTGCCATAATTAATTCTAAATCATATTCTAGTAGCCTCTACTTATCCACCACGTATTTCGATACATGTGTCGTAGCGCTTACGAATGTTTCTGATTACGTTCCTTAGTTCTTGAGGGCTAATATCTGCACATACCTGTCGAATTCTTGCACAAAGTTCATTTCTATCTCTTGAGCGGTTTTTGTAAACCTTTTGTGTGAGAAGTCCCCAGAGAAAAAAGTCCAAAACTGTGAGGTCTGGAGATCTGGGTGGCCACTCTATAAACGGACTACCACGGCCTATCCATCGGTTTGGAAAATGTTCGTTGAGCCATTGCCTCACAGCTCTGGCATAATGAACTGAACACCCATCTAACTGGACAATTAAATTTGATCGTTCATTGATTGGCAGCTCGTGAATAGCATCCCAAAACTCTGTGTTCAAAAATTCTAGAAACCTCTGCGCAGTTCTGATCCTTGTTTTGATAAATTTAGATCACGTATTAAATCACTGAGTTTATTTTGAGAAAACAACTTTGGCGTAGATGTTTTACCCTCCCATTCACTTCCACTGGTAGACTGATTCGATTTCTGTGAATTTGGCAACATCATTGTTTCTGAGGGCATGCGAATCACTTTTGAAACATAAATAGGCCGAGGGAGATTTTCACTATGTAAAACAAGACATTTTGTAGACTGTAAGTCTGGATATCTCCACGTTTGATTTCGATTAAAACCTTTAGCATCTACAACGCAAAAGTAACAATCATCGAAATCATCCTTAGGCTCCATCCAGATCATAGGAATACCAAAGTCTAATCCAGAACGTTCTCCTTTTTTCCACAACCGCAAAGACTCAACGCAAAACTTACAAACTTTATTAGGAACCCATGATTTATCTAATTTGTCCATTTTAAAACCGAAATATTCAGCATAAGTTTCCTTAACAAAGTCTGTGATATTTTGTTTGTTTTTTTGATATATAAATACCACAAATATAACAGAATAAATCACTACTATATTTGCACTTCCTTCGTGACAAACTCATGTTTAAAAAGACAAGATGAATATATTAGAACGGACACTCAACAATTGAAACAAAATATTAACTTATAACAACTTATCCAGATTTCCGTGTTAGTACTTCAATATTATCAAATAACTGAGTTCTCAGCTGTTTTGCAGAGCAAAGAGCCCGAGAAGTGGGGATCACGTGATATTTGTACGCGCAAAGAAGTTGCGCAGAAGCCTAATCATGACTGAGAAAATAATTTTTTTTTACTAACAAGCCGATTATTATTAAAAATACAAGATACGTAAAAATCATAAAAAATAGAGCACATTCAGTACTTTCATAAATATATTCGTGATTTAGGCACTCGAAAACATAAAAATTTGCAAAAATATCCAGGGCAACACAAAAATTTTTTTTTGTAGAGCTGTGTTACGAAATTTATGTTAGGCAAATGCTAACTGATACTAGGATTTTGATAACGCGAGTATCTTAATCACGATGAAGTTGAAATGAGAGTAGAAGTTCACCTTTACCGAAAAATAAAAATTTGTTGGCGTATTCAAATAACCTTCAAGATGAAATTGCCAAACACAAGTTTTTGGACGATTTACAAATATGCAGTCTAATTGAAAATACTATAATCGAGCGAAATACAAGTTTAGTGAACACTCACAATGAAAATTGTTCAACAATTATGAAAGTAATGATTTAATTTTTCTATTTCAGACTTACGAAACACATAGGCACCAAAAGCCAGCGAAAGCAGTAGAAACTTTATTAAAATCAATGTGTTCATTTTCACGAGCTTGTAATGAATTCGGTGCACCGAATAATTTATATGCTCCTTGAAATAATGCAAATTCTATGTTATCATTCCTGAATGTAGTTCAAAAGGTGTTTATCATTCAAGAATTCCTGTAGATAAAGACTGAATCGAAATCAAGTTAATAATAATAATAAAACTTTATTTCACATTTTTCACATTCACATTCATGTTTCAATATTTTGAAACAGAACTAAAAAAGCCCTACTGAAATCATCAACAGATACATTTCTCTACATTCGATAAAAAAAAAATTGAATTTATGTTAACAGAGGTATTTGCAATACAATAAAAACGAAAACATTATATAGTAACAGTTTGTAAGAGACTATATTATTATTGCATTATTTTATTATTTCTGTTTTCTATATAGGAACGTACATACGGGGTGGGCCATCGGAAATTTGACATGGAGGTTTTGGGTACTAATCTTGCATATCCTGAAAAACGCTTAGACAGGTCGATTTTTATTGGAGGACAGTTTTTTCCCCATTTACAGTGTCGTCACTTCAACCACGGAGCAGAGGGGTAAACAACCCTTGGAATTTCAATAGGGAATAGGGGGCGAGTCGCACATCCTTTGAAAGATCTTGGAATTCTCTAAACAACGGTGTACATTCACTTCACTTCATTTTCATGTTAGCATATGCTCAAAATGGGCACCTCCAGCTTCCCTCTGCTCCGGGGTTGAAGTGACGACGCTGTAAATGGGGAAAAACTGCCCCCTCCCAATAAAAATCAACCTGTCTGAGCGCTTTTCAGGATTTGCAAGATTAGTACCCAAAACCTTCATGTCAGGTTTTCGATGGCCCACGCTGTATATATGCATATACACGTGCACACATACACATATTTAAATATAAACATCTAATTTTGGAGACATGATAAATGATAAAAAAAATTTCTATGTTTTTTTACCATTTTCATTTGTAACTAATGTTACTGCAGTCTCGTCCTATAAGGACATTTTCAGACAATTGCAATAAACTGAAAATAAATCATAGCCCTTTTATATCTACTGTTGTTTTGTGTTGGTGTTTTCTCGGAAATTTGGTTGTTGCAATGTGGTTAATTTTTTGAATTATGTATCTAATATGCATGACGGTTTTTAAAATAGTAATAATTTGAAAACGAAGAAACTACTTTTCGAGACCTGAAAAATAATTCAATTGAATTTGAAACGTCGGCAAGAAAACAATTGTTTTTTTAAGAAAAAATTGAACCTGTTACCCAACCAACTTTTTTTCATTGTATAGATCATTGAAAAGATAAACTGATGAATGAAGCCGTTACTTCGTGGTGGGAAATCAACATGAAAAATGGGAATTGAAATTTCCTACAACAAAAGTTGTTCATACATTTTTGCACCGTATCAATTTTCTCCTAGAAACGAGTTTTTTTTTTGAATAACTCAATTATTTCCAATTTTACGACAAAATTTGCGATGAACAAAATTGTATAACAACAAATTTCCTACAATTTCGGTCCCTATCAATTTTTTTCGAGGATCGATATTTCTTCATTCATAATAGTAGATAATTATACTAATAATGATAACTAAGTTGTGATTGTCTCCATTTGTGACATGATGTCTCATCCCCAGCCGTGCCAAAGGATCATAGAACTGTCACTTCTACCACTTCCTTACCGGGCTGGAAAGGAGCTATATAGCCCTGCCGCCGAAGATAGGATACGTAATCCCTATGATTTTGGGCGGATAAGGCGGAGTGCTCCGGACCAGTGGAAACTTAGGCTGAAAAAATAACGAAGTTGCTTGGGGTCTTCTTCAACAACAATGAAGATCTTGGCTTATCAAAGCGCCTAACTTTCGCTTTCCTCAGGTTGAGTGGGCTGAAGTCGGAAACTGAGGGGTTCATCATGACCTGCTACGATGGTGTCTTCAACAGCTTAGTCTACCGCAGTCGCGTGATGGATATTGAGGTTCCTGACACAAGATGCAGGTCCTGCCGCGAGACGCCCGAAACCCTAATGTACTTGGTATCAGCATGTCCAGCATATGCGGTCTCGGCCTATATCCATCGACATACGTGGTCCTAAAGTGCTATATTATCACCTACGGCACTCTTACGGTATTGACCGATGTTGACCTACGCTCCGAGGGATATTGAATCCGTTGTGGGGTTTTCGGTTCCTAACGAGACGAATATCGTCCGAGAAGAAGAGAAAAAACGCATAAAATATCTAGATTTTCTTTCCAAACTCCGCAGACTCTATCCAAACCATTCTATCAAGATAGTTGTTCTGATTATTGGAGTCTTTGGTGAAATGATGCCTTCTCCACTTTGCAATCTCAAAATCATGCCGGCTTGCCGCCCTAAGGCAGAAATCTTAGCCGGACAAATGCAGAAGACTGGCTCATTGCACTTACCCGGGGCACATAATTATTGGACCCAATGATCACTTACCCTACGGGAGTGGTCATTGGTTGATAATGCAGGCGCGCCCTCTCGAATGTATCGGGGTTTCGGGAGTAGGGCCTGACCAGCACAAACTTCGGTAATGAAAATAGAATAATAGATGTATCGTCATAAACAAAAATAACTCAAAATCATATATATAAAAATGGATGTTTGTTGATTGGTTGGTTGGTTGGTAAATGATAAACTTCTACATCGCTCAACCGATCGTGATGAAACTGGACATGTATAAGTAATTTTTCATAGAGGTTTTTAGGCTATCAATTTTTCTGTAACTCGCCACTAGATGGCGCTGTAGAACACTTTTTTGAAAGCACATATACATAATCTAAATTCGAGATTTAAACATCTTTTGACTGCACCTAAGCATAAAGCTTCTCTTTTTCGAGGATCTTTTTCTTATAACATTGCACGCTTATATAATCGGCTACCCATTGAATTGAAATCCCTACCACCACTTAGTTTCAAGAAAAATCTGAAGAGATTTATGCTACAATCCGGTTCTCTTCTTTTAAAACATTGATCAGTTGACACCTATACATAATATGTTTTTACCATAAATATGTAGAAATCATCAAATTTATCATTATGTTTGTGACACATTTTTTCACATATAAAACATCAAATTCTCGTTTATTCGTTTTTCGCCTCTCTTTTCTGCATTTCTGCCCTTTCCTTCTGTTTCTCTCCTTTCTTTTCTTTTTTTTCCCTATTTCATTAAGTTCGATTGTGAATAATGTGTATTAATATAAATTATCTATTTCTGGCAATTTCTGCCTTGATGTATCATGCGCAGACGTTGAATTATGCCATTTGTTAGGTTAGATTAGTATCTCTTGTACTGAGTAACCTTTCAATAGAAGAATTTATTATTATTAATATTTTTTTTTTCACCGTAGTGTGTGCTGGTCAGGCCCTCTCCCCCGAAGCCTCGATACATTCGGGAGGGCGCGCCAGCATTATCAACCAATGACCACTCCCCACACCGTGGGGTGAGTGATCATTGGGTCCGAGAATCATATGCCCTGAGCAAGCACATTGAAAGATTCGAGAGTAGAGAGGGCATTATTTCACCAAGGACTCCAATAATCAGAACAACCATCTTGACAGAGTGATCTGGACAGAGTCTGCGGAGTTCGAAGAGAAAATCTCGATATTTTATCCGTTTTTCCTCCTCTTTTCTGACGATATTCGTCTTGCCAGGAGCTGAAAACTCCACGCCAAACATTGTTTAGCTCTGGCGGTCGAGAAGGACTACATTAGGCTTATTAGCTTGTATGAGACTCAGGGTGAGGAACCAGAACGAGGGAACGAGAAGTGCCGAATTTATTGGAACTATGGAACTATAGAATAGTTCCAATAAATTCGGCACTTTTCGTTCCCAACAACGGATTCAATATCCCCCGGAGCGAAGAGCAACACTGATGTCTCGTTAATACCGTAAGAGTGTCGTAGATGGTAATATAGAACTTTTAGGACCGCGTTATGTCAATGGATATAGACCGAGACCGCATATGCTGGACATGCTGATAGCAAGTGCATTAGGGTCTTGGGCGCCTCGCGGCAGACCCTGACCTTGTCAGGAACCTCTATACACAGCACGCGACTGCGATAGACTAAGGTGTTGAAGACACCATCCTGGCAAGCCATGATGAACCCCTCAATTTCCGATTTCAGTCCACTCGACCGGAGAAAAGCGAACGTCAGGCGCTTTGATAAGTCAAGGTCTCCAATTTTATTGAAGAAGACCCCATTGTGTATTATTATTATTACTAGTATTTTTTTTTATCGTGGTGTGTGCTGGTCAGGCCCTTTCATCCGAAGCCCCGATACATTCGGGAGGGGGCGCGCCAGCATAATCAACCAATAACCACTCCCCACACCGTGGGGTAAGTGATCATTGGGTCCGAGAATCATGTGCCCTGAGCAAACGCACTGGGCCAAGAATGACAGCTAAGATTTCTGCCTTAGTACGGCAAGCCGGTATGATTTTGAGATTCGAGAGTAGAGAAGACATCATTCCACCAAGGACTCCAATAAGCAGAACGACCATCTTGACAGAGTGATCTGGATAAGTGCGGCAAGCCGGTATGATTTTTAGATTCGAGAGTAGGGAAGACATCATTCCACCAAGGACTCCAACAATCAGAACGACCATCTTGACAGAGTGATCTGGATAGAGATATTATTATTATTATTATTAATCGTATGATATAGGTATGATAATATAGAAATTTTAATAGGCGATAATATGAAATGATGATTCAACATTGGTAAATTATATAAACAAAACTCATCTATTATTTATGGGAAGAGTGATAATGTTTTATCAAGAACATGCGACATCCGCGATATTTTGTTTATTTCATTCAATTTGTATACTACCCTACAGAATAAATCGGCCTACTTTACAATCCACAATGATAAAAATTAATTTTTGACAGTATTTTATGGAAAAAATTCTAGCTGTTCAACAACAAATATGAATTGTCTATCAAAATCTAAAAATATCACACAGAATGTTTCCAATCATTCAAAACATACTAAACGGCACATTCACATCCTATATTCTGCGAGTAGGTAAATTGTGAGGCGTAAAATTTATATTGTAGGTGATTTCAATATACCAGGGTTGATGGGAAAGGTTTTGACGCTACAGATATTCAGTGCATTTTTTTAATGCCCCCCTCTTTTATTTTTTGAACGGGTCAACTCAAAAAAATTGAAATTTGGGATAATGAAATTTTTGCATGAAAACTTTATTTTGAAGTGAAATTGACAGATGAAACTTTCAAGATGGTGACTGGGCGCCATCTGGGAAAAAAATCAGTTCCGTACACTTTTTGCTTCAAATGGTCCCATAAAAAAGTCCAAATGTCTCAAATCTGGCGAGCGGGCTGGCCATTCTCTAGGACATCGACGGCCAATCCAACGACCGGGAAAACTAGTATCCAAATAGTTTCTTCCTCGTCTGCAGTAATGTGGTGGTGCTCCATCTTGTTGAAATACAATATACATATCGAATTCGAAATCCATTGCTATGTGCAATCGATTTCGCATCCAAATCTTTTAGCTCAATAAATCCGCATCCCAATCGCTTGTTTAGCTTGTTTCGTTGATCGCTTCCAATTAAAAAGTGACTCGCTCAAAGCGGCTCACGTCTTTATATACCCAAACGAACATCATACTAGAATATACAATAACATTCTACCCGGTCTAGAAATTGCTACCAAATTCCAGAGAGTTCATTCAACAAGCGCCATCTAGCGTCGAGTAGCAATACTAGGTTTTACAAGGATTGTAGTCGATTTATTCAACTGTAGGCTGTAGGTGTTTCTTATGAACACTCACACTTACAGAAGGCATTGTCCACAAAACCAATTAAAATTGTATGTTCGTAACAACTACTTTAGGTATGCCGCATACAAATTATACAAAACTAACGTGAATGCTGATGAACGGCTGTCGTAGAAAGAAATGCAATGCACATAACATACACACCATACCTACCCCCTACCTACATATTTTCACACTTTTAATGGCAAATCTGATATAGTCGTGATGATAATGGCGGCGATTTCAAAAACGGGTGTCAAAATCTTAATGTTATTTTGAATATTTCAATACTTTCTACAATATACATTAAACCTTGTGAATTTATTTACGTTTTGTGATGCGATGCGGAATTTACAAATAGGTGAGGAAGTCAATTGCTCGCACTTTAGTCGCTTTGCGGCTATCTACATTTGATCTCTAGGAGGGGGCAACTGCCCCCTCCTAGAGAGGGCAGTTGCCCCCTCCTGGTGGGTTTCATTGAATTCACATATTCATGTGATTTATCTCAGTAGAGTGAGGGTCTCGTCATTGTTATCTTACCTTATCTAACAAATCGGTGCCACTTCAACAGATGTGAACAACGTAAAATCAGACTTTGAACACTTCATTGTGAGATTTTCACTAGATAGTTTTACAAAAACGCAACACGTGTTTCGCCATACAATGGCTTCCTCAGGCGTGTCCGTGCAGAAGGACATGAGTTCAATAATGCATACAATAGCAGGGGAGCCCACGATGCAAAATGGAGATTTAGTCGAGCGTCATTGAGACATATTAGGTTGCAAAGCTAAGATGATAAGAAGAAAAAAATGTTATATAATATATACCTTTTCATCGGTGGGGAAGCGGCTATACATTTTTAAATATGTAAAAAAATACTGTTGCATGGACATACTGGAGCGCGTCAGATATTGATAGCATCAATGTCCTTATCTTCTTCTGAGTAAACACGGATAGGATGATTCACCACTTCATTGGACTGGTAGGATAAGGAATTCGAAGCAAAACTGCTCAAAACTGAATTAGATATCAGTTCTTTTGAGGGCTCAGCCAGAGGACCAAACTCAGCCTCATTTAGAGTTTCCACTTCCTTTTCTGTCAAAGCTTGACGGTTTTGCCTCGAGTCTTCCACCAAACTGCACAACTCCAGTTCTTGCACTGTCTGTTCATAGGAAACATTGATAATTCACTCAGGGTTTTTGATTGAGGAATTGTACCTAAACACGAAGCTGCATTTTTAGTGCTTCAGAAGTAATATTTGCAATATGGGGTTTGAATGACATTTTTGCGTCGACAGTGATTCATATATCTCTGATTGTGTTTTTTGTTTTAAGTTCTAATTGATTGATTTTATATGGCCGGTTGATGGGATTTTTGTTTCGGAAAAAAGTAAATTTTTGACATTTGTCTATATTTAATTGCAGTAGATTTATATCACACCAGTAAATCGTAGTGTAATAATTCTGTATCAGTTGTTTGTTTCAATAATTATTTAAATTCTTCCTTATCTGTTGAAGATACACTACATTGAATTTAAGTTCAACAATCAGTTTGAAAAAACACTTGAATGTCACATGATATTGTTGAAAGGTTTGATAAAATTTGTTCAGATTGCCGTGAAATTTGAATATTCATTTGATAAACCAGGAGATTTGTATTATATCTACTGATAGAGAATACTCAGCAGTTGATTTTTCAAATTCTAAGGTGTTTAATAATTGCAATAGGGTTTTTGAGTGAACATTAATTAATAGAAATCGAAATACAAACGATAAAGAAGAAGAAAAACGCTTAGGTATGTTCGAATTTGTCCAACAGAAATTGGTTGAAGAATGGGAGACTAGGAACTTGAGAGCGAGGGTATTGAGAATGAAGTAATATTTATATGACAACACCTGCACCAGAATCGGAAGATGTTTTTGATCCATCTGTGAACCAACATCTATCTGCTCTGGATATATTTCCTTCTCCCGGAGGATCCAGCTCTCTCTACTCGGGAATAGTACTTTATAAGGCAGTTCGTAGTTGTTCATTGCATTGCTGAGTTTTATAGGATAAAACCCTGATCTTATTATTGGTTTTAGGATCACTTGGTAAAGAAAAACGAATAATTTCGCTGCATTTGTTATTTATTTCATACCTGTTAGAGTTACATGATTTTTTAAAACATCAATGAAACAGAGCGAATTGAATAAACTGGATCAGTGAATCAGTTCATCGATGGAAACACTACCGATTATTGCTTTTGCGTATTCTTTGAACATTCCTGCAAGAAAAGTTTCAACATATGGTTGTTGATTTGCTGTAATGTAAGGAGCATTGGCATTAATATATTCTCCAGTCCTCTTTGCCAGGTCAGGACGCGTTCCATTGTAAAGGTTTTGATAATCGAAAGTGATGAAATCTAATGAAACCGAAACGTTGTATGAATCCACTCGGAGGTAAGATTTTCCATCTTGTTCATATTGAACTGATCTTATCTGGTGCAGAATCGTAGTGTTGTCTGAAAAACAGAAGAACATTAATCAATTGCGAATGAATTTTCTGAAGGTATAATAACAGGAATGTGCAGTTGCATAAGTACTCAGATATGATCGGGAAAAGGAAGTAACTACAATAAAAACTCTTCATAAAGACGTGAAGAACATGATACAGAAACAAACTGAAAGATGAGAAGATAAGACATGAGTTTTGTCTCGAAACTTGTTACTTCTTGAACATGTACTACAAAGTAAACAAGTGAGGATTTTCCCAGCGAAAGATCTACAAACACAAGACTAGATAGACTTTACGCAATCATTCAATCCAGTGCTATTGTTTTGCTCACGAAGAGTATTCAACAAGAACAACAAGAATTCGGAACAATCCTCTTGTTATCCTAACGAGTATCAAGTAGACTTCAAAGCCTCCAGGAAATCAGTTGGAGGCAAAGATGATACATTCTTACGAAACTGCAGCTCCGTGAACAGGTGTTTGAGTTTGGTGAATAAGTAGGAAACATTCTCGTTCTTGTTTACCATTAAGACTTCGTTCTTGAAATTCTTCGTCATGGAACAACACTTGTAAAATGCTATTCATGTAGCAAGTGTTTCCTAAATTATCTAATCCAATTTTCTTCTCGAGATTTTCAGAACAACTCTCTACTGATTGAACATGTTTCACAGAATCTATAAGTGTTTGTTTCAAAAAGGTTTCTATCTGAAAGAAACTTCTACGTATGCTCTATATATCTTTATAATGAGTTTATTATTGTGATTATTCTCTTTTTTCCATTCTTTTGAAGTTTCCTACGTTTTTCGTACAATTGAAATAGTTTGAGTCTGGAAGTTTATATACTCTGTCAAACTGAAACTTTTTTTCATTGTGCAGAACTTTCGAGAAATATGATCTGATGAATATCAAAAAATGTTGACATCTGTCTCTTTCTGAGCACGGCATAATCGACGCTATATCTTTTCAAATAGATGAGATATTGATTTGAAACTGGTAAATAGGGTAGAGTTTGTGAAATATCGGGAACAAACTGAAATCGAGCAAAACCGAAAACTAGTTCATTCGTTTTCCGGTATTTTTTCGTTTTTTTTTTTATTGAGTTAATCTGTTCTTCTCAAAAAATATACAAAACATCCATATGTATATAATAAATCACAAAAGTTCAGGTCCATGATATGTCATCTTCTACCTGGAAAGAAGTTGAAATCACAGACAGCATTTTAGAGGAGCTGAAGTCTTGTGAATATTATTTTTATACAGATGACAGATGACTCTCAGTTTCATTAATCTTGAGGAAGAAGTTGAAAACTACAGCTCGAAGAAAGGAAATTCTGAGATTCAATTCAGCTCGGATAAAAAAAAATCAAGATTAATTTCATCATCAAATACATCAAAAGTAATATTAAGTTTCCCTGCCTACGAAAATTAGATATTGGAACATTTTTTTCCATAATTATCTCCATGAAAGTATGTATAAACAGTATACGATTGGAGTAACTAGGTCTGACAAGATTCCTGATACTCAAAACGAACATTATTATTTCTAGTCCTTTGTCTATATATCTCTATTTTTGTATCTATTTTTATCTTTTTTTCACTTTTTATTTATTATTGTATCATGCAAACCGTAACATTTTGAATTTTCAAATGTTTGGCGTTGGTAGAAAACCAGATGGGAATTGAAATGCACGATCAGAACCAAAGGCTATTTGCATGTCAAAACCAAAGTGTTCTTTCATATTGTGGAATTTTTTATTATTATTATTAACGAATAGTCAATGAATCATCATTATTAATTTGTTTGCGATGTTTCTGTTCTATCGTAAAAAGAAATAATGACGAATATAGGAAAAGTCTGATTTTATTCATAATTCTGAAACACTGCAGATCAAAATTTTTTTTATCGTGTGGAGAGACAAATTTTGGATTGTAAATTATCTCATACTCACATAATTCTTTGACGACCGGTCCGGAACCCCAAATTATATCTGGATCTCTGGTTTTATTGTACAATACTACTCCACTAGCAGCGTATACAGATTTTTGAACCACATGTGGAGAGAATGTTGTGAAATTCAGGGATAAAGTAGCTACATCGACACTGAAAAAATTTTTTCAATTAGCCTGATTTTCAATCAAACACAAGTGAATATTCGATGTGTTGTTAAAGTGAGAAGTGAATGTGATGTAGTTTTTATGAAACAGCTACATTTTGAATACCATCAACATTACTGAGTAGGTTAAACAGAAAACGTTGTTACTGTTGCTAATGACATATATAGACTACAGTTTCTATCACACAACTATCAGCTCTAACTTCATATGGTTTATGAACACTCCAAAATAGTGGGCAAACCGCGGACACGTGTTTCTGGCTATTGGCCTCATCAGCGCGGTGCAGCCAAGTGCAAAGATGGGCAACACTTGTTTGCCGAAAATAGGAAGCAACACATACGTACGGAGTCAATAACAGGAGCCGACCGCACATTTGTGGTTCCAGTCAGAAGACCCAGAATTCCATGAATTTTCATTTTTTATTTATATCATACACACTCAATAACATCTATATATTTATTTATATCCTGGACCCGGATGTCACGCAGGTAGCTATAGCTGCCTACGTGGTCATGTCAGATGTAGCCTGGGAATTCTGGGTCTTCTGCCTGGAACCACGAATGTGCGGTTGGCTCCTGTTATTGATCTCGTACGTATGTGTTGCTTCCTATTTTCGGCAAACAAGTGTTGCCCATCTTTGCACTTGGCTGCACCGCGCTGATGAGGCCAATCTTTTTTTATATTAATCACATTATGCAGTTTCTTTGGCTTCAAAACACCTATAACTTCAACACCTAGCACCTAACTTCAAAACACCTATTCTCATTCAGATATTTCCAATTTCCCGCCAAACAACTACTGACATTGTTGGAGGCCATTTTTCACACTCTTCAAAATTCAGTTGATACAGGTATTTTTTCTGTAACATCCTTCAATAATAGGGAAGCCCAAGCGGGGATTTCGGGATTTACTAAAGCGCGGCAGATTAATATACAGGGGGATACCTTGTACCTGGTTAAGTACCTCCACCAAATATGAGCCCCATATATAAGGCCGTCTGTGAGTGATAGAGGATCAGATTAGTAAAAAAAAAAATGATCATCAGAAATTCTTGAGCGCGTCAGATCAAGGTAGGGTGAGTTAATTACCTGCTAAAAAGTGTATATTCCAGTAATCTGACAATTTGACAGTAACGTAATGAAAGGGGAGGGCAGCAAAGTTGTGAAAAAATAACGGCATTTCGACATTCTCGAGCGTAGCTATTTTTTTTATTTTGAAGGAAATGATTCAAGGATAACGAAAAATATATAATCTGACGATTTCCGCAAGTCGAAATAACAAAAATTCATCGATAAAATTTAATGCCTCTCCGAGTTTCTATTCCTCTATTCTCTATTCACTTTTTCTCTATCCATTACTCTCTCACTCCGTCCCCACTCTGAATTCCGTTGTCATGACGCTGTCACAGCTGATCACAGAGACTCGTTCGTGATGAAGATGAAGATGATGAAATAATTGAAATAATTGATGGATGTAGCCGTTACTACGTGGTAGGAAATCATAATGAAGAAAAGAGAAATGAAACTTTCTATGTTTTTTACTTAACACTTTTATTTCTAACTAACGTTACTGCAGTTTCGTCCTATAAGGACATTTTTGAACTTATACAATATATTCGTTTGAAAATGTCCTTATAAGACGAAACTGCAGTAACGTTAGTCACAAATAAAAGTGGTAAAAAACATAGAAAGTTTCATTTCTCTGTTCTTCATTAATTAATCAATTGATTAAAATAAAATTTTTTTGAGCATTTAAAAAAATATATTTTCTTATAAATACAAGTATTCTTCTTGAAAAACATACACTTATTTATTTGCATGTCATTTCCTGAGCTTTTCAATCAATTAAGTTCAATGAATTGAAAAATAAAATTGAAAAAAATATTGTTTTTGTCAGATTAAGCGAATCCCTTTAGATAATCGTCAGATTATGAGACAGCACGTCTAAAACATAAATAGGAACCATATATATCTTAATCTGACGCTCGAGTAAATCCCCATTTTGCATCGTGGGCTCCCCTGCTACAATAATTTCAATTTACATATTCTGCGATCATGAATCCATTATATCATCATATTTTAAGATATAAGACATAAGACATGAGAATTGACAGCAGTCCATTTACTTTCAACGAGTCATATCAATAATGTGTTTTATATTTCAAATGTTTTAGCGCCTTATTATATATAACCTCACTTTTCGTAAATACCAATCACACCTATTTTAATGTTTTCATCTGTACACCGATCGGGTTGCTAAAAGTCTAATGAAGTCTCGAAAGCTTGAATATAAAAAAGAGTTTCCATTCCCTCACGGGAAAATATTTGGAGTTATTGTGTGGAGTTAGTCTGTTACTGTAACTCTTGAGTAGGTTTTTGTGAATATATTTGACTTACTGAGCATCCAGTATTTGGGAATTGTCGAATCCTGTGTGCGATAAATTCCAGAAGTATTCATCAAAATTGAAAACATCGTTTTTGGGGTGGTATTCACAGTAGGGGGAGAACACAGGTTCCGTTTTGATATCGATTGGGGATGAAATACCTGAAAATGTGAAGTTGCAGATTTGAAATTTTCCAAAAGATTGGAAAAATGAAATAAGATAATGACATGTAACAGTACATTTCTTTAATGTCCCCCCCTTTTATTTTTTGAACGGGTCAACTCAAAAAGTTGAAATTTGGGATAATGAAATCGAAGCATACTTTATTTTGAAGTGAAATTGACAGATGAAACTTTCAAGATGGCGACTGGGCGCTATCTGGGAAAAAAATTAAATGGAAGTGGGTCTTGTGACACATCATTTTGAAGCTCCTGACGAATACTTCACAACCCTAGAATACGAAGTTAATATCTTCACCTACTACAAAATGGCGGAACATTTAATAATTTCCTGAAGACAAACACATTAATATCGATATTTCTAGATATATCCCTTTTTATCTGCCATTGACTTCAGAAAATTATTAAATGTTCCGCCATTTTGTAGTAGGTGAAGATATTGACTTCATATTCTAGGGTTGTGCAGCATTTATCAGGAGCTTCAAAAAGATAAGACCCTTTTTTCACTTCAAAATAAAGTATTCATGCATTAATCTCATTATCCCAAATTCTAATTTTTTAAGTTGACCCGTTCAAAGAATAAAAGGGGGGGACATTTTAGAAATGCACTGTATATGAGTAAATCTTTATGAATCCAAAAACTCACCTTCTGCTAACTTGGGCCAAGCGTCTCTAATAGCATTGAGAATGCATTCATCCAGGTTTGCATCGTCTTTTCCACAAATTTGAAAATCATCAGCTGCAATAAATATTACAAAATTTCAATAGAAAATTAAAAATATTACACTTATATATCAGATATTTTTGAATTAACTAATCATATATGACTCCGTAGAGATGTTGATGATTCTTTAATAGAAATTATTTTGTCAGCAAAACCAGTTTATTGAATTTCATGGTTTATTTGTTACTGCAAATCGTTGGTTATTGGTATACCTAAACGCTGATCCAAAAAGATAAAATATCTACTACATAATATTACTACACAATTCAGAAAACAATAAATAGAAAATGTTTCGAAGGAGGTTAGTTATTATATCAATCAATCAATCAATCAAACATTTATTGAATCAGTTTTCATTTACAATCACATTAGGCAAACATCATCATAAAATACTGGCTGATACAACAGGTCAAACTATTATAGAAAAACAAATACAAAGCGTAACTTAAATGAAAATAAAATCACTAAGCTACAATCAAATTATGATTATGACTCAAGGAGAAACTCATCCACAGAGTAGTATGCTTTTTGCAATAGAAAAACCTTAAGCTTCCTTTTAGAGACATTGATGTTTGACGACTTAATGTCATTACTGAGCTTATTATATAGTTTAATAGTACAATAAGTCACTTGATTTGGAGATAATTTTAGACAAACATTCTCCAGATATTCTATGTATTAGTGAGAGCAGGCTTAAATCACAAGACTGTTAATCTTTTCAAATAACTGACTATAATTTAATCTCTTTTTTCTGTAGGGCGAAACGTATCAGGGGAGGGGTATGCATTTTTGCTAAAAAATCCTTGCAAGTAAATAACATTCCTATAGAAATTAGTATAGAGCAAGATATTGAGGTATGTGCATTAGCGTTAAACGGTAAGAATAAAACTATAATAATTTTATCGGTATATAGATCACCTCTTGGTAATACTTTAACTTTTTTTGATTCATTTGATCGATTACTTGTGATGTTGTATAGTAAGTATAAAAACTTAGAATTAATAGCTTGTGGTGACTTTAACATAGGTATGTTAAGGTCTACTAATGAGAGAACTGACTTCATAAATATAGTTGAGCAACATAACATCAGTGCTATTATAAGTGAACCTACTCGTATATGAGGTGATTCAGCAACTTGTATTGATAATATTTTGTCTACTTCTAATCCTATTAGTTACTCCATTAATCATTCCTATATATCTGATCACACTTTCCAGCTGGCAACTTTCTGCTATGATCAGGTTGACCATAACCAAGAAACTCACAAGAGATGTTTTAATGACTACAATATTGAGAAGTTTTCTAGTTTACTGCTGGAGACTGATTGGTCTTCAGTGAACGACTCAGTTGAAGCAAATTCTAAGTTTGATCCACTCCAGGTGGATAACTACTGAGTTGAGAGAAATCAGTAGAAGGTTAACCGAGTTATCTGAGCTGAACAAAGTATATAAAAATGGTTTATATCAGAGGGAATATCAAGAACTTAAAATAATATATCAGGATAAATTGAAACATGCTAAGAATACTAGCAATGATGATAGAATCTCTTCTGCTGATAATAAAGTGAAAGAATCCTGGAAAATCATCAAGGAATCCCAGACTGGTTATTCTGGCAATGCAAAATCTTGTCTAGAAAGTGCTGAAGATGGGGTCCTTCTTTCTGATGATTTTGCTATATGCACCTTTTTAGTGAGTATTTTTCAACTGTTATCAGTAGCATATCGAAACCTGATACTAAAAATATTAATTATATGTCATCTTCACATCAAAGTATTTTTTTATATCCAGCAACTAAGCTGGAAATTGAACAAGTTATCAAAAAAGTTTGTAAGAAAAAATCGTCCGGTATTGATGAAATTCCTGGTCTTGTTATAAAAAACGTTGCCAATGTAATTTCTGAGCCTTTGACTCATATAGTTAACTCCACTTTCATAGAGGGGAGGTTTCCTGATATACTGAAAATGTCAAAGGTTTTGCCAATATATAAAAATAAGGGCTCGAGATCTGACTGTGCATCTTACAGGCCTATATCGCTACTTAGTCAGTTTTCTAAGATTATTGAATACTGTTTCTATCAAAGATTATATGATTACTTTGAATCATTTAGATTATTTTCTTCTAGTCAGAATGCTTATAGAAGAAACTCTTCTGTTATATCAGTTGTATAGGAGCCAGCATAATTGTCATCACTCAAGAATTATTTTCTTGATTTACAGTCTGGAAAATCGTAAACCATGTAGAACTTTCCAGTAAAATAAAAGTTAATTCGAATAGGTACTACTACGAGTAACTTAATATCAAGTCACAAAACCTTTACAGCATGTCACTACCTGAAACTAAACAAATTGAGACTTTAGTGTAGTGATATCTTCTTGGAAATGGCTTCAAAGTCGAAGCCGAAACGTCTGAAGTCCAGGTTGAATCGCGTTTGGTGTTTGTTGTTCGAAGTGCCATTTTCAAGAAGTTATGACTACCCCGAGGTTTCAATCTGCCTACTCCTAAGGTAGGGACACGCTGTAAGGGTTTTGTGACTTGACATCGGGGTCTCAATCTGCCACGTCTAAGCCTGAGAGTATGCAGATTGAGACCCTCGTAGAACATTCTTTTAGAACTAGTTATAAAAGTAATAAGAAAGAAATGAATTGAAATAGAACAGAATTGCCGAATCTACCAAAATAAATTTCATGGAATAACTAAACTCAAGTTATTTTTCAAAAGATGAAACTTATTACAGACGTATTCTAGAAACAACAATGAGTACAACCATTTTCCCAATAATTAGTGTTTTCATTCTATCTCGTTAGGGTTTTGCATCGTTCTGCCTAAATTATCAATACTTATGGAAGTTGTTATTTTGTTCACCTGAGTAATTGTTGCTACTATATTTACATGTATTGTGTTCTCTGCTGTTTGGGTATAATTTACTTAAACATTGAAGTGTCTATTATATAATAGTTACCTACTAGGCATCGATATTATTCAAGGCAAGAATAATAATATGAAAAAATGAGTATTTCAAAATAAAATCTCGAAATAGTCATCTCCCCCAACTACTTCCCGGCTACTACCACGCTGGATATTGAATTATATCCGAAAGACATTTATGCAAGATATCTCATAGAGGTTAGTCTCGCAGATGGACCATGTCGAAATTATTCTAGTAGATCACAGACATACCGGTTTCGAGGAAGAGATACTACGAGATTTATTTTCTTATACAGCGTGACTCACGGTCGATGGTAGGTTAGACGTTTCTGGAAAACGCAACGCATGATTTTTCTGAAAATTTCACCTCTCACATTTCCTTACCTGTTCTATCGATCTAAAATATTTTCAGCATTGCCCCGTATATTAATACATTTTTGGAATCGCTCTGTTATTTTATTACTTTTTTGTTAATAATGTCTTATACCTATCTCCATCTGTTTTCGAGATAAAAAATAGTGCTAAATATGGTCCAAAACATAAACTTAATTGAAATTAAGTATCAATTCATGAAAAGTTGATATTTTGATGATAGTTTGGACAAACTCGAAATATTCAAATAACACCAAGAAATCGACTCCATGTCATACAGGGCGTGCTTAAATTACTATTATTTCCATTGTGCATAAAAGTAGTCGAAAGTTCATTTTTTCAAATGAAATTCCCTGTATATTACTCGATAAATTGAAAGATGATGAAAAATGCTTCAAGATGATATACATATCCCTATATCTAAATCGTCAAGTTTTCTTAATAAAGCCGTTTTTGTGGAAAAATAGTTATTCACGTTTTACCTACAAGTGTTGAAAGTGGCATTTATTTTGTGAGTGGGGATTATTGCAAAACGAGCGTCAGCAAGTGGAGCAAACTCACAAGCAGAATAAAATCACTTTTAACAAATGTATCATACAAATTTTTTTGTATAACGTTACTGCTGATGATAAAAAAAAATATAGGGTCCATGGGATTTGAACACACGATCTTTGGATTACAAGGCATATGTTACAACTACATACGCCAACTCACGTTATTTTACGGAGAATTATTGGTTAGTCATGAAGGACTTTCTACAGTTGGACTGAATACTACTTCGTCATCGTCAGTAACTTCACAGGGATTTAATATTACCAATAGCACGAACTGCATGTGTGAACTTTTCTAAATGATTTTTTGGTAGGTGTTCTGATTTAACTGTTTCTATCAAAGAGATTTTCAATAACAGTTGAACAAAAAATAATTTTTAAAGAATTTGATTTCTAGGTAGCCGTGGAAATATCAAGCTTATGACAGTTTGGTGACTTTTATAAGTAATTGATAAATGGTTATTGACGGTGTTTCAAAAAATCGCCAAAAATGAATGCAAATATTGATTATTCAAACGTAGTTCTTTTGAAATTATTTATTATACACTGACAGTGTGATCAAAGCATTGCCAGAACTTGTAGAAAATTCAACCAAATGTATCCTGAATTAACACCAATGAACGAGAGGAAGTTTGCAAGATTACAAAATAATTTCCTTAACTATGGCTCCATGTTGAAAGCGCCTTCAACATTACCAAAACCTGCTACTACAAATGGGAATAATACTGTTAATGTTTTGGCATATTTTTATGCATATCCAGAAGCTTCCATTCGCAGTGCAGAAAAAGATTAAGATGTATCACATGCTTCAGTACAACGAATTTTGAAAAATCACGGAATGCATCCGTATAAATTTACCAAAGTTCAAGCTCTAAAAGCAGACGACTTCGAACGTAGAATGCATTTTTGTGAATTCCTTTTGATTCATACACAGGAAGATCGGGAATTTTTGTCAAAAATAATTTGGAGCGACGAATCAAAATTCACGAGGGATGGTATTTTCAATAGTTGGAATAAACATTTTTGGGCTGATCATAATCCTCATGTTACAAAAGAAATGGGTTTTCAAGAAAAATTTGACCTGAATGTTTTCTGTATTCTGAAGAACAATGAAATTAGCATTGTTATTTATGAAGACACACTGAATACAGAGAGATATCTCCAAATATCGAGGACGACTGTAACCGATTTTTTCGAAAATTTGCCTTTAGAGGAATATAGGAATTCGTGGTTTCAACTAGACGGAGCGCCAGCTCATTCCACCCAGGAAATTGAAAAAGCAACCACAAGTCGCGTACAAATAACATTTTGAAGTGTTTAGAATGTAATTGACAACATTTTCAGCATTTATTGTGAAAATGTGATATTTTGTTTACAATTTTGTTATTTTGAATCATCCTATTCTGTTATTGTCTGTACTTTCACATGTTTTGGCCCACAAAATCTTACTTTTTACCTAGAAGTGACTGATTTTTGGTACAGTTGTTCCTTGGAAACTTTAAGCCATAGTTAAGGAAATTATTTTGTAACCTTACAAATTTCCTCTCGTTCATTGGAATAATCGTTTGAATAATCGATATTTGCATTCATTTTGGAAGATGATTCGAAACACCGTCGATAACTCTTTATAAATTACTTATAAAAGTAACCGAACTGCTATAAGCTTGATAATTCCACTGCTACCTAAATCCAAATTCTAAAAAAAAAAATTATGTTTCTAGAAGAAGCGACTTTATTGAGAAAACTTGACGATTTAGATATAGGGACATGATATATCATCTTGAAGTATTTTTCACCATCTTTCAATTTACTGAGTAATATACAGGGGGTTTCATTTGAAAAAATGAACTTTCCACTACTTTTATGCACAATGGAAATAATAGTACTTTTAGCACGCCCTGTATGATATGGAGTCGATTTCTTGGTGTTATTTGAATATTTCGAGTTTGTCCAAACTATCATCAAAATATCAACTTTTCATGAATTGAGAGTACTGATGTACTTAATTTCAATTAAGGCTATGTTTTGGACCATATTTAGCACAATTTATTTTTTATCTTGAAAACAGATAGAGATAGGTATAGGACATTATCAACAAAAAAGTATTAAAATACCAGAGCGATTCCAAAAATGTATTAATATACGGGGTGTTCCATTAAAAAAAAAAAAGTTGCTAGGACTTTTTGATGGAAGTGGCAACGCCGCAATGCTGAAAATATTTTAGATCGATAGAACAGGTAAGGAAATGTGAGAGGTGGAATTTTCAGAAAAATCATGCTTTGCGTTTTCCAGAAACGTCTAACCTGCCATCGACCGTGAGTCACGCTGTATACGTATGTATTTCTCCACGATACAGTCTTAGTTCAAAAAAGAGTACAAAACAAAAACGGATTCAGTTCTTAAAACAGTTCCAATAGAAAATTCACAAGGAAAAGTATAAAATATAAAATAATTTCTATTCAATTAGCACTTACGGAATACATAACCTCCAAAAGCTTGAGCGGACAAGAGAATGATTGCTGATACCAGAAGCTTCATCTTGGCTGGGTTCTGATGGCTCAGGCATTGAGAATCATGCTTTATATATCCGTTGGAATATTGAAATCTAACAAGTGCATCATGACTGAAGTGGGTTTATAGATAATCGGGCACATTTGCCAAAAATAATCACTCAAGTACTCGAATAAATAAAAGCAAAATCGAATAAAGGACAAAATATTTCCTTAGAAACAAAAGGTTCAAGGATACAAATTGAAGGATTGTTGATTCTGTGAGACTGATTGAACGAATTTTTCATTTATTTTTTCTTATAACTCATATACAGGGGGTTTCAAATTCTATCCTCATCATTGGGATCTTGGAAACTATGAGAGATACGAATTTGCGCTTCATTACCTGACTAACAATATGCCGTCGAGAAAGTTCTGAAATTCCTAGTATATACAGAGATATCCGGAAAAAACAGAAATTTCGGAAAATGATTTTAATTTTTTTCTGGCTTTATTTTTCGAAGAATTCGAAAATAAATTGCACTTCCACATTGCCACTTTTTCTCTGCTACATAATGGTGTTTTCGTCTTTCGGCCACCATCATTAACTTATTTTTTTTGGTGCTACATTGGATTTTTTCTGTTTTGAATAGAACCGGATTTTACCTTTTCAATGATGTATCATATCATCACTGGAGATATGGAGATATTAGGACATCGAAAATGTATTTAAACTCGTATCCCGAGAGACGACAACCACATCGAACTATGTTCAAGATATTGGATCAAAATCTCACCGAGTTTGGTTCATTTGAAAAGCCGAGGAAAAAATACGGAGACAGAATGGACCAGGAAACTGAAGAAAATTCGATAAATGAGGTATGTATGAGGTAAGTTTCATAAGAACATGAACCCGGGGAAATCTACAAGTCAAATTTCATCCGATATGAATATTTGTCATACAAGTGCTTGGAGACATCTCAAAAAAGCGGTTTAAAATGTTATAAAATCCACATATCTCAAAAATGGCACCAGGCGATCCCGAAAGGCGATTAGAATTTTTTAATTGGCTAATGAGAAGACCTGATTTTCCTGTTTTCCTGGAAAATGTAATTTGGTCAGATGAAAGCACTCACATTACGAATTTTGGAAAATTTAACCGAAATAACGAACACCTTTGGAGGATAAACAACCCCAGGCAGTTCCGAGAAATTCGACTTCAAATGGGATTTAGTATTGACGTGTGGGCAGGAATTTACAAAGATAGAATTTTCGGTCCTCATTTATTTGACGGAATTCTGAATGGAGAAACCTATCGCCAGTTTTCAATGTCGATTTTTGAAGACTATTTGGATGATCTACCTTTGGCTAACTATAAGAACATCTGGTTTCAACATGATGGTGCTCCACCGCACACTACCAGATGAGTATATAATTACCTGACTGAAAGGTTTGGTGATAAATGGATAGGGAATAATAGGCCGGTGAGGTGGCCGGCAAGGTCCCCAGACTTAAGTGTTATGGATACATCTGTTAAAAATTTTGAAAATCTACCTTATTCAACCTCAGTGGTTTTATCACAACTCATAAATCAGTATTTTGAATCTGGCGAGTTCCCATCGTTTCTGAAGACATCTCTGATAATCTCTTTGTATAAGGGTGGACCCAATGATGACCCTTCCAACTTCCGGCCTATAGCACTTATTCCTACCCTTGCTAAACTCATAGAAAAACTAGTGAAAAGCAGAATTTTATGTTTTTGCAATGATAATAACATCCTTACTTCTCGTCAATTTGGATTCCAAGTAAATAAGGGTACTAATGATGCTATGTTCTCTCTGTTAGAAGCGATATACTCCGAATATAACGCTAAAGAAGCAGTCGCTGCTATTTTCTGTGATCTATCGAAAGTTTTCGCCTGTGTCAACCATGAGATCCTTCTTAATAAGTTGCAACAGTATGGCTTCAGAAGCAACACTCTCCACTGGTTTCATTCGTACTTATCAGGTCGCAAACAGGTAGTTAAAACAACCGAGTGTTCCTCTGGTCAAACTATCAAATGTGGTGTACCACAAGGATCGATCCTTGGCCCAATTTTGTTTCTTATGTACATAAATGACTTAGCTTTTATAGATATAACGGCCACAATTACTCTCTTTGCTGATGACACCACTTTATTATGGCACAACAAGGACATTCCTACCCTTCAAGATGCCATCTCATCTGACATCAACAAAATCAAAGAATGTTGCGACTGCAATAAGTTATCATTTGATATCAATAAAACTAGCATACTTACTTTCCACTACAACTTACCTGAGATCTGCCTTGGTGACAAAATCTTAGACAGGGTACATAGTTATAAATTTCTAGGGTTGAACATTGATGATAAACTGAAATTTGAAAATCACACAATAAACTTAAGCAAGAAGCTTGCCTCAGGTTGCTATGCACTAAGAGTGATTTCTAGACAACTAGGCTACTCCCATTCAAGAACAGCTTATTTCGCTTTAATAGATCCCCATATTAAATATGGAATTGCCTTCTGAGGAGTCTGTTCTAGAGATTTATTTCAAATGATTTTTGTGCTCCAAAAAAGGGCTGTCCGATATATGTGCAAAGCAGCTCCCAGGGATCCATGCAAGCCTCTTTTCATAGCTCACGTTATTTTAACAGTAGCTGCCCTGTTTATCTTGGAATCAATTTGCTTGATAAAAAAAATTATTCTTGTGCATCTCCCCCTTCCTCATTTAATACTCGTAGCCACAATAGTAACATAGATCTGCCTATTCCTGCGAGCTCCCTTGTTAGGGATTCAATTATATTCAACGGGATCAAACTGGTTAACCACTCACCAGCCTGAATTAAAGAAATTATAGTGCTTAACAAATTCAAAAAAGCAGTTGAAATGCTATTTGTTGATAGGGCCTATTATTCAGTTCAGGAGTATCTTGACGATTCTCTTGAATCTTAACTTTTATTTCTATGTCCTGTTATTCCCAGCTGAATATCTCAGTGTATTTCACATTTTCAGCTTATGTTTATTGTATTTTGTTTAAATTGTGAATGTTTTTTATGTAGATTTTTGTATCTTACATATTATTTATGACTTTGTCTACAAGGTGCAGTTCTTCAGACAATAAAGTATATTTGATTGATTGATTGATTGATTCTTATGGGGTACACTGAAAAATAGAGTTTATGGTCAGAGGGAATATCAAAATATTGAGGACCTTCAACACATTATTGTTAGAGGGTTCGGAAGATTGAGAAGGAGGGAAATTAATCGTGCATTGAATAATATTCGAAGAAGGGCACAGTTGTGTTATCATGAAAAAGGCCTGCATTTTGAGCATTTGCTGTGATTTACTTTTGTCTTTACATTTTAGCTAATTATTGTTATTTGTCCTGAGTTCTATTTTCATTGAAAAGGACACAACGTATAATTTACCTCATACACACCTCATTTATCAAATTTTCATTGTTGATTCTGTCTCCGTATTTTTTAATTGGGTTTTCAGACGAAACAAACTCGGTGAGATTTTGATCCAATAACTTGAACATAGTTCGATGTGGTTGTCGTCTTTCGGGATACAAGTTTAAATACATTTCCGATGTCCTAACACTGTATTTATCGTATTTGTAATAAATTTGTATCATATCTCTTTTTTCTTCATGCGTGAAATCCATTTCTCGCCAAAAATTCAATGACATGGACATTAACAAAATGTCATGGAGTGTAACATATTGAAAGTCAAATTCAGAAACATTAAAGTCAAAGAATACGAAGTATAGCGCCCATGAGAAAAAATAAAGTTGATGATGGTGGCCGGAAGACGAAGCGTCGGAAAGCAAATCTAAAAAACACCATTATGTAGCAGGGAAAAAATGGCAATGAGCAAGTGCGATTTATTTTCGAAACGTTCGTAAAATAAAGGCAGAAAAAATAAAAACCATTTTCCGAAATTTCTGTTTTTCTGGATATCTCTGGATATACTTCGAATTTCAGAACTATCTCAACGGCATATTGTTAGTCAGGTAAATGCGCAACTTTGCCCCAGTTTAACCATCTTCGTATCTCTCATAGTTTCCGAGATCCCAATGGTGAGGATCGAATTTGAAACACCCTGTATAAGGTGATGAATGACAAATAATCGAGGCGATGACATGCAGAATTAGTCGATCTTGTCTTTGATAGTTTCACTAGTGGCAGACTGAAAAAAATTCAGGTCTTCAAGGGACCAACAAATTATAAACCAAACCAAAATTTCTGTCTCTTTGGATATTCTGCATAAAAAACAGAGTATCTTTGAAATTTTGCCGTTCAAACTTTCCCACTACGATAAGAGGAACAACCTTCAAGGTTCAATTCTAGACCTTTCGCTATTTCTGACTTACGATTCAACGATTTACCAAAAATATTCTTCAAGCTCCAACAGCAATGTTTGCAGATAACACATTCGATTAGTAGTTGGTAGTAATATCGATGAATAAATAGACAAGTTGAACCATACGTCGACTTTGCGGAGACGAGACCTGCAAAGTAGGCAGATTGAGACCTTAGTGCAGTCACTTCGTTGGAGATGGTTCCAAAGTGGAAGCCGTGGAGGTGCAAAAGTGAGGGATCTTTCCTGCAGGGGCAGCCGGTTCCTTGCCTTCATTCAAGGCGGAGCTCTTGGCGCCCGCCGCAGGAAGTGCTCTCGCTGTTGGAGGTGGAGTGCGGGAGGAGAAGGGTGCGCTTATAGTTGCTGCCACTCCTGTCTCTTTTGATATCTTTCTCCTTTTGGCCTCGGCACCGCAAATGCGCTTACGACTTGGCTTTTGTATTATATCACGAGGTGATCTGCTATGACCAGCCACATTCCAAGTGGTAGACTTGGGTGAGCAGTTCTGTTCATTGAATTGAATTGAAACTTTCAATGTCTCTTACCATATTTATTTGTAACTAACGTTACTGCAGTTTCGTCCTATATCTATATAGATATATAGATAGATATATAGATATCTATATAGATATGGTATATACCAAAGTTGTCAAAGAATATCTCATAATTTGAGGTTAATTTTCGATAGTGATTGTAGTATTCCATATTTGGGATACCTATTCCATATATAAAATTTTTTGTTACCTTGAACTTATCAATATAACTTAAAATTGTTACTAACTTTACTTAAGGGTAAATATATAAAAATGGATGTTTGTTGATTGGTTGGTTGGTTGGTAACTGATAAACTTCTACATCGCTCAACCAATCGTGATGAAACTTGACATGTATAAGTAATTTTTCATAGAGAAGGTTTATAGGCTATCAATTTTTCTGTCGCCACTAGATGGCGCTGTAGTACAATTTTTTGAAAGCACTATTCTATAACGCTGCCACGCCCAAGTCCGTTGATTCTGATTCTGAATATAAAAATGGATGTTTGTTGGTTGTTTGATAAGTGATAAACTTCTACATCGCTCAACCGATCGTGATGAAACTTGACATGTATAAGTAATTTTTCATAGAGAAGGTTTTTAGGCTATCAATTTTTCTGTCGCCACTAGATGGCGTTGTAGAACAATTTTTTGAAAGCACTGTTCTTTAACGCTGCGCACGCCTACGTTTGTTGATTCTGAGTCTGTCAAAACATTGGAACAGCAGCGATACAGCAACATAGTACTAGTTGTTAATAAATAGTACAAAATAAATTGATAGATGTAGCCGTTACTACGTGGTAGAAAATCATATTGAAGAAAAGAGAATTGAAACTTTCTATGTTTTTTACAACTTTTATTTGTAACTAACTTTACTGCAGTTTCGTCCTATGAGGCCATTTCAAACTTATACATTTGAAATGTCCTTATAGGAAGAAACTGCAGTAACGTTAGTTACAAATAAAAGTGGTAAAAACATAGAAAGTTTCAATTCTCTTTTCATCAATACTACAAAAACTTTTTTATTTATAACATTAGTGCAAATTATGCTTAAAAAACAAAATGGTGTTCCATATTTGGTCACTTTTCTCTATTACTTCTGATAATATAAAGTCTACGAAATAATACACTTTTCCATTGTTTTAGTTTATTTGTTGTGTTAATTTCACTTTATCCCTTTCATTGTCACGTGTAAATGACATGGAAAAATGCAATAATACACTTTTCCATTGTTCCCATATATAATTCATATATAATAATTCAGAGTTGAACAATTTCAGTCAATTGGAAAGAGTATGCTGACCGGAGTACTTTCGAGAATGAGATTTGTGTGAGACTTGAATACTCCAGCAAGGAAGTCTTCAACATAATGACTCATGTTCGCCATGATGTACGGAGCAGTCGCATTGATATAACTCCCTGCCCTTTCGGCCATTTCAGGATTCGTCCCGTTGTAAAGATTTTCGTATTCGATTGTGATGAAATCCACCAAGGCCGAGGTAGCGTAAGATCCTACTTTGATATATTTATCGCCATCCCTTTCTTCTATAACTCCTTTCAATTGGTGGAGTATTGTCAAGTTATCTGAAATTACCAAAAATTATGTACCGTTCAATGTGAAGTGCCTGATAATGAAATAAAATTTTGATATGCCAGTAGAAATGCAATTATAAATTCAAACCGCATCACAAAAATAGCGATATTCAAGTATCTTATCTACCATATTTCCATTCAACTTCTGCTGCACACAACTTCTCACACAAAAATTTGGAACTGAAAAATTTAAATGAACCAAGGTTAGGTAACCTCCACCTCCAACTCATGGAGTTCCTCAAGGCTCGATTCTTGGACCTTCAATATTTTCGCTGTAGATTTCAGACTTTCATCAAGTAATAAACTAATTCTGTAACCACCATTATGCTGATGGTACTCAGTTGCATTTCTTATTTTTTTTTATAGCGACTGGCAAACTTCAGCAGAAAAAATTGATGCAGACCTTTTCAGCAGAAAAAATTTCAAGGTAATGATATAACGAGCGCAACTTGGAAAAATTTTGCTGACGTTCAGATAAGAATTCCAATTAGGGTGAATTGAGTTTCGGCAAAGAGATTTGGAGGAATATATATTAGCTTCGTTATCTTGAAACATGAATAATTATCTGGCTTATTGGAAAATCGTGAATATTTTCCACATTATGAAATTTTACTGTTACATACTGAAATGGATGGAGAGGAGAGAAAAGGTGAGGGAAAACAAAATAAGAGAGGAGTAATAATGAAGGAAAAGGAAAGAAGAGGCAGGAAGGAAATGCATGGGTAGAGAAGTGAAGGAAAGGGCAGGGCCGGAGAGGGGAGGGAGGATGAGAGAGGACGGGATGGGAAGGAAAGAGAAGGATAGGAAAGGGGAAGCGAGGGAAGGAAAGAAAAGAGAAGGAAAGGAAAAAGGAGAGTAAATGTGTCATGTTGGATTCAAAGTTTCATTAAGAAGCGATATACCGATCCAAATAATGACTTCAACCAACCTTTCTTCATTTTCATCTACGTTGTCGAGAAATATATAGTTTTTCAAATTTATACTTATCTCTATCAAATTTGATATGACAATTTTTGTTTCAACTTCAGATTCGAAATATTCATTCTGCATAGCAACAACTACATTCTATATTTTGCTTCAAACTTATCAAATTTTTCAAATATCTTACATATCTTACAAGTGGTTATTGTTTGATTATTTATTGAGGTGTACACGTGTCTAGTTGTAATGATAAAGTCAAACTTGAAGCATTCAGAGAATGTGATACCTTATAATTTCATCGTTTATTGATTTTGGACTGAAAGTATAGATTATGACTAGTAATGTTGTCAAATGTGGAAAAGTATTGAATGAATTCAGCGATTTTTTAAATAGCTTACTATCTACAAGGCGTCTGGTCCTGATGAAGTGCCTGTCATGGTACTTTTGCGTCAATGAACTCGCACCAGCATTTTGCAGACTTTTCAACCTTTCTTGTTGAAATATTGCTCGCCTTCGGCCTATTCCAAAAAGGGCAAAAAAAAAATTTTTAAATAACTTTAGACCAGTCGCTTTGCTACCACTGATATCTTAAATCATTTTGAATATTTGGAAAGCTTTGTTGTGGAATTGGCCGCGGTGGTAGTGTGTCCGACTCACGTTCGGAAGACCGTGGGTTCGATTCCTACCTCGAGCAGATATTTTCCTCGAGAGATTTTATCTGGTTGAAGCTGGGATGATTCTGCAACCGTGTTAGGAATCACACGTTGAAAGGTAAGACCTCGTTAGTCCTTAGCTCGCACAAGTTTCTCAACTTCTGAGAGTTGTCGTTCGTATGGGGGAGACAGCTGATTAACGGAAAAACAGTTTTTAAACATCTTGAGCGATCATCAGTATGACTTTTGGAAACAAATATCAACAGGCGACCCATATTTGGAATAACGCAGTCGAGAAACATGGAAAGTCAAGAGCTGTTGCGCTTGATATTTCTAAGGCCTTGAGACATTTGAACGATATAATTTATAATTTTTTAAATATCTGTCACCCATCTGGAACAGATCAACAGTTGAGATTTGCTTGCAAATAACAGAACTAAATAAGCATCGGCTATATTTGTCTTGAGTGTAAGTCAGACAATATCTGAATAGTATGAAAAGTAAATTCTAATATCTCTCTCCTTATGCTGAGATATGTCGAAGATTATCTCATCGATCACATTACTCATATTTTAAACACCATTCATTAGGTTGAATTTCAAGAATTTCAAGTCAGACAATATCTGAATAGTATGAAAAGTAAATTCTAATATCTCTCTCCTTATGCTGAGATATGTTGAAGATTATCTCATCGATCACATTACTCATATTTTAAACACCATTCATTAGGTTGAATTTCAAGCGCTCTCATAACTTTCTCACCAGTAGAATCTTCGCCAATCAATACCTGGCAAAAATGACTGTCGTCGACTTCATCGAATCCCAATTGGCGCCCAATTTTTATGCCGATGGAATCAATCGATTTGTTTTACGTTACCAAATGGCGCTTATTTCTATTAAATTGAATGAGTATTCAGTGAGATATCACAATTCAATATAGATTCATGAAAACAAAACAAAATTAAACAGTGAATCATGTCTCTCTTCTGGTTCATTAGGCCTGTATTGTCCAAGGTTTTTGAGCTAATTCCACATAATATCCATGGAAATCTTGGATTACAACGAAGCATTTGATACTCTAGATCATTATATTTTGAAAAGCTACTTCAGTCATCCAACCCAAAACATGTGTTCGGATGGTCGTTACCCAAATATTTCACCTCCAACTCATGGAGTTCCTCAAGGCTCGATTCTTGGACCTTTAATATTTTCGCTGTAGATTTCAGACTTTCATCAAGTAATTAACTAATTCTGTAACCACCATTATGCTGATGGTACTCAGTTGCATTTCTTATTTTTTTTATAGCGACTGGCAGAAAAAATTGATGCAGACCTTCACAAACTTCAGAACCTACTAAATATATCGCATTTTCCACAACAGCTACTTTCGGGGTAAGAAATAAAACAAACTTTATCATGGTGACTCATTTTTACAGTGCTTTTAATTTCATATTTTACAGATATGGTATAAGGTTTCACATATATATTTAATATATCTAACTGTTTTATATTTCAATAATATATTTTCGTCGAGATATGTATCACCTAAGGCTAGCACTGTAAAGCCGTGTTTTCTGAAAAGTTATCATTTTCACGTCATACAATGATGCAAACAAATAATGAACCTTTCAACTGGAGGTCAATTTTAAGCTGAGTGGTGCTGAGAAATGATCATACTTTCAAATATTCGAACTGGAAAATTCAAAATATTTTCACTATTTGGTTATTCATTTTTATAAAGATGCATCTAGATCATATACAAAAGAATAAAATTATGGTGGATGGAGGTTTGGACATGTGACCGAAAGATGCATTGAAAATTCTTAGTGATGGAACGGCACAAAGGAAATCAAATACATAATAAATGCGATTCCACCAGTTATGATCGATTTGACTGCAAAATTTGCTACTTAAAGAGATACGGTTTTCATGGAAGCTTATATTCTCTGTTGTAGGCAACATTATAACATATACAAACAAGTGAAACTACATTCATATCTGTATATGAACATCATCCGCTTCCTTTAAAACAAATAGTTATTGAGGGAGTAGTCTTTTTGATATTTCGAAGAAGAAGAATTTGTCTTGACTTCTCCATGGGTATTTGTACGTATCTTTGAAAAGAAAACAACAAAAAATAGAAACAGGATACCACAACGTCCAGTCTTGGGACCACTATATGGTTCTAGTGATATCATTTTGGATAACAAGAATCTGAAAATGACCCACGTAACCAACAGAAAGTTTCTTGTATCAGAGTAATTCATTCTGGAAATTTCATGGGACTTGGTATAAAGATGAAATGAGTCACACACTTCCATTGGAGAGAGATCAAATATATGGATTCAAAACTATATCAATCTTTTATGTGGAATGGAATATCTATATATGCTCTATCGACTAGGTCTACTAACATGGTGATATCCTAAATCAAAAGTATCCAGTGAACTCAAACACTCCACTGGAGCAAACAACTTACTTACTAATATCATTATTCAACTCATACACATGAAGTTCCATCCAAACCTCTCGACTAGAGTAGGACATTGTAAGGAGAACACCGTTGGATAACATGAAGAATAGATAAACCAAAACACAATCAAATTACTTCTCCATCACTATTCAGTATTGTAAATACAGGGTGAGTATGTATTTCGAACATGTCTCATTTTATCCTTTCAACTTCTATCACCGTCAGTAATGAGACAGTTTTTTTATTTCCTTTCTTCTGTTCCATACGCAACCCATTTTGCTTCGAACTCTTTTTGGTCCACCCCAATGTTCATTCATCCAGAAACGAATAGAAATCTCATTCTCACAACGTCTGGTATCCTTCTTCTTTGCCTTCCTACTCTGTTACTGCCTAACAACAATTTTTCCACGTTTTTTCCAATGACTCTCTTGTAGTTGATTGCTATGAAAACTATATGTCTTCTTACATAGTGAAAATATTCATTGATTTTTCGGTTGTGAGCACTGATATATTTCTCAAAGTAGTAGATTTTTTCACTATTAAAATCTACCGTCTTGAGATTGTATTATTTTCTTAAACATATCTTTATTAAAAGTGCATTTCCATGTCCATTCCCATTATCTTCATCTCTGTCAATCGCTCTCTGTCAGATACAACGAATGCAATGGAAACAACTTTGATGCCACTCATCAACGACCACAAAAACATCTCGGAAAGCGAGATGGTATTAGACGCACAGAAACCTTGTTTAATTCTGAATAGAATCAAAACCTTTGATGTAGCTTAAGAAGAGGTCATTTCTTCATACCCTGCTCACTCCTGTGGATGAAAAAAAAAATGATGGTGAAATAATCAATTAATTTCAGAGTGATAGTTGAAATCAATGAATCTGGACCCTTTTGACTCCTCGGATTCTGATAGTTCAGTTTGGACTTTTTTCAGTCTCTTATACTACTTTGGTTCATTCAGAGGTACAATTTGTGAACAATATCTCAGGTGCATATTGGCAATTATTATATATTATTTCCAATTTAAGATCGATATACCAACATCTTCTTGTGACTGGTCGTTTCATGAAGATACAGCATCCTTTTATTTATATAGCTCAAAGATTTTTTTAATAACTCCTATAGACTAAGAATGATCAACAAAATGTTCCGCCTATGCCTTGGGCTAGTTCAGACATACCTAAAAATGAAATTTGTTTCATCCTAAGCACCAACTGTCAAAGATTCAGGAAGGCTGATCTGCTCGAGCTATTACTTGATCCAAAGGGTTCAAATAATGCCATTACCATTCTGAACCATTAACATCGGTATCAAAACAATAGTACAGGTAAAGACTCATATAGTTAACAACAATATACACAGCTATCGAGCTCATTTCTTAAGATAATGAGTACCAGAACTAAGTTCTTGTTTGTGATCATTACCAATCATAACTGCTATCAGGAGCTTTTGGTTGCTGCGTTAACAATGTGGTGCTTGGTTCTGGAAATCCACACCCAGGTTGTTGGGATCTAGTAGTTCCCATCTGAAAGTTGAATTTTTTTATGAGATAATGTGCGTAGGTAGAGTAGTTTATTTCATCACGTTACATTTACAGCAGATAACAAAATTTAGAGATGCTAAAGTCTTGAATTCAACACACGTTACAAATGAAACAGAAGAAACTTATTATGTGCACACTGCCTAGCGAAAGCTATGTATGGTTATATACATTCTAACGTCGGGAAGAGACAGATTTCTTTAGTTCAGAATTTTTCAAACGCCGGATCTGTCTCTCATACAATGTAAAATTATGACAAGACCGGGAGTGTTATATAAATAAAATTCATCGGCGTATTTTGAAAAGATACACAGTCAGATATATTTGTCACGTAGCTGAAAAGCGCTCAGAATGTGGATATGGGACCATCAATATCCCAGAGAAGACAGAGAAGGTTCGGGAGCGGGTTCTGGGTTGTCATCCCTCAGCATTCGAGACTAAGGATAGTGGCCTGAATAGGAAAGTTATTTCGTTTCTGAGCGCGGGGTGTGAAATTTAGGAAAAACCAGTAACGAAATTGTAAGCCGGGAGTATAGGGAAGTAGAAAATAAAAGTGTTGGTGTTAACGAAACTTATGGTTGACCATGAACCACCAAGGAGGCGATATGTAAGTGTTAGGTTTTTTATATACTAACCAGTTGATATTGAGACAGAGAGAGTTCACATATTATTTTGTATGAGTTCACTTCCTGTTTGGATTGTTTAGCTGAAGTTCAGATTACAATTGAAAATAACGCAAATTTAAGATTATACACCACTCTCCCTAAAGTAAAAGTAAAACTGAAAGTTTTTTTGTACTGAGTTGAAGCATTTGTAGTTGTTTATGGGGTTAAATTAATAGCAAATAGCACAGTCAAATTGGCGGCATTTTCTTTGTTCTATTATTTTATAAAGTTTAATAAAATTTCATACGATTTTACACGTTGTTTTCTGTTTGTTCTTGGACTCGTTGTTTTACTCATTATACTTTATATTCAAAACCTCGGACTTTCATTTTCTCTAGGACTGAGAAAAAGACCATCCTTCATCCATATATGAAGTTAAGAACACAACAAAAATTGAAGATTTCTTAGTCAATCTATAGAAAAGAGAAAAGTTATTGGAAAGTACTCTAACTAAGGTTAGTGAGAGCATATTCGGCATCGTACTGGACCCATCTAATGAGAGAGAACTATAAGTATGTATACCAAATGATCATGTTTTAAAAAAAACTCCTCTTCGTGTAGGAGGCCGAATTCAAGCTTCTTCCGGATTTGCCTAACATATAAAATTTGATGCTGTCACCAGATGCGGATTTCTCCGCAGCTGCCAAAATTGATTTAAGAAGGATATATAAATCAAAAAGGAGTATTTATTACATTGGTAATAGCTTAGTGGGATTTCACGAGGATTTCTCGATTAAGAAATCTAGTTCCATTTCTCAGACCTATTTTTTATAGTTATTTCAACACATATAAACATACAAAAAATCATCAAAGCTCATTATTACATGCAGTGAATGATAATGGAACAAGAACAGAACCTTGGGGTTCTCAATAATACCTTTGAAGTGAAAATTTACAAGCGACAAAAGTTAAAGAATGCATAATTTTATTTTTCATTAAATGTTAACTTCATTTTCCGACATTTGGAATGATTGACTCTTCAAATTGAGTATTGCTTGATCCTCAATCACATTTGAGGCTGAATTCTACCCCTCTGAGGAGTCGGGAGTTACTTGGTTGAAAACAGTTGCAAAGGGTTCCACAATTGAAGACAAAATATATGTTGATGATTTTTATATGATTATTCATATTACACTTACATAATTAATAAAACGAAGATTGTACTTACTTCTTACCTGAAATCCAGTATAGCCCGCTTGCTGCTGCTGCTGTTGATTTCCATTCGTTTGTTTGAAAGGATTGGATCCAGGAATGTCCAGGGTTCCACCCTGTCCCATTTGATAGGTAGCACCGTACCCATCTTGTTGAGCCAACTCGTGTAGCTTAGTGCTAGAAAGAGCTCTCGGAATTGGGTTGCTAGGAACCCCGTGTGGAGCAAGATGCGAAGTTTCTTCCGCGACTTGTCGAGGGTCCTCAGTAGCAGGTAGATCAGACACGAATCCCTGATCGACTCTGTAGAAGTTGATGAAGACGAACCCGGCGAGGACCAGAAGGCAGACCAGGCCGTAACCACGGAACGTGGCAGTGGATCCGAACGAACTGACGAAAATTCCTCCGATCACAGCTCCGCATCCTCTGCCAAGCCCGTGATGGATTCCTTGAAGGACGCCTTGGGCCGATGATCGCAGCTCTATTGGGGTATTGTGGGCTATGTAAGAGCAACAAGCGGCCCAGACGGCTGCGTGGGTGATTCCCTGAAATATGTGGAGTACCACAACTATCAATTTCCGGACCAGATATTTCCTCTTACATTATACAATGCTACTAGTATGTCATAAACAGTAAAAGATAGAAAGTACATTGTATGAGGTTGTTGATGAGTTAATATTGAATCATACCAAATAAACATGTATACAAAAAACATGGTTCTGCATGAAGGTGAGATTTTGGTTTCTTTCCAGCCAAAAAAGTGTCAAGCATATGTACAGAAGGGCATTGAGTTTCAATCCCAATGTTATGAGAAAAATGGGCTGTTGAAAATGCGACTTGTTAGTCTTGTAAAACCATAGTCTTTACAGAAGTATATGTTGTCTTGTGATTAACTTTTGGAGTAGCAGATTTTCGAGGATGGCTAAAATATACTCTGTCAAAGAAGATGTTGATAAGATGAGGCAGAGACCAAATTTTACAGATTAGAGTTCATCCCGGGCGGTGGAATACGACGCGATTTGCACTATAATTTGATCAAGGGCCTACTAAAAGCTTCAGTGGCAAAGCAAATTCCTACTTTGTGAATTGAATTGAGTTTGCCCAATTGGAAACCTTGAATATTGAATCCTCATATTGAAAAATAGTTGAACAGACTCGGGCATTTTCAATAATATCGTTCATTTCAATTCACGCATTATTTAATGGACGCTCTAAATAGTGATATTGTCGTAACTCAGTAGTCGCTTTGCTTATCACGAGAGGATTTATTGCAGTTTCACCCAATTCTCGTTCATCCAAATAATGAAAGAACACGTTTGATAACTTAATGAAATATTTATTATGAAAAAAAAAAACGAGAAAAATACGCTCAGGAATGAACTAACATTAAATAGTCAAAGAAATAAATAAAAGAATCACCAAAAACTCTAAAAAGTGATCAATGAAAATTGAATACTGAGTACTTTGTCTTCCTCAATATTTATAAAGATTCATATGCTGAGGTTGCAACTTTGCTCGAGTCACCGTACTAAAGTAAAATGCTTAATACGCATCCGTGCAACGTTGCGTTTTTGTAGATTGTTTTATATTTCTATATCATGTAATCGTATCAATTTTGATGTCTATGAACTGGGATTATTAAAAGATGAAATTTTGGATACTGAGTGTTTTTGTGTTAGAATAATGATGTTGAGGTTGAAAAATCTTCCAATTCATGTATTCGCTTGAATGAATTTGAATTATTTCATGAATATTTTACATCTGTATCTGTAGAGTAGGGAGCGTGAGTATAAGCCCACAGCACTTAGGCGACATGTGACCCATTGTACTCCCTCGCGAGGAGTTGTCCTCCTAAGTCATTGTCCATCCTGTCCTTTCCAGGAAGGTGGACAGGTCACTGGGAGACATCTCCTTTATATCGGAAGGTGTAGGCCAACACACACCCCCTTATTGACAATAACTCCGGACACTCGCATAGGACATGCCTGACAGTTTCATCTTACTGTTGACACATCCTGCATAGAGGTGTGTTCACTAGCTCCATATTATGGAGGTGTTTCCTTAGTTGACAGTGGCCAGTCAGAAATCCTACTGTTAAGCGTAGATTTTTCCTAGTCGTCGCCAAATATTTCTTCGGCGCCAGCTTCCCAGGGTCGCTCAGGGTGATCCTTTGATTCCATCCTATCTCTTTAGGGAGTGAGCATGATGTAACATTCAGCTAGTTCCGCAATTGTCGAAGTCATCAGACCGTAGGTGCACTGGATCCTAAAATTTTTAGTCCAGTCGCTTCCTTGGCTAAAGAGTCGGCAATACGATTACCTTTACTCCTGTCGAATCCTTCAATTCACCTCAGGATAATGTTATTATATATTGAGGCTTTGGCTAGATCTTGGTGGCAGTCTAGTACTAGCCCTGTGGTAACACGTTGTCTGTTCAAAGCTTATAGGGCTTGTCTGCTATCAGTGCAGATTGTTATATTTTCGTCAGAAATTCCTTTCCTGGTTATTTCTTTTGTGACGATTGAGATACCAGCCAGCAAGTCAGGAGTAGCAGACCATGTTTGGACCCATCAACACAACATCGAGTGGTCCCAAGCTGAGATCTTGCACAAAGAGGAACATTGGTTTAGGAGAAAATTCAAGGAAGACGCATACATGTTGTCCAACAACGTATTCAGCCAGGCCAGCGTAGAAATACGCAACATATGGAAACCCATCATCAAGCGAAAAATAGCCAACTCCCGCCAAAACGGTCATCTCCCACGGAACCAGTGAAGCGGAAAATGGAAAGCAAGGATAAGTGAAACTATTTCAACGACCTATAAATAGTCATCTCTCGGAGGAATCAGTCCAGTCATCACCCGAAGACGATTGTAGATACTAACAATCGAAACGTCGTGAACTGACGTGGTTTGGAATCTCTACACTTTTTATTATTTTCTTTTTTTATTCCTTTATTTTTATTTATTCAATTGTTATATTTTTACTTGTAGTTTATTTCACTATTATTTCATTTCAGGTTTATTTTGCTTAATATAATTGTTATCTTCAGCTATTCATTTTTAATTTTCCTTTTTTTAGTTGTTTCAGGGATTCCAAATCATTTTACATAGTAGACAATGGAAGTCCGAACCAGTGAAATGTTGAGTTTTTTCAATAACACAGTAATTTCTGGTAGAAAAAGTCGAAAACTGAATTATACCACACAAATAATAATAATAAAGGAAGCAAATTACTCACCTGCATGAATTCGAATGGTAAAACCCACCATGGATTCGTCAGCCATGATATGTAAAGGAACCTCAAAGTGTTCCCGATCAGACCCAAGCAAAGTACTTTAACGTGGCCCATTTGCCTGATGAGTCGGAAGCTGAAAAAGTAAGCAAAAATTTCCGATATGTGATTGATAACTGAAGCAACCCCGAAGAGAGTGGGAGTTCCTCCGTAGTCTTGCAAGTGCCAGAAGAGAAAAGTGAAGATCAGGCCGATCCCGAATCCCATGAACCAGGCTACGAAGAGGAAAGAGGCGCATTTCAAGTTTTTGTACTGCTTGATCACTGTCACCCACTCAGGAATTTCTCTCGTTGTTTGGGCGAATATTTTAGTCTGCAAATGAAGGAAACTGTTAGAGAACATTTTGATGAACATGCAAGACATATCTGAATGATATTTTCATAACTTTCTTTTCTGCTCCGTTCAACACGAATATTTGTTGGTCAGATTCTTTCCTTCAAAAGCACGGAGGGTGTACCAATGATCTATCAGGATTTAAGTCATCTAGAGATGAAGGTATATAAGTCAGAGTATGATGAGCTCTTGAGGAGTTCTGAAAAATACCTAGCAACATATTCCGAGAGTAATTATCAATTTTTTTTTATATTTTCATTTTTTCTATAGTGATTATCCGAGTAATGGAAAGCTACATTTCTATAAAGACTAAAGCCTCTTCAAAAAACCTTTTTTACGGAACCATCAATCACTTCCAATGTAAATTTAGACTATCATCAGTCTATACCTCTTTGTGATCAACAAATTTTTGTTATTGGATGAAAAAATCGAAACAGTGCTCCGAAATTTGTTGCTTTTTCTGTAGCCATACGTTGAAAACTCAGAAAGATGGTATTAGTTGTTTGGTCACCTGTGGCCCAAAGCCAAGAACCTCTAGTCTCAACTGACTTGAGATTGAAAAATTTCTTTTTGGCAACTAGCAGGAAGAAATTGAAGCGTTCTAAAGTGAGCGTCAGGTCGCGAAGAAATTGAAGAGAGTAAAAAAGCTAGAATTTCTTCCGGAAAAAAGACAATTCAGCGTTCTCTGGGCCGAAACCTTTTGAATAGCCACACGAAGGAAAAAAATCTCGATAGTAGAAACTCGATTAACTATGACATCACTTGAATTAATCGAGGTAACGCCTAAGTAGGCAGATGAAATAGTGAGAGTTGCTGCTACTGATGGTGGTTTACGAAGGTCTGTCCTATAATATGAAAGAATGTATCTTCAGAAAACTGATTATCTAACGTCAAAAAGTCAGGGTTTTCCAGAATGTCTTTCTAACCAGCGTCGTATCTGTATACTATCAAGACAGTGCTGCTAGGTAGTTAGCGACACCTCTATATCAGGCTCTTGTATTAAATGGGTACATTCTATAAAAAGTGATGAATCTATGAAGACACTTGAAGTATTTATCGTGTTTATAGAAGTTTTATTTCAAGGAACTTGAGTATACCGCTCTACGATATTTTTCTTCAACGATATAAACATGTGGTGATCGGTCATTTCTTCCAATTTGTTAGAGAGCTAAAGGGAAGTCCTCCGAGTTCAATAAAGAGATTTCACGAACAGTGCAATGTATTTCGTTCCCGGAAATATTCAATTGCAACTCTCTCTTTGTCCCTATGGAGTTATTATCAACATAAGCATTACCGTTATCGAAGTAAGAGTAAAATTATCTTCAATGCTTCTTGGATTCTCCGATGTGGACTTGTTTTTAATTATCAGTATAAACATTCCTGCTCTTACAGTATAGGCATTGCTTACACATAATACCACAAATTGAATCATCTTACCTTCTGTTCCTTAGGAACTCCCTGCACATCTGCCGCACTGGTATCTGCCAAAGAGGGCAAATTGAGCTGCTCAGCCAGCTGGGCCTGCATACGATCCTCTTCCGAAATCGGCTGCTGAACCTTCTCATCATCCACAGCTGCCGAGCCTTGCTCATCATACTTGAAGGTTATCTGCGTAGCGCTGATCAAGGCAGCCCCCATCAGAACCGAGAACGTGGCGAAGCAGATGGTGTAATTCTTTTCCTTCGCAGCTGGTCCGCAAGGATGATTTGGAAAGGCCGTGGAATGATCCAGAGCTATCCCCACGAAGAACATGGCCAAGCCCCAACCGAAAGACCCGAACATCCGTTGGTGGCCGTAGGTGTCTGCGTCTTCGCCCAGGAGAGTTAACACCGCGGAATCTGCCAGGGTGACAGCTGGTGCGCTGAAGAATTCTCCGATGATGACTAGGAGAAGTAGGAGGAAGAAGGCTCGTTGGATGTCTTGGGTACGGTAGACGATGGAAGATATGATCGGTTGCACCCAGCTCTCGTGTTCCTGCTGGTTGTAATTCGAAGCGTAACTGACGGCGATTGGGGATTGGCCAGCATTGGAAGGTGGTATAAGTTTAGGTTTCCTGGGAGGACTAAAAGTAAAAAAAAATGTCTGTACATGAATAGTCATCAAGTATACTATGAAAAATTACCTGCTAACTTCAGTTCCTTCCACATCTTTGGTACTTGGAACCGATCTTTTATTAATCACTCCCATGTTAACCTCCGGCGAAACCAGGATAGCAGTCGACTTATTCACCACGTCCATACACGAAGTGGGGGGAGGCTGTATCGATCCCAGAGGAACAGTGAAAATGATCCAGGCTGCTAAAGATGCCAGCAATAGAATCTTCCCTTTCTGCCACCTATCGGCCAAACTGCCCCAAAAAGGAGCGGACAGGAACTCCACGAACGGTCTGGATCCGATCAAGAATCCGCTCTGGCTAGCATTCATTCCCATTTGCTTGAAATAGACTCCCATGAGGGGAAACAAGGATCCAAAGGCAGAGTAGAAGAAGAAGTAGAAGCTCTTCACCACGAGCAGTTCTTGGTCCACTGGACCGAAAAGAGTTTCGATGAGGTCGGATCTCCCTCTGATTTTGTGCGTAGCCTCTTTTGGTTGGGGGTACCTGCAGGAAATTGGGATAGTTGAAAATTTTTCGACCGGTTTTCATCAGATTACTTGTCATGAAAAAATAACGTTATAGATGACGTTAAAACTTCGTTATTATCCATCTTATATGGGAACAAATATCCAAAAAGTTCTCCTTGAACCCATTGACAGAAATGAGGTCCATTTTCGATTTCATTTCTGATATTTTGAAATGTTTCTGGGGTAATACTAGTTTCGGTAATTATGTCTTGAAGTGTCCGTATTTTCCCAGGTTGCCCCTAACACACACTTTTGATTCGATATATCCCTGAAAGGAAAAAATTGAGAGGGGTCATGTCCGGTGAACGAACAGGCCATTCCAACGGACCGCGCCTACCAATCCACATGCCTTGAAGGCCTAAAAATGTAGGAACGTACCATGTTGTTGAAAAATAACTGGATATGCGAATTCAAACGCCATCATCAAGAACGGAATTTCATCGAAATACAAAAAACAATAAAATACTTCATTTATCTTGTCTCCCTTCAACATTTACCTTTGCTTATCAACACTTGTTTCGTGTCTTTTACCAGGTAAAAGTGTGGTGCCAATCTATACATCACTTCTACCTGCTCCAAAGAAACTGTTGAATTCAATTTGCCGGTTTGATAATTATACTGGTGGTTTTTCAGGGGGAATGCATATAATGCTACCCTACTCATATGTCCGTCCAGTATCATCTCAAGTCCTTTCAGCAGGAAGGATGTCAGGCTGATAGGTCGTACCGATTTAGGGTGTGGGTCTCTCCGATCCACTACTGTAGACCCATTGTCAAAGCCACTCTTGTGTGAATGCTGAATCAAATGCAACAGATGAAAATTCTTGCGAAATAGATGAGGATGTAACTGACATGTCTCTTTTCTTTAAACAATCCGCGCTAATCGAGCAAGAAGGGGAAGAAGAGATATATGAAAAAGATAACGAAGAGAAAGAAACGAATGATGATGAATGATATAATTTTCTTGCTGCCGCCATTTTGATGCATATACTTGGAAATACGACTTCTTCACCAAATGAAATCGGGATAGCTTGAGAACAGTGCTTCCTAAGAAAAAATACTGGTACCATTTTTGTAGAGAACCACTTTTCCAATAGCTTTCACCATTCAATAGATATACTCAAGAAACAAAAATTTGTGACATTTGACTTCGAATGAAAAACAATGCACAAATGGGATCAATCTGAACTTTTGACATTTCTTTTATTATAACGTATTTGAGATCTGTATAGTATGTTCTTCCTTACGAATCAGTAGACAGTTGTCCTGGAAATCTTGGAAAGAAAATTGGTTTTAGATAATTTAGGAAATGCTCGCTATATGAATAGCATCTTACAGGTGTTGTTCATGACGAAGAAGTTCAAAAACGGAATTTTAACGATGAACGAGAACGAGAATGTTTCCTACTTATACACCAAACTCAAACAATTGTTCATGCAGTTGCAGTTTCTTAAGAACGTATCATCTTTCCCACCAACCGATTTCCTAAGTCTTTGAAGTCCACTAGATACCCCTTAGGACAAGAGGTAATATCAACAATTGGTTTACATCCTTCCTAGAACGAAGGAAATTCGTAGTGAAAATTGACGAGGTTATTTCAGATGAATTTGACATTGACATAGGAACTCCACAAGGAAGGGTTCTTGGTCCTCTGATTTTTTTGATTTTTATAAATGATCTTCCTGATCACATATCATGGGGAAAAGTTCTGATGTATGCCGACGACACATGTATACTTGTTTAAGATATATCCGAAAATAAACTAAAACAAAAAATACAAATTATTCTTGAGGAATTCAAAAGCTGGTGCTTCAAGAATAGACTAATCATCAATCATAAAAAGACTGCTTGCGTAGAGTATCACAACAAATATAGAACACCTTCAAATCCAGTTATGTCGTTTGGCGGCAATATATTAACATATCACGTGACACAAAATTTCTGGGTAGAGTCCTTGATCAACATCTCTCTTGGGATAGACAAGTAGACAATGTTTATGGTAAACTTAATAAATCTTTCTATATAATAGGCTCCTTGTTCTAAATCGCAAATCCATCCTTAATGTGTATTATGCATTTGCCTATTCAGCTATTTCGTATGGCATAGTAGTATGGGGACAAGCCCAGGATATCCAACGAATTTTCATTCTTCAAAAAAGAATCGTACGGCGCATTTACAATCTTTCCTACCAGACTTCCTGCAGAGACACCTTAAAAAAAATCATATTTTAACAGTAACGTGTATATACCTCATGAAACTACCCACATATACTTTTATAAACAGGAAAAACCTCATTCAACATAGTGACAAGCATGATTATAACACCAGAAATAAAGATAATTTATGGATGAGTAAATGTAAACATTCATTTTATAAAAAATGATAATATTTACAGAAGAATGACTCAATGAAATTTGAATTTGAATTTGTGGTGCTGCAGGTTTCTCCGGGTTTTCCTGCAGCTGAAAAAGCAAATGCGCCACTGGAATCAATGACGTCGCCACGGAGCGCCGATTAATTTTTGTTGTTTCATGATTTCATGACTTCACTTTCTTCTTTAATATATCACTTTCTTCTTTAATATATTTTTATTCATCATATATGACCTATATATTATCACGATGCACCATAATAACAACAACAAAACATTTTTTCAAGGGCGTTAGATTTTTCATTAAAATTCAGCAGACATCCAGTTGTTTTTGTCCAGTATCACCGTACAATTCTTCTAATTCTCCTGACCTCATTTTGAATAAAGGAAAATATTTATTAAAATTTTCTTATTGATTCGGCCGTTACTTGATGTAGATCCATAGTAATTTAAAAAAGTACATGAATTCATAAACCACTTGAAAAAGCTACTGTGCTAGCGGAACATGTGATATTTGTTTCAAATAAAGTTTGTGAAGATCAAATCGTGAGGTATAGTTTTGAAATTTATTAAAACTGACATGTAACATATATATAATTCAGGTCTAACCGATGAAAACAACATCAATATTTGTTAAATACCGTACAGAAATATTCCAAAAATCATCAACCCAAAAGTAAATCAGTTTTCAAATGGAATGATTCGTCGAACAATTAGCTTGATGAAATGAACAACTATCTACCAGTTAGAAACAATCAAATCGGATAGAAGCTACCAAAAGCAAACTTCAACTGAAATATCTCTTCACCATTCTAACGCCCTGTGTAAATATAAAGAAAATGAGTCGTCTTACATGGAAGGATCGACAATTCCTTCGGCATCGGGATCCACCATAGGTCGAACGCCAGGCTGTATCCTTTGGGGTTGTCCAGAATCGGGATAGTGATATTCCTGGCTCTCCATAAGGTCAAGATTTTCTTCTGCTCCTCACTAACACTAACCACCGACTTCCTCAAGCTCACAATCGATGATTGCGCTGGTGGAAAGGGATCGATAAACAGCGCGCGCAGAGATTGTGCTTTAAAGACCGATTCTGATATTTGTTCGGTGTTACCGAACGCTCACAACTTTTAGGTGGAATGCGGAAGTCATTCCTAAATTTGAAAATCCTTTTTCAAGAAACACTGTATGTTCCACTGAACAGTTTACGAAACCGCAACGCGTGTTTCGCTTCACAACAGCTTCCTCAGGCGTATTCATAGTAACTAAATTCTACCTACTTGGAGCTTGATACGATATTCGGTTGTTTCAGAAGTTTTGCCCATTTTCATCAGTCTGCTTTGTACTGTAATAACTTAGTTGATAGTCATTCAATTCAAACGAAATAAACACCATTTGAATCTAGGCATTAATTCCATCAGCAAAGTGTGTGCTCGATCATGTCGACAAAGGCCGTTTCGCGTTGAGACGTGTTGCTACAGAAACACATGACATTAAAACAATCTAATAATCTTTTGGAATATCAAAGGTTCATACAACAAAACACCAAAGATTCTTCACTTACCTCTGTGTCTAACACTGTACGTCAAACTCTCACAAGAAATCAAATATCTACCCACATAAAACTTCAAGAGAGCTTCGAAAAACGGGCTTTCATTAATTTTACTCAAAGATGTTGAAAATTTAGAAAGACGGATTAATAGGTAAAAAATCAATCTATCAGTTTTTCAATGTTCTATTGTCTCTGTACAAACACATCAACTATTTTGCACGATAAATAAGCTATTCTTGTATGTCAACAATATTGTTTCTATTTATGCAGGTTTTAATATACAAGTATGTATCATTTATAATTTTTGTACATGCGTTTCTATGTATTACTCAATTCATTTTTAGGTTCTTCCATAAAAATCTTGTGATGTCATTCCAAAATTTAAGATTCAAAATTAAAACGGATCAGCAAGATATTTTTCCAATGATTTGAAACAGACATCAGTGAGACTATATTAAGAAGTGATTATGTTGAAAATTCGGAAAATTACAGACCAATAACTTTTCTGATACTTTGAAAAAGAAGTTGTTGGTTTCATCAATAAAACTTTATTATGGATTTCACCTATCATCAATATAAATGCCAATCAATGACATTTATATTGACGATAAATCGAAATAGGATTCATATACTGCATTATTCATTGAAAAAATATCTACCATTATTGGGGCACTGCGAAGATGTCCTCAATTGAAACAAGAAATAGCAAAAAAAAATTTTAATGCACATATTCTTAGTCGAGTTTGAGTTTTCATGGTATGCTATAAAATGTATAATCTATAGGCAAGAACACTGTCGCTATTAATGTAACGTGTAATCTCGTGTCATGTCGTGTCGTATCATGTTGCATATTGTCATGTTGTCTCATGTCTTGGCATATCGTTTCCAGTCATGGTTTGTCATGTCATGTCTCATGTGACATGTCATGTCATATCGTGTCTTGTCTGGCCTTGTTCTTTGTCTTGGTCATGTTATTGCATGTTATGTTGTGTTATGCCGTGTTATGCCGCGACGTGTCGTATTTTGTCGTTTCACGTCTTGTCTTGTCTTATTATAATTTTCGTCATATCATGTCGAGTCATATCGTTTTTGTTGTGTTTTGTCATATCTTGTCGTGTCTTGTCTGGTCTATACTTGATGTGGTCTTGGTTGTGTTCTATTATACCGTGTTGTGTTTTTATGTAATGTAATGTTATGTTTTGTTTTGTTATGCTATGTTATGTTGTTGTTGTGTTGTTATGTCAGGTTATATTATCGAAAGTGAAATAAAATATGTTGCATATGAAACATCGCTTTTATTCCACATAGCTTCATTGGACTGAACATTTCACACTCGAAACTGCACTCTTGGTTTCTTTTTGTCCTTCTCCTTATTCGATATATGTCCTACAGGAATGAGGATGATTCCACTGATCAAGATAGCGCACCCAGCGAAGAGGAAAGAATAGCTGTAGCTTCCCGAAATATTCTCCATGAACCCAGCCAGAGGTATTCCCACGAAACTGGCTACTCCATAGAACATTATTGTGATCCCGAAGGCATTAGTTAGATTTTCCAATCCAAGCATGTTTGTTATCACCACAGTACGCAATGTCGTGAAGCTAGCTTGAACAAAACGTTATTAGAAACAGAAAGTAGAGTCAGGTATGATAGAGGTGCATGTCTACATCTCATACATCCCAAATCCAAATACTCATTCATCTTCAGCAAACCCGTACCCCACATCCCAAACGGCTTGGTGAACAGAAGGACCACTCAAAAGCTTCTCTTCCATGAAAACAATATTCCCGGCCAACAATCAAATTCCCACCTTTCTACAAACACCTAAGGACACGATACCCAATAAGGTACAGGGCATATATGACATACCATGTTCTATCTGTCCCAGAACTTACATCGGCCAAACCAACAGAAGGGTCTCCAACAGAGTTTATGAATATGAGCTTGCTGTCCGTAAATCAGATCCAGCCTTATCCCTATTCAAACATCGTGAAACAGGCCACATAATAAGCTTCGGGAACACCAAAACAATTACCACCGACGCTTGGGAGTACGCAGATTGAGACTCTTTCGCAGACCAGTGACGGGACCTGTGAAGTAAGCAAATTGAGACCCTAGCGTCAAGTCACAAAACCCTTAAAGCAAGTCACTACCTGAAAAGTAGACAAACTGAGTCCATGATCCACGAGTCTCTTATTATACCTTGGAACCGGACTCCGCACAGGTGGATGAGACTGCCTGCGTGGAGATATTGATGAAGCCTTTCACTCGAGGCCATCTCTAACCGAAACTGCAAAGTGCGGCATCTGTTGATGACTCCGTTGTTTCCATCAATTAAGTGTTGCCAACCTAACACTGAACTAATAAGACTAGCGAGTAAGAAACACATAGCTACGGTTTGCAACCTTTGGGTGCATATATAGCAAGTGAAAATGAAAAGAAAAGAAAACAGTTAACGTTAGCGAATCAAACATAGCTTTTATTTGAATGATAACACTCTTTATATTGAAGGGCTGAACAATACGATTATCGTCCAATAAGAAAAGGCGCAGCAAATGAAATATTGGGCTTCTCTCCTCGAACTTCACAATTCAAAGTAACGGAAATCAGTTTTGCAACATTGTTCGTCAGCCTACACCCCGTGGGTTTGGCTACCTATCGGGCGCGTCCCCAGGTGGCGGATAGGGGCACGGCCAGGGGAATGGGGTCCCTGTCTGGGAAGCCAATATGCGGCCTAACGGACGGGATTGCCGGACTCCTGGTCAGTGGCAGAAATAAGTAGGGTGAGGGGAACTAAAACTCCCCAAAAGCCTTTGCGAAACATGCCACCGTGGACCAGCCTACCCAAGCTAAGGTGTAAGGAATCGTGCCGACAGCTGAATGGTCGCAGGGTGATATGCGGTTACGGACGATCCCCTTGGGGAACTGGGTGAAACTTCATTGTAATCAGGCTTCCTCTGATACTGCAAGTCTCTGCCAGAGGTGACCAACTCTTCCCTTGCTACTCGTGGGAACACACATATATGAAACAAACAAAACAGATACGACGAAAACCAATCCTGAAGCTGGACAGAAGTGCTCACCTCAATCTATGGGGGTGGCTGGGGATGAACAGAAATGTCCACCCCAATTTATCGCTCGGAATGAGGCTGGACATAGCAGACCACCTCGTGATATAATACAAAGGCAGCGAATTTGCAGCGCCGAGGCCAAAAGGAGAAAGAGATCGAAAGAGGCAGGAGTGGCAGCAACTAAAAGTGCACCCTCCTCCTCCCCCACTCAACCCCAACAGCAAGGGCACTTCCTGCGGCGGGCAGCAAGATCTCCGCCTTGAATAAAGGCGAGGAACCGGCTGCCCCTGCAGAAAAACGCTCTCACTTGAACACCTTCACTAGGGGAACCCCAAGAAGGTTGAAGAAGCCGCGCAACGACAGTAATGTCGCTGCACCTTCCAAAACCTTCGCGGAGACCGCCGTGGGATACCTCAAGGTTGCCAAAGAGAGTATGTGTTTGGCGAGTCTTGGCCTACACCTGCCGATATACAGGAGATGTTTCTTAGTGACCTGTCCACCTTCCTGGAAAGGACAGGAGGGACGATGACCTAGCAGGACAACTTCTCGGGAGGATGTACAATGGGTCACATGTTGTGGGTTTACACTCACCCTCTCTACTATATACATACATACTCACCTACACAAAGTCCGAATATGATGGTAAAAATGAGCTGGCCAGCCAAATTGTTCATGAGAGCGGAGCACATTGTTATCAGGCCTCCAATTATTAAAGTTACACAGCTGACCGTCAGAGCATTTATTGCCGGAAAAAATGAGATGGCGCCACAAGTAACTCTCCCAACCGCGTTAGCTATTCCCATTATAGTGAGCAACATAGTGCACCACTCCGGAGTTAATTTCAATTCCAACCCTCTTTGAACGATAAAGACAAAAGGGACGTACAACCCCACCATAGTGAGGAATCCGCTTAAGGTGAGTATGGCGAATGCTATTGATTTGAATAACCTCACATCTAGCATGGTGACCAGAACTCTGACGACAGCTTCTGGACAGCAGACGCACTTCTTGCTCTCTTCGATGTCTCTCTGCGTTACAACTCTCGATACGGACATCGCGTAACTCTGAAAAATGATTTCATCAGTTTGTATTTGTCATAGGATATAAACCGTCGGAGCCTATTCATTTCGTCAAGTCTGTTCTGACAAATGCGGCACAAAGCTTTTTCTTTGAATTCAGGGAGACACCGACAAACTAAAACAATTTCTCGAGAAATACGATACCCCATTCGATACCATCTCTCTAATTTATAAGCAAAGGATATAATATATGGACAATAAACATTTCTGAAGTGATAACTTCTTATGGGAGGGTAAACCTATTCGTTATCTAACGCGTAACGGTGCCAGATTGTCTGGCTTCCCTTTCTCTCACGCGTACTTCAGCAGAAGGCAGGCCCCTCCTCTGTCGTCGAACAGAAGCTCAGTGTTTAGGTGTGCCTTAGACATATACTGTTGACAGTATTATAAAAATTTAACCAGCAAGCACGTAATATTCTAGTACATGAACAACACCGGTTTTGGCCCACTCAAGGTCGCGCGTCGTTGGTGTTTCGGAGAGACTTTAGTGAATGGAAGAGAGGAACGTATGACGTAATCGATGCAAAGAAGGGTGGAAGTACTATCGAAGAGATTCAATTCATTCATCTAAATAAATTTATCGGTATGAGAATTGAACCCATGTTGTCGGCGTGGTAGACATTGTCCTTAGCCTCAACACCAACGTGAGGTCTTGAAAGTAATCACGAATTCTTGATATTTATGGCGATTGTTTTGTCGAGATCGAAATTGACTCATTTTCTATTCTCAACCTCATTTCTTGATTTCCATAGAATTTTAGGGAAATTGTCACGTCATTTTCATGTAGAAGATAGGAAAATAGATTTAGGGACGAATTGATATTTTATAAAAAGGTGTGTGTGTGTGTGTGTATAAGAGTGAGAGAGACACGTATGACGTAATTGATGCAAAGAGAGATGGAGATGGTATCGATGTGATACGTCGCCAGCGCAAGCATGTCAGGTTCGGTGTTGTCGGTTGTAAAATGAATCGTTATTAATGGGGCGATGTAGCGTTGCCGGTTTCAAAATCAAGCATGAAGGGTTAGGAATACGACTCGATAAATATTATATGGTGATGAGATGATAACTAGGAAGGTCTAACGTTTTAACGAGCGTTCCAACATGTCAGAAGAACACTAAGTCGTATCGTTGTTAACCAAATTAGCATCAGAGAAGCAGCAGATGGCACCAAAAGGTGTCGTTTTAAAATACGTTGTTTTGCATGTGTTTCGACCGTTTTGCGTGCGTTTATTCGTTACGGTTTCGTCGTCATTGCCGTAGCTGTTTTCGTGTTTGTATAATTGTACACCATTAGTCAGTTACATTCAATGAGAAATTGAGATGAAAACGACGTTATGTACGTCGTTGGTAAAGAAAATTTAGTAATATAATGGCATTCAGAATGTACAGACGTAAAATAGAGGAATTTGAGAAAGTGTCCAACAGTTAAGTGAAGATATTCGATTTTATGAGGAAAAGAAAAATGTTTTGAAGCAGTTGAATGATTTTGATATTCAAGACAAAGTGTTCAATCGAAAATCATCTCAACCAAGAAGAATTCAGCCTCAGAGTGTATGTCGTGTATGTCGTCACCGATTCTGAAAACAAATTTTGTACTTATAACTGCAATAACAAATAATGTTTCGTGCGTGAACGTACCGAATGTGGGGAAATTCATGGCAATATTCATTGCCATGAATTTCATCTAACAATGAGACCTTAGAAAATGGGGGTTCGAACAATAGGGAGAGGGATTTAAACAGCATCGGTTAAGCATACTTGGTTAAGGATACTCACCATTGGGATTGAATAGTTAGATACCAGAGTGATTTTGGATTTGATTCTCGAATATTCCGGTAAATTGTATAAGGATGCCCCGTAGAATATGTCGTCCCTGTACAAAGGCCTGTTGACATGTTTATCATGGAAGATATGTTGGCAACATTTTCTACAGCAACTACAACATTCTCTCGTTTCCTCTTCGACTTCATTCATCTCCGGTACACGTACTGACGGGGCAATACTTTCTCTCTGGCTCCGAAACACACTTGTAGTAAAACTTTCTTCACTGGTATCACCGCCTATGCTCACTAAAACACAGTTTTGAAATTCTTTTCAAAATTGCCAAATATTATAAATAATTTAGTTTGTTCCCAAACACTGTTCATCCCACTCACCAGAATTGTAATATTCTTCTCAAAGCACGTTTCACCAAGTTGGCGTCATCAGGAGATGAACTATACTAAATTATAAATTAGAAGGAGTGTGATTTTCCACTGATTTCACCAGAGACGTTCATTTAAAAGAAAACAATTGGCTGTTTGGCTTATAACCGTTATCTCAGTTCCAACGCCACACATTGATGTATTCAAACTCTCAATAGCATGAATTTTATGATCACTCTCCAAAACGTGTTGAGCAACACCAGACTCTTCTGGTCTACGAAATCAGTGTATTTCGATTCATATCATATGAACTTTGTTTTTGAAAAACGAAGCTATACGAGGATGCTCTATGAACCTCGACCACTCAAAATTTCCAAGTAGAAAGCTGGGGTGTGGATTATCTTGAAGTTTGAATCAATACAAATTACCGCGAATATAAATTGAATAAAAAAGATTACCGAAAAAAATATGAAGAAAAAGTGTCAGTATTGCGTGTTCTGGGAAACAGAAGCTGATTCTCTGTAAAAAGTTTAACTGGCCCATGATCCGAAGCAAAATCAAAAGAGTCATAAAGTGGAAATTCTTGTGGAATTCGTTCAGGAAAAGAATCGCAATGTCTGGAATCCTCTATCCTCCCGTCAAATTATTGATAAAAAAATCATTGACCATATATATTCGATACTACGGTGAACTGTGATCTCAATCTCAAGACGTTTTAAATTTGAAACGCCTGTTTTTTAGACGAAGATATCTGGTATTAGCAAGATGGAGCCTGGTCATATGTTCCAGCATCCAGCTAAAATTCAAGCTTCTTTAGAGTTTGTTTCCTAAAATAAGTTGGTTAGCAAGAAGTGATGGAATGACCGACTGGTTCTAATGACCTGACTCCGGTGTATTTTCATGAGGTTATTTCAAATTAAATCAAAAGATATTATAAGTGGACTGTTGAAAAAATATCAACTCAACACTTGCTGATAATTTACTTGCCAAGAAACGTAGAGCGATCGTCTTCTTTCATATTTCTCGAAACGCCCGTTTCTGAAGAATAGTTCAGGACAGTCGGAAAGAATTTATTCTGCAGTTGCTGGAATATCTTCCTTATACTGAAAGGTTCATTTTCCTGGTCGAAGTAATACGACCCGATGGAATCTTCTTCAGCAATTGTATTGTCGGCAGGACTCGTGGATACTCTCTTTTCTTCTAAAACTCTAGTAGGTTTTATAGGTTTGAAGGTGATGACCAACAGAGCGAGAAGAATGCACGTTCCAGTCAGAATTTGAAACTTGAATCTCCAGTGGTAGTCTCTCAACAGTTCATTGAAGATTTGAGGGAAAGCCATGATTCCAATGGATGTTCCCGTTACCGATATAGCGGTGGCAAGTGCTCTCCATTTCTCAAAATAGAACCCGACGATGAGCATACAGGGCGTGTAAACCATGTTGAAGCCTATTCCAGCTAATACTCCAATGATTATCAGGAAATATATGAAGTCGGTCAACAAACTGGAAATTATGAAGGAAGCGGCCGCCATTATGCCTCCTATGATGCCGACGAATCGGAAACCAAATCTGTTCGACAGGGCACAAGCAAGTGGTCCTGGAAAGATACGGTAATTAGTTCATAAAAAGCAGTACAACGGTTTCTCAAAAACAAACTCTATAACATTGATGCTGTTAATTTTTTTACAAATTTTACTATTTTGCCTCTTTTCAGCTCGTTTCTTTATTCTCTGCAATTTCAAATTGAACCAAAGCGCTGCCGCTTGTGTCGGTCCACATTAATCTAATAAGACGAGGATTTGAGAACTCTGGTGGAGACTGACCCATCACAAACGGTGCATGTGATAGCGGAAGAACTAGGCGTCAGCTCCCATGTAGATTTTGATAGTTTAGAATGAACAGGCCAATAAACTCGAAAATTGGGTGCTCCATCCAGATCTCTCGCGCCAACAGCCTACCATCTTTTCTTCGATAATTTTATCACCGGTAGAACTTTCGCCAATCAGAACTAGGCAAAAACGGCCTCCGTCGACTTTAATGAATCCTGAGCATACAATTTTCATGCTGACGGAATCAATTGTTGTACAAAACATTTGAAACAACGTAATAATGTTATTATCAACTCATTTCAAGCCGCGGATTGGGAAGAGTAGGCACTTAGTGAAATAAGACAAATTATAAATCAATAGGTGAACAACAAGATATAAGAATTTTGATAATTTGAAATTTCAAGAAATATTCATTATGTATGGAGCTCTTACTAAATTAGAGACAGGTCAGTAGTGAATAAGTTGATAGGAGTTCTAGAAACGTGACAAGTTGATAAGCGACACCCACCAAAAACCATGTGAATCCCAGATATCGAATTTATGAATATCTTTCATTATTAAGATTTATATTCTGTTAAATAGATTGATTTGCACTTCCGATGACCGAAGTAGTAAGTTCCAAATACATTACCGGGCATGGAGTTAGTGCCACCTCATGAGTTGAAGTTATCTTGGAAATTTATGTTTTTGTTTGAATTATTTTGGATGTACCATAGAAGTGCTGATTTTCTAAAAACCACTATCAGTATAATTTTTTCCATGGTTTTGTCAATTGCCTTTTGTTTGTGACAAGAATTTTGGCGGCTTTGGAAAACTCTCGAGTGTGCAACGAAACTGGTCTGCTAACTCGAAGAACTGATTTAGAGTGAGTCAGGTACAACAGCTAGAAATAGCTGCTTTCTCGTATCTAGTGCTTTGAAAAACCAAACAGTTGTGGCAGTTTCCCTTCGATGTCATCTGTAAGAAGTCAGAAATGTAAACGTAAGTGAGTGGACAGTTAGGAGACGACTCCGAGCTGCTGGATTATCTTCTCGAACCACTCCTACTGGACCACCACTTTCCCGTGAACACTGGACTGCAAGATGGAATCTTCCACGAGAACACTTGGCTGGACAGTGACGGATTGGAGACATGTATTGTTTTCCGATGAATCGCGATTCTACCTCACGGATTCAGATATACACGAGTATGGAAACAACCAGGCGATAGATATGCTCAAGCGTGTATTGCCGAGCGACTTCCATTTGGTGGCGGATCAGTTGTAGCATGGGGAGGCATATCGTTCTTCAACGAGAATGGGACATTGAATGCGCTTAGGTACCTGATGGAGGTTCTACAAGACCATGTTATACGATACATGCCTTTTCTTCGGAGATGATGCAACATTCAATCATGATAAGGCACTGCCCCACACCGCTCGGATTGTTGCTCAGTATTTTGACGAGGTTCAACTCATGCGATCTGTTTGGCCTGCGCACAGTTTACAGAGACATGAGCCAGTTCCCAAAAATTCTAGGGAGCATTCTGGTAACATACGGATACAAGAATGGGAACATCTACCTCAGAATATAATCCAAAATCTTAACTAAAGCATACCTCGTCATTTGCAAGTTGTTATGACTGCAAGAGGGGGAAACATTCGTTCCTCAAGCCCTTGCATGTTTTATTTTTAAATCGAATTCATATCGAATTCATATCAGAGTGAAATTATTCATTTATGTAACCCAAAATCATAATAGTAATAGACTGAAGCACGTACCTATAACATAGTAGAATCCACTCATGAGAGAATTGACCAAAGCAACTTTTGTCGGGTGTACTTCAAAACTCTCGCTGATGTCGTTGAGAAATATTCCGAAGGTATACGTCGTTCCATCGATGAGGAAGTTACAGATGAACGCTATGAAGACAATTACCCAACCCCAGCCTCCGTCTGGAGGGATAACTATATAATGCTCCACCAAATCATCTTCATTGGTCGGTAAAATAATGGATCTTGTCTTTCCAGCCGATCTCAAACTCAGTCCAGGCGTTATGCTGGTCCTTGCGGATCTGAGAATGGGTGTTTGTGTATAAGGAGTACTTTCGGACATTTTGAGGGAATGTTCATTCTGTTATTCACGACATAGTTGACTTGAAAGGTCAAATGTCAATGATAGTGAGCGGTAGTTCTGTCATTGTGGCAGCTGCATTACTCAGCGATATCTATAATGCATAGTACATATTATTCATGGCTGAGCTAAAGTCAATCACCGGAGAATATATTTGACAGGTACCAATTGACACGAACTACATTAAACGTAATGAACTTATTTTATTCATTCCAGTGTAATGAAAAGCATCTGTAGTCTTTGGAAACTTGAACAAGTAGCTGTCAGATGTAATTTACTGTCCGTCGTAGTATCAGCCAGAGAAGTAATTGTTTTCTGGCAGGTAGATTTGACTGTGTAGACTTTGGGAAAGGTTAATGTTTTGACTTATAATTCGAGATATACTTTCTCAGTACCCATTATGAAATTAGAATAAGATTAGAATAAGAATCTTATAATTCGAATGTCAGACACAAGGAAAACTTAAATTGTTGCCATAGGAAACATCATGCGATCTCAAAAAGTCAAATATTTGTTATTTTATTTATTCAATGTGAATATTCTTTAACACAAATGTGGCAGTCTACTCTTCATAGTGACTAAAAAAACCAAAGGTTCAAATTCAGTGAGACCATACATACACAATTGAATACTTTTAGTTTCCCTGAGTTTTGCATCGCCCCCTTACTGCAATGAACTGCTCGATACGCACTTCCAGCCGAGGCCAATCAGAGGAGAAGAAGCAGTCATTTAAAATTGTATTCAAAAATTGGAATGATCAAAACAAATAATTATAAAATTATTTCCAATATGAACAATATATGTAGAACTTGTGTTACTGAAAGTGTAACGTTAAGTAAAATAAATGAAACTGACATAACTGTTGGAAGTAATTCTATGTCAGTGATGAAATTGTTGAATATTTTCACTTTCATAGAGGTAAATCTTTATTTTTCATGTTTCTTGGTAAACTCTCCTAAATCATAACGGAAATGTTCTTTTTCAGCTAAACGAGCGATTTCCAGATCTAATATGTGTAAATTGTCTGGACAAAGTTACCAATTTTTACAAATTCAAAATTCAATGTGATAATTCCAATGGTTTACTTGAGCAGTATTTGAAAGTCAAAAGTGAACCCCAAGTTAAAGACTGCACAGACAGAGATTCATCCGATATTGATTACGGTGGAAATGATATAAAGAAGGAATCTCATGAATGTGATAAAGCATCAACACCTGACAAAAGGAGTACTTCAACTGATAAAGCAGACGAAAACACCAACAGCTTTTTCCCCTGTGAGGAGTGTGGAAAATCTTTCAAAACGCGTAACAGTTTGAGGGTACACAAAAAGTGCTATACATTAGGGCGTTTTTCGTGTGATTTATGTACTGAGAAATTTGTTGCAAAATGTGGGCTGAATCGTCACTTGAAAATAACCCACAAAAAAGCGAAAAAAGAATCAGACACTGTGGAAACGACCGAACAAATAAACTCCTATTTCTGCAGTACTTGCAATAAAATGTTCAAATCAAAATATATTCTATCGGTACATGAAAAACGTCATTTACATAAAGGCCACTTCTTGTGTCCAGTATGCGGGAAAGGCTTCAATTCCAAAGGTTGTTTGAACAGGCATAATCGCGTACACACTGGGGAAAAAAAATATGAATGCCGTGTCTGCCATAAAAAATTTCCCTCTTCAAATAATCTCAATCTTCACTTCCGAATTCATAGTGGGGTGAAACCGTATCTATGTACAATATGTGGAAAATCGTTCACACATCCAACTGGATTAACTTACCATACCAGAACTCACACCAAAGAGAAAAACTATCACTGTGACATGTGCGATAAATCTTTCGCAATCCAGTGTCACTTGGATAATCATCGAAAACGACATACAGGTAATGATGTTTCCACCTGAACATAGTCCTGGTCATTATGAATTTTATCTGATATAGCATTTACTGCATTTTAGGTGAAAGGCCTTTCGCTTGCGGGCAATGTGAAAAGGCTTTCATAAAAAAGGTGGATCTACAGAGACACGAAGCAGTCCACGGAGGAATCAAACCTCACGTTTGTAATGTCTGTGACAAAGAGTTCTTGAGGCCATTACATTTGAACTACCACATGATGATACACACTGAAGAAAGACCCCACAAGTGCGCCTACTGTGGCAAGGGGTTCATCAGAAAGTATTACTTGAAGGATCATATGAAGAAACACCATGATGTAACAGACTTCAACAGTCTCAAGAGAGAATTTTATGTTTCATAACAAAAACAATATTCATATCGTTTATATTTATTTAGTAGTTGTTTCTTAATCATATGTACATGTTTTCAAAAAATTATATGATCACATGACTATTAAATACACACTGTAGACATCTTTGAATTTACAAAGTTACTTCTTCAGCTAGTTCTATCATCTCTAGTAATCTCATGATGTTGCTTACTTGGCTAGTGAAACGTTTGTTGAGAAACAGTAGTTTGTTCTGCTGTGGTAAAAGTGATTTCATTTTATACAGTTGGTATGTTATATTCATGCTTGTTGCTGTGTTACCTTACAGTAATAATTCGAAGCTAATAGACTAAATATAAATTTTAATTGCAGCACTTCAAAGACGGGAATTTCCTGGTACAAAATACCAGCCACTGCTACTTCTTGAATCTCTCTCAAACATCATACGTAATTATACAAGGTAGCGCCATAAGTAATGAGCAATTCAATTTCTTTGAAATTCACATTGTACAATTCAAATTAGGTTCCGACATTTTTTCAAATAAATACTGGGAAAACAAACAATAACAACTGGCAACAGTGGAAACCGCTTATCATAACCTAAAATCTACAAGTGTGTAGTTTGACATTGACAATTATCGTCCCACCATCGCAAGATCAAGTGAGAAAAATCCAACTCGAACTCGAGTTGACCAATCTAGTCAGGTTTTCTTCTAGACAATCCAACTGATGTACCAGCTTTGAAAAACCCATTGTCTAACTTTTAAAAGTCGATGGAGAACGAACCACAATGGGTTGACCTATTCTTTAGAATAGTGGTATTTGTGTTTTATTGATTTCTGATTAATTTGCAAATTCAAATATCTGAAATTTGCCCATACACTCAATCGCGAATTTGTTGTTAAAAATATTATCACCTTATCTGTACTTGATCTTTTCTATTTCTTGACCCGAATATTTTTGTGACTCCTTACTTGGAGTCGATTGATTCGATGTCGTTTTGTCGCTTCTACAGTGGATAAAGAATAATCTTTCAGAGGTACCCCAGTCATCCTAGTATTGCCTTTGGAAGGTTACCACGCAATGTATAGTAAGAATCTTTCACTTCTCTGTTAATTAATAATTAAAATAACTTTGCAGTCGAGTATTTTATTTGATAGTTGTGAAATATAGCGTACATAGAATTTTCACAAAAGAATGATTTGAAGACAAAACGTGTTATGTTCGAGTATCTAATTACCGTTTAATGACACCATTTGTTGAACACACTAGCGCCCTTATCGGTGAAAGTTTCCCGACCCCCAGAACACACCTGAAACCCTCTGACATTTACCGAACGTTAGGTTGTTGAGTGTGAAGAGTTGTACTTTGGCAACACAAGAAATTTAAAGGGCAGTGATTGGCGGCTTCAAATTTTGATGTCAGAGATCAAAACATTCAAATTTTGAACTTTTTTATGGGTGCACAAAAACAGAAATGGAAAAAAATCCGAATTTTGAACAGAAACAGTACCTCTACATGAGTAAATACATGAAAGAAAATAAATTGAATAAGTGACCCATTATTGTGGTAAATTTGTGAGATGTCTAGATTGAGAAGGCCCAGGAGAAACTCAACACCAGACAGATATCAAGCCCTATTCAGTGATCCAGAGTGTAGACACGTGAGTAAAACTTCAAAAACAGGTCTTTCAAAAACGAGTTCATGATCAAATTTTGTCTCTTTTCCCATGAAAAAATCCTTGTTATTTTGCTGTAATCATTTACTTACAGTAAATTGATGGACGGATGGATTACATTACTACCGAGTAGGAGACCATCATGAAAAATGAGTAACAAAACATCCTAGGAATGTTTATTTCTCATTTTTCATTTATTAACATAAGTATTTCCACACGAAGTCAAATAAATTCTGATTTTTCATCACTAAGTTAGAATGTTCAATCAATTTTTCCCATTATTTGTTCAAAGATTCTATGGCTACTTTAATTAATCACAAGATCAATTAAACAGGGAAATTAACTCATTGGAAAAGTACCCAAAACAACTACAGGGAAAATATAAATATATCAACCAAAGATTTTCTTCAAGATAGTCATATTCAGCGAACTCAGTCCCAGAAAAACATTGGCTCAAAATTTAAATCATACTTTCCCTTGTACAGTTGAAGGATAGCCTCTATTTATATTATTTGATGAACATGTTCCCAAAACTTTGCAGTAAGAATAGATTCCACTTAAATAGACCAAAAACCTCTCAAAAACCAAAAGTGAAGAACACTTTTCATAAACCCAATAATTGTCCTTAGTATTTTTGAAAGCATAAATTGATAGTACATGTACTACACACTAAGGCAGGTCCTTCCAGTGGATGAAAACACGGTACAAGTATTTATTCATTTTGAAAAAGCAAGGTACTATATAATATAGATTGATCTGCATTTGACGAAGATGAATATATAAACACAGGAAAGTTTATCATTTATTTTCCATTACCTAAATTCAACAGGTACAAATATTTATGAAAATCTTTCATTTGAAATTAATCAAAACTTTGTTATATATTTTGAAAATTTAATATTCCTCTTTGAAGTATAAGCACAGCTAATGAATCTTTCATTTTCTTATGGACGTGAAGATAACGTTAGTAAAAAATGCAACCTGAAAAACAGAGAGATCAACTGAAAAAGTCCTTTGTTGAAGATTCTGTTGAAGAAAATATCTGCAGGGTTTGCTGGCATTCCTTATGTGTATATTTATGTGTATTCAACGATTCATCTGAAGTATCTATCCGATGGAAAAACTTTTTTCAAATATCCGTTATTGAAATCAGATGCACTCATTGCTTTCTTACCAAAAACACTTATTTTACCAACACTGATATAAGTTCTATTTGAACAGATTATCCTCAATGCTTTAGTTCTTTTATCATATTTCACATAACCAACTCCAATGGGTTCTTCATTGGCATGAGTTATAGATTCATTACACTCTTCTATATCATGCAGTTTGACTGGTATGCCTTTCCAGCTGGTAGTTGGTGAGAGAAAGCCGTGTAAAGCTCTATATAAATTGTAAACATCACTAGATTGCATATTCATCCAGTCAATTGTGGCGAAATCAGGTGTGATTTTCGGTGCTGTAAAAATTTAAATCGTCACAACTTAAGTCTTATGGAACAATAGCTATTCAAAATATTGTTAACCTAGTGGTAAATATTTTTTTTCCAAAAATCATCTCACCTAAAGTGACTTTCTCATTTGATTGTGGCCTGGCGTTTTCCAGTGATTCTGGAAGGTTTCTCAAAGTTTTCACTAAACATTCCGCACCCAATTGTCCTAGCCTCTGTCGTAATTCTGGCATGAACACATTTTTTGGTACTGGCACCCTTTCTTGTGCTACAATTTCCCCGACATCAAACTTATTGGGCTTTATCCGCATTATTGTAATTCCAGTTTCTAAATCTCCTTTTGCTAAAGTGTAGATTATCGGGGCCGCGCCTCTCCATCTGGGAAGCAAACTTGCATGGACGTTCAATATGCCACTGAAGAATAATGAATGAATATGTTAACAGTTTTAGTAAACCAATGAAATCGGAGGATACATACTCACAAAGGGAACTTATTAATAATTGATTCGGGAATTAACTTTCCGAAAGATACCACGACCCCCAAGTGGAAAGATCCATTCTCTATAGAAACTGGCCAATTGTGAACCAACATATTCTCTTTTTCTGCATAGTTCCACACGGTATTGTGACTTCCTTGAGAGAGGCTAGCAATTTCCAATTTATTTACTAATACACCTCGCACACTTGAAAGAAAACACTATGAAATTATGGTGACCACCAGTTTTTCATAATCAATCCTCACTGATAAATGCCTCACCTTTCGGAGCTTAGAGCTTTCAAACTACATAGGGAAAATTCGTCTGTTCCAAAAAATAGCACATTCCATGGAGGTTTTGGATGAAATGTTGAGCACACCCTAGCACTTTTGATATTACATATGATATTATTGAGTGAATTGGATAGGAACTTCATTTAAATAAAGTTTTCAAATTTCATACAAATATACTTAACCACACTTTCTCTTACTGAATCTTGGAGTTTTATTAATGACAAGTTGGATTGGTCATTAGAAAGAGACCATTGACCTCACATTCTAAAAAGAGATAGATGCCTTGGGCAGAGACATGGTTGTCTCTGCCTTGGGTGGCAAATATGACTATAATACCGCTAACGTGTCATTTCGAATTCATTATTTTGACAATGAATCGTTTCTGATATTCCTGATGATCTCTCCTCGATACACAATTCGAACTTACTTTGATTTCTGTTGAAGAATTGATACATGGGATGTTTTTTATCGCTTGATGCTTTGTTGGCGAGATAGAGCTGTTACTGATCAACAATCTTACTCTTAGATGGAGATTTCATACATGCAGTGGAACAGCGTTGAAATTAATTGAGTTCCAAGCACACTACTTTTTGGGGCTGATCTTTCCTGTACCAATGAGAAATATTACTTCGAAACCGGTCTGTAGGACTGATTTCAGCATAATCTTGCTGCTGGATGAACGAGAAACATCTGCAAGATTAATCTCAGTGAAGTATATTGCATTAACGTCTGTCAGATATAATTCCATATGAAGCGTGGTACTATTTGGGGAAGTAGGTATTTTTGGGAAAAATGAATGTTTGGAGATTTTATTTCGAAATAATAATTTTCTTATATGAAATTAGTTAATTGATTTCCATTTATTTCGTTTAGAGAAGTGAGTTCATGAATTTAGCGACCGTTATCGCAGATTCTGTCATCAATTAATGGTAACAAAATAAAGAGTTAATAATTCATCAACCAATTTTTAAAATATGACCTAAGTTGATACGTGTTACTTGCAACTGGAGCGGTTGTATTTTTGTCTCTGACCTATTGTATCATCTCTTTTTGCAAATATTTTTATTGGAATTTGTATTAATATCATTCAACATTAATAGGTTTCAAAAAATTTCAACGCTCGTGCCTATTATGTGATTGACAGTTATGTCGAAGTGACAGTGACGTTCCAAAAGAAATGAAAGAAGAAGTTGAATTGTTTGTTGAGATCTGTGTACTGTCAATGTTGAAAATTCGTTTAATTATAGCTGTGTACTGTTTTTCATAATTTATTTTTTCTAGTTTTCTTATCAGTTTATGAATAATTAACTTTCAGTAGTTCGATCACAATGGTATGATCACCTGTTTTGTAACTTTGCCCAAAATAATGTATTTTTGTATTGTATTATCAGTACAAGGGGCGTAAACTTGATAAGAAAATCATGCAATTACCTTTAATTTCAGACTGACAGATGTGCAGAAGAAGGGAATACTATCCCTCTAACAGATAATTCACTTATGGTGGATATATCTGATGCTTTGAGCGAAAAAGATAAAGTCAAGTTTACAGTTCATACCCGGACAACAATGAAGAATTTCCAAAAACCAGAGTTTTTGGTAGTTCGTCAGCACGAAGAATTCATTTGGCTTCACGATCGTTATGAGGAGGAGGCTAAGTACGCTGGGTATATTGTGAGTATGAAAAGTTGGTTGTTTTCACTGGGCATATATATCATAAATAAACATAATAGATACCTCCTCCGCCACCCCGACCAAATTTTGATGCCTCTCGGGAAAAACTGCAGCGACTGGGAGAAGGCGAGGGAACTATGACTAAAGAAGAGTTCACTAAAATGAAGCAAGAATTGGAGGCGTGAGTAGTTTTTTGCAGTTTGATTCTCAAAAAGATCATACAGAGAATAATAGTACTAGTACGGTTTTCGTATATATTTCAGTGAATATTTAGCGACATTTAAGAAAACTGTTGCCATGCACGAAGTTTTCCTCACCAGACTCGCGAGTCACTCAATTTTTCGTGAAGATTCGCACCTACATGTTTTCCTAGAATATGATCAAGATCTGTGTGCCCGTCCAAAAGGAAAACTGCAACAGCTGGGAGGATTGTTCAAATCTGTCGGAACCACCACTGATCAGTATTACTTGAACGCAACTGTTAGAGATGTTAATGACTTTTTTGAGCAACAAATGAACTCTTTGACAGAGTATCATAGTCAGCTCAAGGAAGCTACTTATCGCACCGATAGGATGACTGAAAAACATAAAGGTAAAATAATAATTTTTGATTGTAAGTTAATATTCAGTTTCTTGTGTTGCAATTGAGTTATATAAAAAATGTTGGGAAAGGAAGGTTTACAAAAAACTGGTAATCTTCCAGAGAAAGGAAGAAAAACAATTGCAATCATACAATTTTATAAAAAGTTTATTTTGAATTCAATCATTTCTCTTCCTTTCTTTGAAAGATTCCTACACTTTTTTGTATGAAGCTGGAAAAGTGGAAAGCCTAAACCGTTCTTTCCCAACAATTAATCCCGGGGAGCCGAAAAAGTTTGCTTTGTTGTTATGTAGGCAAGTATTCATTCAGAAACATTGAAAATTGAATAAATGAAACCCATTCACAAATCAGGTAACAAAAATCCTCGAAAATTGTTTACCTGGACCATCCGTTGTAATTTTGAATACAATTACGAAAAATTGATAGTAAATTCAGTTTGACAAGTCTTCAAATTCAGTTATTTAAGTTTCTGATATTCATGAACCATTTACAAAAAACAGTTTGGCTTTCAAAGAGATTTTTCGAAATCCATTGTCAAAAAAATATCTCTTCAATATTAATAAAACTGCACATTATGATTTGATCTCCACGAACTTTTGTGTGTGTAGTTTATGAAATTACTATGGATTTTCTTCAAGTAACAGTCCAATCAATCAGGAAACATTTTTTTTTGTCTTTGTCCGGGGATAGATGACATTGAATAAGATAGAGTTTGAATTTCAAAATTATACAGTAGATATACTACAAGGTTCTGAAGTAAAACCACTGTAGTTGATAATATACGAGGTTTGTTAAAAAAATAGGGTGAATTTTTATTTTTGTCGAAAAATATTTATTGACTTTTGTCCTCTTCAAACTGGTCCCCCTCATATATGAAACTTGTGCCCCTAACCTAACCTATCCTAACCTAACCAAAACTAACCTAACCTAACCAACAAAGTAGCTAGATTTTGAGATTTTTTGACAAACTTTTTTTTATCTTACATAAAAAATAATTTTTTTTTTAAATAAAAAGTATCCTATGTTACTTCTAATACCCCCAAGAACATGTGTACAAAATTTCATGATGATCCGTTGAGTAGTTTTCGCGTGAAACCGTAAGGAACAAACTACCTAACCTAACCTACCTAACCTTACCTAACCTAACCTAACCTTGCCTAACCCAACCTAACCTAAACTATTCTAACCTAACCAACAAAGTAGCTAGATTTTGAGATTTTTTTGGCAATTTTTTTTATATTACATAAAAATAACTTTATTTTAGTATCCTGTGTTACTTCTAATACCTCCAAGAACATGTGTACAAAATTTCATGATGATCGGTTGAGTAGTTTTCGCAGTGAAACCGTAACAAACAAACTTACATTCCCTTTTATAATATTAGTAGGGAAGTAGGGATAACTTGAACAGAGAACAAATTACATTGAATGGTAGTTGAAGTGAAAAAATAATTGAACGAGACGAATTCTAGAAAAACTAATTACAGCAAAATTTGATGTTATTGGTTATAAGCTTTTTGAAATAATTGTCTGTCAGATTTCTTTTCTTTCATCTCAACTGAATGAATCAAACAGAAGATTTATGATTCATGTAGAATGCTCTACATATTTTTAAAGTTCTATGTGGAAAAAGTGTAGGTACTTTATTGTTACGAAAAAAAATTTTTTCTGCAATTCTATTTCAGAGCTTGCCGATAGCTATATCAAAATATCCAGCGGTTTATTGCAATTAGCAAATAGCGATAATGGTCATTTGGACAAATATTTAGCAAAAGTGTCAGATACTCTTGAAAAAATTAGGGTGAGTAGTTTTTTCTAAGTGAAATTTCAAACATTGCGAATGTTTGTATTTGTTGATTCAGAAAATAGAAAGTAGAGTTGCAAGCGACCAAGATTTGAAGCTAGCAGACACCCTTCGATACTACATGAGAGACAGCCAGGCAGCCAAGGCGCTTCTCGTCAGACGTTTGAAATGTTTAGCAAACTATGAAAATGCCAATAGAACCCTTGAGAAGGCCAGGCATAAAAATAAGGACATTCATGCTGTAAGTTTTGAAGTGTTTATACTATTGATTGCAATCTACAGAATTGCGGCAATTTTCTCTTATATTTATTTATTACAAATCTTGAGTACTTTCATCAATATTTTTTAATAATAATGACAGTAGTATTCATTTGTCATGGAGGATACAGAAAGTACATATGGTAAGTCAGGTGCAAATGAATAGCGTTTCGCTACACAGTAGCTTCATCAGTTACTGATACATCAAACTATTCTACAATATCTTTTATATAACAGTAGGTAGGTAATGAGAAAACAGAAAGGTTTTGAATAATTAATTAGGTATGATACAATATATATTATTTTCTGGTTAGATAAATGGTTAATTCTGGCAAAACAGCTAGATTTAGAAAGCACAAATTATTACCATATCATTTCTAGAAAAACAGGTAATATGTTTCTGTTGGTCTTTCAAAAAAAAATTGCAATAATTAGACAAAATTCAAGCAAGTTGAATTTTCGTCTTTTATTTTCTATATGTAATATGTCGTAGTTAGTCCATGTTGAAATCGTGGTTATTCTCTAAAAGGCGGCAAGCATAGGTGAAATTAATTTTCTTTAGCTCAAAACTCCTTTTATGTTCAGCGATTCTCGTTTTGAAATTTCTTGAAGTTCTTCCTATATTATAAACGTTTGGGCATGCTCCACATGTTGGTTTGTAGACCCCCTGATTTATTATCTTTGTTCCTTTTTGACTTGTTGTTCTTTATAACTCCTGAAGAACTTCAAAAAATGTTAAAACTAGAATCGCCGATCATGAAAGAAGTTTTGAGCTTTCAGGGAATAACCACGATTTCAACATTCACATTACAAACAAAATTCATGTGAGACAAATGATCGACTAAGATAACATTTATATTGATTTTGTGTCTTATGTTTTTGGCTAACAGGCTCCAGAGGTTCAAGAGGTATGTTTAGTGGCAGATAGTTTGAGTAGAATAGGTAGATAGATAGATGTATATTGCCTTGAATAGATCTTTAGACATTTAATTTTTAATTGGTCTTTTTATAGAGCTGTTCTTAGCATGGAAAAAAAATCGGTTTCAGTAGATGAGAAACAACTATGTTGGTCTTTGTTAAAAGTAGCAGTGAAACATCTTGCTTATATTGCATCTAATAATTTTTGTTATTCTAGAACTGTGAAGTTCTTTTACTTCATTAGCTTGAGGAAAAGACCAACTTTGTCATGTCATAAATTTTTACCAAAATAACCCAGCCTTGATATTTCATGAAAAATTGCTCCTCCTCAAATTTCAAATATTTTTCTTGGGTAAATTTGCCTAAATTTGACAGGAAGTAACTTTCCATATAATTTTGAAGTCAGCAATTGAAATTTGGAAAAAAATGAATAGTATCAACGTATAGAGTATCAAATTCTCTATCGATTAGTAGTATAGGGGCGTCAAACTCAATTTTGCAGATGGCCGTATATTGAATTTAGACTTCACAATCATTACCTTGCAGTACAACTAAAATCCGACCGTATCGCTTCGATTACTCGACTCAACAGACTGACGTCGCCGCCGACGCACTCCTTTTATATCGATAAGGAAGATTATATTGTTCTCAACAAAAATAGTAGGGTATTTCCGCTTGTTGCTAAGAGGTGGCGTAACTGTCTATGATTGAGTTGTTTTCTAGAACTAAATAGGTACTAACTAACACTCTCGCATGTCTAGGCACTCCATGCCTTCGAAGTTACTTATAAATGTAGTGTGAGCATTTTAAAACTTCCGTAGAGGAGTAGGGTATAGTCTGAAAGTTCTTAACAACATGAGATATGGAGCTACAAAAACACATTACATTAAAAAGGACAAAACGTATAATCCCCTCTTGAGGGTATCAACTAAGTTGACTAAAAATACCACAAAGTATTACATAGTTCTGGTGTGTGAAAAAATAGTTTTCATCAGACGTATGTTTGTTCACTGGTTTGGTTGCTCGTTTATGATTTTTCTTCTAGGCTGAACATGCACAGTCTGCCGCTTGCGAGCAGTTCGAATCAATTTCTGCTCAAGCTAAAGAGGAGCTACTAGATTTCAAGACCAGGAGGTTACATGCATTTAAGAAGAGGTGAATATTCGATCATTTTTTATATGTTCTTTCTCAATGTGAGCTTAAGTTCAGAATAGTCTTTTTTTACTTTAATTTTATTTTTCAACTTCAATTTTTAGAATTTCCTAGTTACTCTCCTTAACGTTTCGGATTGAAAAAATCAACGATATCCTACAGATTTACTTCTCAAAATCTGTCTTTTTTTTAGTGTCCGACCGAAAGTTCGGTTTCGGTCGAGTTTCGGCAAAAGACGGGTTTCGGTTTAGTTTCGGCGGCAAACCTGCTGACGACCGAAACCGAAACTGCATTCGGGAGTTCCCGCGCTGTGATCGGTCATGTTCGGCGCGTTGAATTTCATACAAGAAACGAAGATATTTTGCCGCGTCCACGTACCTAATCATGTCGTGACTTACTTTGTGACTTACTTTGTTTATTACATAAATATTAAGTAGCTATTGTGATATTAGGTAACGACTTAAATAAGTAATTTTATGTTCAATATTTTTGAAAAACCATCAAAAAATCAAAAACATTCAAAAGAAGGATCTACACATACTCAAATAAACACCTCACCTATTTTAAGTATTTTCAAGGTGCAATTAATATTTTTTCTTAAATAAGGGTTTGTTATGTTGCTTATCAATAAGTAAACATGTCGAAGACTGCATAACGTTATGATTTAAAAATAAAAAATTAAGACTGACGGATTGTTATAACGTTTTCTTTATTTTTCCATCAAAACATAATCCTTGTAAGGAAGTTTCGGTCATAAAAACCAGTTTCGGTCGGACACTACTTATTTTCAAACTTCTATGACATGTCAGAGGACGGTTCTTTTTTGTTATAAATATTCCGACTGTTTAAAAAAATCCACTTTAGCATCAGGTGAATAATTCTTTTGAACAAACCAATCTCTTCACTAAAATATGGCGAGGAGAATGGTTTGCAGTATTATTGAAAGCTGTTGATTACTTTTTTGGTTTATTCCTTAATCTTTCTATTAGCCGTTGAAGAGTCTTTTGCCTAGGACCAATGATAAGTTTGTCAAGTTTTTTTTTCGTATGTAAATTCAATAATTCGTTGATTCACGAAGCCGATGTTGATAAAACGATGTTTTTCAGTTTGATAGAACTGGTTGAACTGGAGATCAAGCACTCTAGGACCCAGCAGGATCTCTTGAAGAAGGCAGTGTCCAATCTCAAAGAATTGCTTTAATCTTCGTGATACGTCCTTTTGATACCTATCTGAATTCGTTTAATTTTTTTATTATTTGTTGTACATTCCCTCTTTTTCGAATTTTATATATCAAGAAATAATTTTGTAAAAAAAAAATATTATTTTAGTTATGTCTACGTGATATATATTATATGGCAAATATCTATATGAATATAACATCATCAATCGAATAATGCATGTTATCTGTAACTGAATGGAAGATGATTTTTTTAAATATTTTGTGTATTATTATGATTGGAGCTAAATTATATTGTTACATAAATATTAGTATCTTATTAATGCTAAGTGAAGGTCGAGTACAGCTCCCGGGCTGAATGAGGTGGAGTTTAGTGAAAAAATGAAAAATAATCGTGAATATTCTGAAGAACAGAAGTGTAAATGAAAAGACTGAGTGGGGCCCATAATGTACCTCTTCCAAGATATTTGAGTAGATTCAGAAGTGCTAGGAACCGCACGTTAGAAGACCTCGTTAATCCTCGGCCCGCACGTGTCGACTTATGAGAGTTGTCGTTCGTAGAGGGGCGACAACTGGTTGAGGAAAAAACAGATTTCAACAGATTAACAATGGATTATGGTGTGTAGGTTCTCACGGCCAGTGTCTAACAAATTATACGATGTTTCCGGGTTTATTAACCGTGGTCTGCAGGTTTATATACCTGACGTTTCGTCTGCTACTGTGGTACAGTACCATCTGGTCTGGTCAAGAACTTGTGTGCATTCGAAATCAATGGCTGTAATCTGAGAAGCCCTGTTCTGCAAGTGTCGATGTATTTGTTAGGCCATAGCAGCAACTTCTTCTTTTTTTTGGTGTCCGACACTTAAGGCGAGATTACATTATTATGTTGTGGTGCTCTCTGACGTGACGACGAGTGTGAAGGCTATTCTGTCGTGTCGGGGCGCTCTCTGTCGTTATTTTGAGTCAATACTGTGGTGGCCATTCAATAGTTAGAATTCACGCGCCATACTGCGCGAGATTTAGAAACATACTAGTATGCAGTGCTGCTCCAAGGCAAAAAAAAATTGTACGAAAATAACAGATAAAAATGTATGCTTTTCGCTATAATTGTATAGCATCAAGTGTAGCCACCACTGTCATCAGAATAATTGACAAGTGACAGCTTCCCGCATGATGCAAAGATGGAATGGAGTGATTAGCGCCTGCGCAGACACTCCATCGTATGTGAAATGTGAATATTTTGAAGTAGTTATTACAAATATATTGATTTGATTACTATTTGCATAAATATTAATTGAAAATTCTGCATTCACTAATCTAGCTTTAGCTTATATTATGTATCGAATCAAATACAACACAAAGTCTCCTAAAACAAAAATCAAGAGGGGTGAGGTGAACTACCGACTACCATTCATAAATATTTATTTGAAATTCGTCTTTTCTCACTATGGATTTATTTTTCTTTTAGCGTCAGCGGTTTTCGACAGATTTGACATTTGACTGATCTGACAATTGAGTGTTGAGTGATTTGTGCTCTGTGATCGTGATCTATGACTTCTATGACAGACGGACACGCGGGACAACGATTATGGTGCACGCGGGACACGCCTATCATAATGAGACGGAAGACAGAGATAGACAGATTACTCGACTATGCAAATCAATGCAAAACCAAATGAAGTCAAAATGTATGCTTTTCGTTAATGTGGTATGCATGTACGAAAAAATATTGAATTGTATAGCAATTCGTACAATTGTATAGCCAGGAGCAGCCCTGCTAGTATGTAGTATGGAATCAGTGTTGCCAACTGGATGAACTATAAAGTCGCTACACTTATTCATATTCCACTACACTTGTATATCTGACGCAATCAGTTAACGCATGCGTCCTATCCAAAATAAAAACCACAGAACTTACAGTTTGTAGTTTGTGTACCCTTTAGATACCACAAAACTGAACTGTCACTGACGCATGAATCAAGATCATGCTAATTTTCAACCGCGCAACTCAGTAGATGGTACCCAATTTTCTAAATTTACAGCAGTTAATTTTTGAAAGCTGTCTTCTCGACCAAATATTTCTTAGTTGGAAACAATTATTTCGAAAAGTAAAAATAAATATCAATTTGTTCACGTACCTATAGTCACACTGAGCTCATGAACGATCATTCGCGACAGGTCTAATCCATCCTTTCAAATTGGAATCAGACAACCAATGTTGGGAAAAAGTTTTTTTTCGAGACTTTCTGTATTTTTTTTGAAAATGCCCCGTTTCCGTCAATTACAACTGCAGTAGCTCTTGCGCTCAGGCTACAATCAGATGGACTATCTTTCATTTCCACTGTAATTTGTTCCATATAATTTATAATACTCTAGACAGTCGAAACTATTACTTTCAAAATATTGGAGGTTATAAGTTTTATGAAATGAATGAAAATATCCAAAAATATTCTTCTCTTTCATCATGTAATGGCCTCAGCTACTGAGACTATAACCTATTGACTGTGCGTTCAATTATTCAAGTGTCAGCTGTCAGCTTCGAGTGTTGTCCACTGCCTCTTCTTCCATATTTTTTTCAATATTGATTATTTGTAGAAAACTCCGCTACTTTATGATCAAATCCGCTGCGCCGCTACCGTCGAGTAAATGCCGCTACAGTAGCGGAATTCCGCCACGGTTGGCAACTCTGTATGGTATGTTTTGACGCGTCGTAACCCCTACCTAACCTAAACCCCACTACTGTTCTGGCGCCGATGGGAATCGGCCAATCGCGTCCCGACACACTGTCAACTAAGATGAGGTTTTGATGCGATTTTGATGTACCTGCCCCAGAAGATAGCTATTGGTCACACAAACTGATGTCAATAGTGCAGTTATCTCGACACCATTAACAAAGTATCAATCCAGTTCACCCTTTCTTACTCTTCAAGTAATAATACACATTTAATATATCACGTTTTTTCTCACTCATTTTAAAGTTATAACTCACTCGCTCACTCACAACTCAACTTATAACAACTTATAACTGGCTGATGCGCTACTGATAATGCGAAATATGACTTGAGTGGGCGGAGTCTTTTAACACAGAACGATTTTATGTTTCTGCGCTGACTCATTTTAGTTAGCGTTGAGTACAATTTACTCCAACCATATGAAATTTATGGATATATACTCGATGTTTATTGCCCATATCTAGGACATTCCATTCAACTGATTTCCTTTTTTTGTATTCTATCTGAAATTGCATGTGATGTATTGGAAACTCTTTCTATTGCTTGTAAATTATTATTATACTTATTGCGAGTTACGACCCACGTTGTAAGTGAAATTTTACTTCTTTCATTAATTATATTGTGTAGAAATCCCGTGAATAATATCTGATTCGATCCCATTACGAACGTTTGGAATACAAATATTGAACGTTTGGAATACAAATATTGAATACATTTTTGAATAAAAAACTTTTTTGTTGAGAGTCGTGTTTTCATCAAATTTACAATATATAGACAAGGTTCACGTTTTTAATTTTTCTACTACAAATAGATTTTTTGATTTTCGGTACAAGTAGCCTAAATTATTATTAAAATTTTACTGTGAACAATTGTCGGTGATTGGTAAATGAATTTTCTCGTTCAACCAGTCACTTTGGTCTACTTTTTTGTAATAATACCTAATTATAATTTACGTTTGTACGTAGGTAGCTTTTGTATTCTCTTGATCATTTTATGAGTAGATAGAAAGGATACATTCTCATTATATTACCAAGGCGTTCCAATAACTACTTTCTCAAAACTACCAAAGTTAAGGATGATTTTTCCTAAAATTGAAAAATATCCAAACATTAATACCCCCAACACTATTGAATGCCATTTTCCAACAAAAAATGGCACCAATAACAAAACTACAGTCAACTAGATTTAACTCTAACAGGCATTTGTCTCATTCAATGGCCTTTCATCAAAATGACCGTTGAAAGTAGGGGCAGGTGTTCTCTTTCTCTTAATTCTACAGTAGCTGAGGAATAATAAACCAATCACAATAGCCAAAACAGCAATACCAGCGAGAGATATCATTGTTATAGCTAATGGCGAGAGTGTCTCCAGGGGTAGTTTTGTCTTGAAAACATTTTCACAGTCATGCCAGTTTGTCCAGACACCTCCCCATCTATCTGGATCAGCGTTCGAATCTCTGGGTAGATTCCTAGGCGGTAGCGCTGTCTTTCTATATTGCACTATCGCTTGTTCTAGATTGGCAACTATATTAGGACGTCTGGAAGCTAAATTGACTCTTTCACAGGGATCATCTTTGATGTTGAATAAACATGGCGATTTGAGCAGGTCGCACTTGGTTTCCTCCAGTTGATCCTCAACATTGACTGCATTGCATTTCACTGTTGCTTCGTTTCTCAGCTTAATAATGGTATTTTCATCTAGTAGCTCGTTACTGAAATTCCTGTCGATCTGTTTCATGCCCTTCTCTTTGATTTGTTGGTATGTTATAACACCAGCGAATGCGGTTCCTGCTTTGGAGTTCAAAATCAGTTTCTTGTCGTAATGGTAGACACTGTTGTTTCCTGGATCGGCAAACCACCTGTCCTTTTTCCCATTGGTGGTGGATCCGTAGATATATTTCCATTCTCCGCGTCTTATTGCGCCATAATGTGGGCCAACGTCGTCTATGTTGTAAATCAGTTCCGTCCTGGGGCTTTCCGCCCCTTCGGAGATGGTTTTCCACATGTCTAAACCGTCTATGTTTGATAGTTCACTCTTGTTGAGACCTGTGAAACGAAACAAGATGTTTGTGGTAAGATAACAGATTGAATGAAATCGACACAAATCATTATATCAGTCATCAAGGGAGAGGAATTCAAATATAATATGGATGGTCATATGAAATCTGTCTTTGAACCACGCTTGCATCTTTCATAGTAAGTCTTCGAAATTCACCATAATGACCTATGATCAAACTATGTTTTTATTTTAGTGAAGTCTACGTCAACTTTATCAAATAGTTCTGCTCAACTTTCAGTGTTGTAAAATATCGGGGTGTATTAACTACCATTGTGATAGTAACGTAAAATATTATTTTATTCATAGAGATCGAGGTCGATCACCCGTTTCTTCGGTGAAAAAGTGTTTGAACTACTTCATGACTGTCGGACCTTTGAGCGTCGTTGTGGTCATGTACAAGTTGGGCTAGACTAAACAAATGTATCTATTAAATCCTGCCGATCATTATACGCTTGGGGAAGTTAAAAACGCTGAGATGAGTTTTTTGTGGCTAGCTTTACTGACACGAGGGCGTGGAAGTTTTTGCGAGAGACACAGGGAAGTCGGTTACTGGAGTCCGTCGAGACGAGTTCGGGGGTCTCATCCCTCAGCCTTCGAGGCTGAGGAACGTGGCCTAAATAGGAGAGTTATTTTGTTTCAAAGTGCGTGGTGCGAAATTTAAGGAAAATCTGTAGTGAAATCGTAAGCCGGTATTGGGTAACGGGAAGTTGAAAATAAAAGTGTTGGTGTTGAAGACACACCGGGTCAACGGAACCGATGGTTGACCATGAACCACCCAAAGAGGCGTTATGTGAGTGTTTGTTATGTTTTTTACAAACCAGTTGATGTTTAGAGAGAGTTCACATATTATTTTGTCTGAGTTCACTTCCTATTTGCAAAGAGGTTATATATTGTTGGGTTCCTAGTGCGGGTTGTTTAGCTAGAGCTCATATTACAATTACAAAAAAAGGCCCAAATTTAAAGTTATACACAACTCTCCCTGAAGTAAAAGTAAATCAATCAATCGAGAAGAGAATAGTAAATGAAAAGTATTTTAACTAAGATTAAAATTCAGTTAGAGCATCGGCATCGTTCTGGAAACATATAATGAAAGAGAATATAAGTAGGTACACCAAATGACCAGATTTCAAAAAGACCGGCCTTCGTGCGATCGGCACACAAACACGGCAATAGCGAGAGGGTTACAAAATTGCTAGACAGTTAAATATTATTTCATTGGTGACCCAGATATATAAAAACCCGTAGATGTTACATCGGAGTCATCAGCAATGTTAACTATCTGACCTTTGATATCTGCAAGGAACACATTACATAGGTATACATTGAAAAGGCAGGGGCCGAATATCGTACCTCGAGGCACCCCGAATTTCATGGTTTTGAATTCACTGAAAGTTCCTTGAACCTCAACGCATTGTTATTTATTATTCAAAACAGTTTTTAATTTTGTCTGTGATGTTTTTTGTAATAGTTGTATCTGATAATATAAATGATCGTTTGTCATTCACTGCTAACGAATTTTTCCAGTTACTGACGGACAACTGTGTGCAACATACATATTCGAAAAGTTACCTATACAATAGTCAAAACTATATTTTACTTGTTTCCAATTTCCAAAATACATTTTTATTCAGTTTCCAGCTGGAATGCATGAACTTTTGTGGAACTTTGGAAAAAATATTCCGAGAGATATTGCTAAATATACTGCCAATGATAAAAATAAGTAAATCCATCAATTATTACGATAACCTTTCACATTTAGAATGAACTAAAAGCTTATATAAGAAATTGTCGAATTTGGGTTCATATTCATTTATCTAATCCCGATAATTGAATAGAAAATGAAGTAGTTTGAAATCGAACACAGAAAAAACCCTGTTGTTCAATATTTGAAAAATCGCGGACCCAAAAAAGACGAATTGAAAATAAAATTCAAAGTTATTGGAATCACTGTTTTCAAAACTATCAATATTTTTATCGTATTTAACCAGTATTTAAATGCCATTTACCTGCAGCTGAAAAAAAAGTTGGCAACCAATCTGTAAGATGCATAAGTTGGTTGGATATTCTTTGGTTCTTTTTGATGAGTGGACTCCATATTGCGGCTAGGTTTCTTTGAGCTCCTTCCCACGAAGAATATTTAGCCTGAAATTTGAAAAATTTGAATGAATACTTCAGTCACATTGAGAATAGGGCTAATAAGAAAAGGAGGTCAAGTGATCTATGCTAGAGATGTTTTGACGAACCACGTTTGAAAAAGTATTTGAAATCAAACTTCGATCATGATGCAAACCTAATTCTCTAAACATAGACAGAGGGAACAGTTTTATACAAAGAAGAGCTAGTCTTTAACAGTCTAATTCTTGTTCGTTCGGTCAGAAGCAGGAACGAACAAGTATCGAAAGGAACTTTTTTTAGTTCTGTCAGGTCCAGTGACGGCTCGTGCATTGGAGAACAGGGGAGGCTTAAGTCATATAGACTATACACACACAGAAAGTCCCGCCGGAGGCGCGAAAATTTTTATGTTGTTGCACGCTTTGCCTAATACTAAAGCTGTTCTACCACATTACCATCTTTGACATATCTAAAAACGATTGAAAGTTGTGATGTACAGGTAATATCGGTAGTTTCATCAATTTCCCATGCAAAAATAAAACACTTTCAATCTCCTTGCTTATATTTTCCTTAATAATATATGCCACACTGTCTATAAGCTCATTTTGGATGGTTTTTGAGGTGCCCGAAAAAACGCTACCGTTTAAGAAAGTGCCAAATTGTGAATCATATTTACCCCACACGAGGTAAATTTTTTTAATCGGAGTATCATATTCTAGACCACGTTTGGTATTCGGTTTGTACGGAAAATAAAACACAGGGTCAACAAAAAAGTTTTTCTCGTTTAATGGAGCCGGTTAACCAATCGCATTTATCGTACCAACTAATATTAAATCCACGACTTTGTCGATTATCTGACGATTTGAAATCAAATTTGGCTGAGGCCTTCCCAGAGTTTTAATAATGTAAAATTTATTATCATAAGATAAAGACTCAAAATTATTTGTCAGCAACCAAAAATAAAATCATAATTATTTGTCAATATCTTTTAATTTATTGCGATGAATAGCTTCAAATATTATGGGGAGGCTAAGCCTCCCTTGCCTCCTCTGACGAGCCGCCGCTGGTCAGGTCAGTGTCACATAAAATGAAAGTGTCGTTGATCCTCTTACATTCAAGATATTTGGTGGGATCCTCACTAGGTCAAAGGTTATAACTGAGATTTTCTGCAATTTTTCTCAAGGACAAAACACTAGCACTACAGGAAAATCTTTAAGGTGCTCTAAGAGCGGTGCCTGTGCAAAAGTACCGATTCACATTGGATTTGAATCGCTGGAGATTAAATCCATTTGGAAAAACGTTCTCAGTAAGTTTATTTCACATACGCACAGTTCTCCAAATGAAAGAGTTCTCAAACAGTGGAGTTCGAGGTGTACTGAGCTGAACCTCAAGATCATTAAAAGCCACAGATCGTCGTGTATTTCTGATATGTGCCGCTCTTGGTGGAATCAAATGTGTCAAGTCACTTGAAAACCTCCTGTGAAAGTATCTAAAAACGAGAGACAAATCGCCAACCTTCCATCGATGCTTCAGACCATCAAGGTTGCTCCAAAGAAGGTCTTATCTGAGTTCTATAAAGCCTCAGGAGTTGCTGAGGTGTGTACAGTTTTCTGGTTCGGAACAGTGTTCCAAGCTACAGAGAAGCAGCATTTGCAATTCCAGCGACATTGGTGTCCATTTTATTCCTCAACAAACTTATTGGAACAGAAAGCGGAATTGTCGGTTGGGAAACATTTATCTTTTTAGGAGAAAACCGAAGCAATTGAACAAGAGTATTGATCTAGAGTTTTAGGAGGGTTAATTGCATGTGCTAGGCTAGACTAACCGACAAAGTGTAGACTAGACTAACCCACAAGTCGGCTGTGGTGGAACACGCAATCAGTGAAGGAAACTACAGAATCCTGTTTGAAAATACGAAACTCGTTGCCCCCAACCAGGGATACCATAGCCGACTGGTACGAGAGGCAATAGAGATTCACAGACACACGGGTAATTTCAACAGAAAAGAAGAAGCTGTAAATCTCTACCGAATATGGAATCCCATTCTAAGAAGTTTAAGAATAGCAAAAAGCCCAACAGGTAGAAAAGGGTCGACGAATGTTTTTGACAGTTTACTCAATCCAGATTCAGGTATTATCACACCAGCCTACCTGAGTCAACATAAATACGCTTTACGTAGCCGTAATATCCAAGTCATGGGAGATTAACTCAGGACTGAAGAGGCTTAACCATTTTGTTCATGTACTTTGCAAGATTTTCCTCCAAATTCAATAACTATTTGCCAAGTTACTTTAATCTAGTTGTTCTTGTGATATTTTTAACACTATAATAATAGAAATGTAGAATTATACAGCCTCTTGTTTGACTTACCCCTCTAAACGGATAATTGGATCCATGATTTGCGTGAGTTCCTTCGGGCTGGGCACCATTGTCGGAGAAAAAGAGGATTATGGAGTTTTCTAGCATATGCTTTTCTCGCAGAGCTGCAATAACGCTGCCTACACTCTTATCCAGCATAGATACCATTGCTTGAAAAAGAAGAATACACGGGTACTAAAGTCTCAGGTATCGTACCAAAGTAATGGTAATGGTTTCCCTAATTTTTATACAGGCTGTCTCGTGGTTCAGTTGAAAGTTTAGAGAGTATATCCAATGTGGCACGAGCTATGTGGCACGCAGCGCTGTCCTGTTGAAGCCACATATCGTTGGTATCCAGATCATCCAATTCAGGCCAAAAGAAGTTGGCAATTATTAGCCTATAGTGCTCGCCGTTGACTGATGGCCTGACCAACGTCGTTCTCAAAGAGATATGGACCGATGACGCCGCCACAACCCGAAATCCGGGATGCATTGGACACTCTTGGATCTCATATGGATTGGTGTCGACCCAAATTCGACAATTTCATTTGTTCACGTGCACATTCATCCAAAAATGGGCCCCATCACCGAATATTATTTTTCTATGGATATTTAGGTCAGTTGCCAACTGCTTCGGAGCCCATTCAGCGAACACACAGAAGGCGAAGTTCAATTTTTATAACTTAACCTTAAAAAGTCGCTGCGGTGTTATAAGAGCATTATCATAAAATAATCCGTTCTACTGTAATGAACAGTTGTGAGAGAAGTTTCATTTATACTAACATCAAAATCATTAAGTACAGTACTGCGATTGATTTTGGAGCCGGAAACAATACATTAGATTCACTATTATTAATAATCAGACAGTGGTTTGAGGCTGCCCCTGTGAAAGCTTTGAGATCTTCATTTATTCAACAACAAGCAGTATCAGTCATGACAAATGACAACAAATTTGACAGATGTAGCTTCAACAACGGCCGTTCTTAATTGTCAAAGATCGGAAGTCCCTTTTGGAAGCCCCTTTCCAAAAATATATGAAAAGATACTTGAAATATTTGATTTACTCTTCGTTTCGATGCTCTACGAATATGGTTATGAAAACCTACGATTATCATTTGTACATAGTCATCAGTATTAAGCTAGATAAACGTAGTTCCATTCCTTGCTGAATAACTGCGCTTTTCATCTGATAAAAAAACTGAACGGAGAAAATAATTTACGCTTCCCATCTAACTTCAGTATGACAAGAGCAGCAATTCTGACTGTTATTAGATGGAAAAAGTCCTAATACTGAACTGAAAGACGGTAAAACATTACTGCAATTCAATATCCGTCGTGGTATTAGCCGAGAAAGCTCGATGCTCCGAATATGTTTCGAAACATTAGTTTTTTCAGTATATCTCTTCGATTCAGTGATCTAGATTGGTTGGAGGAATCCCGAATTGCGGAAAAATGAAAATTACCTGCATAAACACGTCTCTCGGGATCTTCGATGTGTGCAAACTTGGCAATTTCTTCGTCAGGAGCTTGGAGAGGATCATTATCATTTCCTGTGTGCGGTGCAAGATGGGCCATATACATGAACATTGGGTTCTTAGTGTCGTGCTCACGGATCAACCTGACAGCTTCTTCGGTGAATAAAGTGGTGCTGTATTTTCCTTTGGCGCTATAGTCTACATCCATGCCCCTTCTCATGTCGTATCCATATTCGGAGGTGTACTACGAAATACGACAGCTCAGAATAAAATAATATTTATTGATCCACAGACGAACTATCAACATGCTATTGGACATGGGAAATAACAGTTTTTAATCTATCAGAACAAACAGGGCAATACTAGTCGATATAAATAACATGTAAAAATGCAGGGCGTTTCAAAGAAAACTTGACCCCCCCTGTATGTTACAAACGGACGTGTAGGCGAAAATTTCAAAGAACACGTCAATTTTTCCTACACGCTTTATATTAGCTTCACTGGTATATATGTATGTTTGTTTGGATCGGGATCTGTATTTGACAGAATTATCGACATTATTATTGCTTGATCTATTCTCGGACAGATGGCGCTCTACGTAACCTCCTTGATATATCGACATTATTGCTTGATCTATTCCTGGGCAGATGGTGCTGTACGTAACCTGTTTGATATAATTCGAACTCACTTCACATGTATTTCTTCAGTTGAAAAAAGTATTTTTTTTATTAACACGCGCTTAAAACAATAACGAACAAAAAATACTAGTATTATTGTGAAAAAGCGACGGGCCCTTGATATACAAAAAATATGGCACAAAGCCATTTAAAAAATAATTTCTAACTTTTTAGTTCGATGTTCTTTAAAAGCGTGTTTTTTAGTCTTTCAAACTATATTATTTCTAGGGAGACTAATTCTGATATGGAAGTCATACCCGAAACTTCACCCTCTTGCGGTTAGCAACTAAGCCCCTATGGGGGGTCGAGTGATATATCATTTGAAAGGCCGTTTGTTCCTCAATTACTTCTGTAACTTTTTTCGAAATTGGTTCATTCGTTATTGAGAAATTAATTGTTGAACGTTTAATTTAGGAAAATACAGAAAATGCGCTGTCGCTCATTTTATTGAGGAAATCAACAAAAGTAATATCAATGGCAACACAATCAACGGATGAAGTGTTCAAAATGACCTCCATTTAGTTCTATACAATAATACAGTCTACTTTCGAAAGAGTTCTTTACATTATTGAAGATGTCCGGAGTCATAAATCGGCATTCCCGAACGATTAGCTGTCGCAGGCCTTCTAGATTTGTAGAATTTATTTAATTACTAGTAAACGTTTTGAAATGGATGACACTGTTAGTTTTTTCTGCACTGGTAGTTTTTGTTGAATCTAGTTGTCGCAGAACAAAAAGTAGCCACTGTCACTTCTTCACGAATTATCATTCAGTGTTCCAACATGGTTAATTCTACTGAAGAAAGAATAGAAATTGTTGCAACCTATTATCGAAATAATGAATGTGCTAAAGCTGCTGCAAGAATTTATAATACGAATCAGACCACAACTTGAGCCATCAAGGGGGGTTCAAGTTTTCGTTAATAACGCCCTGTATACTAAAATATCAAAACGACGAGATCTATTCAAGAAATTAATAATTTTTGTTGAGTTAGCAATAACGTTGCTCCATTTTTTGATATTCTTACCGTTGCATGAGTCATGTGAGAATAGTAGTCCTGCAGCCCCTGCCAGTAACCATAGTGTGTATCAAAACCTCTGTAAGTGGGAGTGTATTCCTTTTCGAAGAAACCCAAATGCCACTTTCCAATAGCATGCGTGGAATAACCATTTCTTTTCAAATGCTGCGGCAGAAGAGTCTCATTGAGGGGAAGTCCCCAAGGTTCTGGTTCCAAGATAACCAAATGCTGCATACCTGAGAATTTTTGAATAGGTAAGCTAACCAGTAATCATCATAATACCAACATAGATGAATACTGAATAACTGAAAATTAAATTGCTTATTTCGCAAGGATGTAAAGTATATTCCTATAGATTTTGTAAGTCGTGTGGATGACAACCAATCTTGATTTTTACGAAAAACTTGTAAACCTGATTAAGGTAGGCGGGAGCCCTGTTGGGGTTTTTGGGATCTCAGTAGAGCTTTCGATTGTTTCAATCATGACAAATTATTACTGAAATTGGAGACATATGGAGTTAGAGTTATTGAACTTCAATAGTTTTAAGCTGTTTACATAATAGAACTCAGTTTGTGAGCATAAACCTGGATGGCAAGAAGATTTATTGACATCTGGCAGAATCTTTCAGGATTGGCTCACTCCATGGCGTTTATTCACCCTTCAAAGGGTGAATCAAGCTTTGAAGCTTGATACCAAACAGGTGTTGGACTACAGTAGGGATGAACTACGATGTCTAACAGGCCTTCTTAGAGGTCACTGTCTTTTGAATTATCATATGCAGAGACTTGGACTGTCGGAAGACAGTGTGTGTCGCCTCTGTTTGGAAAATGATGAAACAGCAGAGCACATACTTTGTACCTGCCCCGCTGGGGACCAAATCAGGTTTTTAGAGTTCGGCAGAGCCGTACTCTTACCATCTGACCTGAAAGACCACTCACCATACAAACTAATCGGCTTCGTTAAGAAGCTGGGTCTATTTGGTCGAGTGTGAATAGGTGTGAGTCACAATAAACCCTTGCGGGTTGCGGTGGAGCGTCGAATAGACCCGCTCACTTTGGACCTAACCCAACATAACCTATGTGAGCATAAAACAGAAATATTATGACGAGTAACTAATAACTAGAACTCGAAATGGGAGTGCTGCCGGGGTCAATTTTAGGCCCTATCCTCTTTATAGTCTACGTTAATGATATAGAGAAATGAAATGTAAACAGCATACGCTGACTATTTTACGTTAATTTTATCAGATCTGAATGATAACCGTCTACTAGAAGAAATGTATGAACAAACTGATTACAAATTCCTCACACGAGTACTTTCATTCAGAAAATTGTCTGGATAACCTGATTTTGTTGAAAAATATTAGAAAATATCTGTCATTTCAAAGTTTTGTGGTGTGGACCATCGGGGGTAGTCCGTTCCTGACTTTGTAGCACAACTGACTCCTGCATGAAGGCTCATCAAAGCAATTCATTTGTTTAGTCAATCACCAAAATTTAGTTGATTTTGAACATCAACTTGTAAAATTATCGAAGAAAAACATTCTTCATTTTGTAACTTCGAGGGCCCCTAACTTGGTAACGAAGGATTTTGGGAACAAAAGTTATCTGAAGTACTGATTATATTTTGACTCCATCTATACATTCCCGAGAGGAAAAGAGGAAGCCCAGGGACACCCTGTATAGATTTTGGATGAATCTAAAATTATTTTTAATGTTGAATATCATTTTAGCTTACGAAATTGTAACTCTTGAATCTCACGAGCCAGTCCTGAGGAAGCCATAGATATTTCTACCACAACCTTCATTTTCTTTTAAGTGCAGAAAAATGAAATAGATCGATTAATCGTATATATAATTACGAGGAAACCGACCACAAAGAACATACTTTGCATTTCAGTCCTATATTCGATTACAAAACTCGGTCAGAAAATTCCATAGCGGCAGATCAGGAACTGGTCTCTGCAGCAAGATTGCGGTCAATGTTAAAGACATTGAAAAGTAATTCGACCGAATACACGGTCCGTGAACATGACGCAATTCCAATCAACAGGATTCGAGGTGAAAGAGCGAGCGCTGAAAAATTAGTAACCTTTAAGGTGAGACGATTTCGAATGGTCACGGCGACCATACCAAATTGATTGTTTAAGATTGGACGAACATCCCAAAATTATCTGACAGAGATTAACGTGATCAATTGTGGAAAGTTCTGGAGGTCAGGGCAATGTCATCAACTCCGACCAAGAAATTCCTGCAAAGGAAGACTGAGAAATATATAAGAAATGTGAAGAAAGATGAGTTAACTAGAAATCCGTTATAACATCAGACCTAAAAGTTAATTTCCCTGACAGAAATTTCTTAAATCTTCTTATACAGGGTAGCTAAACGAACACGAAATGAAACAGTTAACAGGAGTTGCGTCAACAATTCACAAGAAAGGAGTCACGTTGATTTTTGTATTCGTGACTCCCTCCACCCCAAAATAAGGGTAATAATTGTCTCAAAATATATTCTAAGAGTCTCAATGTACGGTTTACAAAAGTGCAACACGTGTTTCGACTGTCAATAGCTTTCTCAAGCGTCTTCATACCAACTGAATTCTACCTCAGTGCATCATATAACAATTTGAATATGACTTATAAAAACAGAACACAAGCACTACTGAGAGACAAATCTCCAACCTTCCTTCGATGTTCCAGACTATCAAGGTTGCAAGTTATGTTTGTGTCTCCAATCAGGCGAATGCCTCTTTTCTGGATGGAATTCAGCTATCCGAAGACGGGGATCTGGAAGATAGAAAGAACTTACCTATAGAAGTAATCATGGAATTACTAAGATGCCAAATGAGGGACTGCCAATAGGATTGCAACTTTCATCAGTTATAGCCAACATATATATGGAGTGGTTTGAAACTCTAGCCATTGGAGAAACCCACAAGAAGCCCCTAGTCTGGTTGAGATACGCTGACTACACCTTCATAATATGGAACCATGGGAATACAGAACTAGACACCTTCCTGAAGCACATCAATAACGTATTGGTGAAGAAGACCGACACTAAGCGGGAAACATCTGTATACTGCAGAGGACAATATCTGAACCACGAATCCAACCACCAACAATCGACTGAAAGAGGAATCATCACTCTAGGATACGGCGCTTTCGGTCTGTAATACGAAGGAAGCTCTCGAAAAGGAACTAGGCATCATCAAAAATGATCTCCAATGGAATGGTTACTCCAAAGCGAAGGTGGAAGAGACTTTGGCTGAAAGACAACAAAAGCCTCGCAAGGAAGAGAAGCCGTCACAACCTGTACTGCACTTCCCTACATCAGAGGATTGTCGGAAAGGATAAGAAGAATTGGACCCAAGTACAACATCAGAACCTGCTTCAGATCCGGAAACACCATCTGTAGCAGCCTCACGAAAACTAGGCAACCAAACGCGGACTGCGATTCCAAGAATTTCATTAAACGGATACTCTGCGAGTGTGGAAAATCTTATATCGGTGAAACGAAGAGGTCATTGACAGTTCGCATTGCTGAGCACAGCGAGGAGCAAATTGGAGATAGCAGAGCATGTTTGGACTCATCGCAGAAAAGCGAATGCGAGCTTATGTGACGGTCGTCACACAGTAAGTGACTCTATTCGATTCTACACTTTAATCCGCGAAAGTTCATTGTAGTTTACACCTATTCTCGACTAGAGATTGCAATTCGGCAAAACGGGATCCCGCATTACCGCGGGATCCCACTGCACTTACCAATCCACTGGATCCCGCACTTTGCAAACGCGGATCTGCGAATGTCGCAACTTTGAAATCCTGATCAGCACCGCGACGGGAAGACAAAGAGTACAAGCTCTACCATCAAGGCCGGAAATTTCTTTGTGTGGTCCAATGAAGTCCCGATCGTCGGTTAAAATGAAAGTCAAAAGTCTTCGACGTCTTTCTTCATCATTATAATGCCAGCTTGCATCCACCAAATCAAACAACTGATTATTTGAAACAGAAGAACATGGTGATGATGGCTGATTGCTGTATTCTCCTCCATCGCCTAACTCTTTTATTTACCTAGACCGACAAAATGGGTGGACCACGATATTTTTCACCTCAAAAAGCCATTGAAACCTTCCAAAACCTTGTTTTTGGGGGTGGTTTCGAGAATTGAGTTGAACACAGGGGAAGTGAATATTTTGTAAAACAAGAAACAGTTTGCTCAAAACACCCTTCTTCCTACACTCAAACTCCTTAAGATAGTACGAATGGACTCACCTAAATGTATGGGGTACTTTCCGGTCAAAAAGGCTGATCTAGATGGAGTGCATAACTCTTGTGTATAATGACTGTTGAGAATGACACCATTGTAGGCTAAAGCATCTATGTTGGGAGTTGGTATTTGGTTGCTGCCATGGAAGCCGACATCGTTGAAACCCTGAAACACGGTCACTCAAAATAGATGATCCAACAATAACAGTGGTACATTTTCCCGGTTCTCAACTCTAGGACACTGAGTTCCATTTCAATTTTGACAAGATATTTTTCTCGTGAGAATGTATATGTAATATATAAAGGAGGTGTATTAATATTCCATACAAAGTTGCAACAAATATGATTCTAGTATTTTCACACCGTGTTGGAAGCAAGAAACTCTTTGGAAGGTTCGAAATAGATGGATATTTCAATCTAGCAGACCACTATTATAATATTCATGCAGTCATTGTTCACTGTGGTTTTGGCGTTGAATTTGGTCATTACGCCTTGGTCAAAGACGAAACGGACTGGTTTAAATTTGACGATAGTCGTGTCACGAAGTGTTCTGGCGATGTATTGAATCTATTCAAGCCTCTGGAGACACCCCACATTTTGTTTTATGAGAGAGAGGACAATGGTAGATCAAGATCTTCAGATAATGTGGTGGTGCACGTATTTCCGGGTTTTCCTGCAGCTGAAAAAGCAAATGCGCCACTGGAATCAATGAAGTCGCCCCGGAGCGCCAATAAATTTTTTTTGTAGTATTTATTTATATCGGTGTTTTATAAAATGGAAATAATATAGACGAGTATTATATGAACCACATATACTGTAACGAAACTGAAGCCTTCCCTGACCCATACCCCACACCTGACACCAAATTGTAACAAATTAAAGAATTAACTGTCTTAAACAAATTTATGTCTAACAATATTTCACTATCACAAACTAATTTATATTTAACACTTAGTAACTAACAATTTATTTCCACTATTTGAATTTCTTGTTTAACCGCACGATTCACTTTCTAAATTCAACTGGACGAGAAGCCGACCTTTTATATCGGTAAAGGTCCATCGTAGAATTCTGTAGTCTGTTCGGTACTCGCCTAGACTTTTCGAGGCTGTTTCAGGCTGCATTCTTTCGCGGTGATACATGTATTTATTCGATGAATTGGCTGGCGTATGGGCTTCAGAGTCGTTACAATACATTTTCAAGTATCAACCTATTTTATACCTCAAAAATTTATGCAGCTGGTTTTTTACGATTTTATAATCGTCAGTCCAATTTTTTTCGGGGGCTGCGAGCTCTGCCAAACTCTATAAACCTGATTCGGTCCCCAGCGGGGCAAGCACAAAGTATGTATTCTGCTGTCTCATCATTTTCCAAACAGAGGCGACACATGTGATGATTCAAATGACAGTGACCTGTAAGAAGGCCTGTTAGACATCATTTGTGGGTTTTTAATTAGTCGCCAAAACTAGTTCGATAGTTCTAGAATCATTTTGGATAGTACTAATTGAAGAAACCCAAACACTAATGATATTAGTTAACTAATGATATTAGTTCAATAACGCAGGTTCTTGACAATTCCGGAACAATAATTGCCTGAACCCTAATGAGTCTATAAATATGTTGTATGTTTACTTGCCAGTGCGTTTGCGGGCTTTATTATTAAAAACGCCTCAACTGGTGTGGGTGTAGTTTTCACTAATTTATTTGGCGAGCTCCCTTATAACATTTAGTGTTTGATTTCGACTGGTTCAGAAATAAAGAAGTTATGCGAGTTTGAGGAATCACGTGAAATAGTAGAAGGTTTATTTATGGTGCATATTTTATGTTGTAATTCAAAACTTGCCAGAGTAGATCGGTTTTTTATACCAATTCGTTTTCAAACTCCCATTTTGTTGTCATACTGATAATATAATTTACAAATCACTTTAGAAATAGAAAATAAGGCAAGTGTAGCTTTTGTTGATACATTAGTAATAAGGCAGGCTGGTTTCATGTTATGTCTCATCCAAGGTTTGTCCAGAAGAATTGAGTTTTGTTCAAAATACTTATTCAAAATACAAAACTAACCTTATATCCTATTAAACAAGTTGAGAAAACTGTTTAACAATGTTAAAAACTGGTTTGTAAAGTGAATTACTTGATCTGTTGAAAAGTTACAAAATAATACTTGAAAAACCGCATTCAACAACATAAAAATGATTGCAAACAAAAAAAACGAAAACAAATCCAATGAAACCGCTTCAGCATTACAACATTTAATTGTAAAACGTGATTTCAACTGCGGTGGCGTGCAAATTACAGATAGAGAAAGAAATCAACACAAAGAAGTTTTTGTTTTTATTTTTCCTGAATTTAATTTTAAAACTGTTTTTACCAGTATTTTATCACTCCCTTCATGTAAGAATAAATGAATTATAATCATTCAAAGTAAGCTTCTGCTATAGATTCACACATTTTTTTGTATACAGATAGAGAAGCAGAAACTTAAACCTTACTTTCTCAACAGATATTTTCTGCTGAAAACTGAAAGTACACTCCTTTCAATTTAATTTTCGCTGATATGTTATCAAGGACACTGCAGTATATATGTCCAAGCAATTAAAAAGGTAAGCAAGTAAGTTTCAAGTTTCTATTCGGTTTTTATATTTGACCGTAACTGGGCATTTCAGTTTTGAAATTTATGTGTGTATGAATCTCTGAAGATTAGCCAGTTGCGTCAGCGAAACGTCGGGAAAAAATTCCAAAAATCGACTGTCTTCAACCCGAATAAAAATAGTCACAATGAGAACCTCGGCCGCAAAAGCCTTAACAATTTTGACTTCATTTCTGTCCTTGTTCACACTATCTATCTGGATAATCAGCAATAGTTTTTAATATATTCGCAAAAAAGAATCTTGTTTTTGTTTAACTGAATTGATTATAACTTTCAAATTGTTTCTTTGCTCAGATCGTGAATTACTCTGGATAAAATTACGAATTAAAGGATATTTCAATCATAATCTTCAGTCAAAGTAAACTCAAATTTTTCAAAATGGCTTTTGTGAACTATATTAATTACGAACATATGTTACATTATTGTTTACAAAAAGAACTGAAAACAATTATAAAGTACCAAATCATTACCATGCCATTAAGTATAACATGTTGTGGAAATAGTACACAAAAAACGTGGAAATTTCCTATTGGAGATTTTCGATGACGTTTATTTTTGTACTTTTGCAGAACTGTGGACAATTTGCAATTGATTTTTTATTTAAACTCCCACTACAATATTTTCTCTGCTGCTTCCAATGGGCAAGGTTTATTAAACACTCTTTATAATGCTAATATTCTCCTCCACTATTTCAAATCGGCTTACCATATCATCAGCAATGATGACAATAATATGGGGCTTTTTCTTTTCCGTGGAACCTGAATCAACTAGCACAAAAATCACTGGGAGGTAACGAAACCACATCATCTTGAAAAAGTTGAAGTTATTGTGACATTATAAATATTAACGATTCAAAATCAGATTATCCAACCGTTTAAACGACGAATGTATTCAAAATAAAATCATTGCGGTGGAAAACAACTAGTGGTGTCGATCGGTGGAGATGGAAATAATACAATCTCTTTTCGAGCAAGCTCATTAACAAATCATTAACATGTGTTTATATATAAAAATTGTAATAACTGTTTCATAGAAAAATGTGTTCTAATCAATGATAATTAATTCATTCAGAAATCTAAACAGACTGGACTGATATATCGCGGAGCAATAAATAGATTTGCGGAACTTTTATTTTTCTAGCGTTCTGAAACAGTACAATTTGACTGTCAATTTCCGATAAATATTCAATAATGGTAATTATTCAATAATGATAATTCCTTCCAGGAATACACGTGGATAAACCAGTCACTCTTTTATATTATACTAGCTAGCCGCCCCGGCTGATACTAAATATAAACAGTCAACTAGTTTAGTAATCCAATAATTTATCTGAAGAAAAGTTTGTTGGTAACAGGATCAATTTTTTCTTTGAAAAAATATGTTTTCTTGCCGACGTTTCGAATATAATTAAATTCTTCTTCAGGGCTCTGTAACAATGAATTTTCATAAACATACCTCCCACAAAACTTATGCGATTATTATCGTTTCAATTTCACAAGAAATAATGAGTTCTTGATTGAATTATCTTACCAAAAAGTAGTTTCTTCGTGTTGATATTACTATTTTAAAAACCATAGACATATTAGATACATTTAAAAAAAAAAACCACATGAAACAAACGAATTGCTTTATCTGTGATTCTGATAAGGTGGTGTCTGTTTTTTAATCAAGGGCAGAGAGAAAAAGAATGAAAGAACGGTAAATTATTCAGGTATTTTACTTTTCAAATTGAAATATGCAGTGTTAAGGCCATAGACATCTCTTCTAGTGTTAACACTATCGCATTTGAGGATATATATTTTGCTCAAGAGTCTTTTGAATAAATATGGTTGAACATCTATAATAGTTGGATGATCAAAATAAAAAATGTGTCCATATTCTCTTCCATGTTCAACGAGGGCTGTGAGGTTTTTTATATTTAGTTTCTCAGAGTCTCTCATGTGCTCTAAAACTCGTGTTTCAAGATACCGTCCGGTTTGACCAACATAACGTTTGTGAAACTCACACAGTTCAATTTGTACACTTGTGTTTTTGTTTTTTGTTTCGAGAAAAAATGCTTTCCAACTGTATTTTCATTTGAAAAGGCGACTTTGATTTGTTCGGTACTGAGTGGCACTCCAAGTTTATCAGATACATTTTATACAAATGAAATTTTGTGATAGCTGGATTTCAACCGTGTATTTTGGGAAGAGGTATTTCTTTTTTTACTAGGTAATTCTCATATAATTGGAGATTTTTATTATGGAATTCTGAATTGGAAATTGAAATCAAGAGCAAATGCCAAATTTTACCTTCCTAGGACTTACCAGTACGGAGGAATAGAGGCGAATGTGTGTTAAATACCTTTCGCATTTATAAGTATATATGACTCTTACTCTGGTCAACAAGTAGTGCCTTCTATGTCAAACTTTTTTCTCCACCAACGGCAATACTAACTAAATGAAGCAATCAACTTCCTAAAAAATGTTTGAATCCGGTATTCAGCCGGATGGGCGTCAGTTATCCGGTACTGAGCCGTATAGTATTTAGGCCACTGGATAGTTACCGGATATCCGTTTCATAATTTGCCCTTAGTGCATTATGAGTACTACTTTGTGTGATTACTGAATGAATCTCTTAAGCAATACTAAGTAAATAAAGCAATCAACTTCCTAAAAAAATGTTTGAATCCGGTATTCAGCCGGATGGGCGCTAGTTATCCGGTACGCCGGATAGTATTTAGGCCACTGGATAGTTACCGGATATTCGTTTTATAGTTTACCCTTAGTGCATTATGAGTACTAATTTGTGTCGCTACTGAATGAATCTTTTAAGCAATACTAACTAAATAAAGTAATCAACTGCCTAAAAGAATTTTTGAATCCGTTATCAGCCGGATGGGCGTCAGTTATCCGGTACTGAGCCGTATAGTATTTAGGCCGCTGGATAGTTACTGGATATCCGTTTCATCTCTACCAGATACTCTCAGAATGAGCGAGTTTTCTCGTGGAGATAAGTTGTGATTATTTTTGTAGTCTCTGTTACTCTTATAATAATTATGTTATCCTTCGATTGTCCAATTTATTTTTTCTTTCTTGTTTTTTCAAGGCCCACCCACTATACTACCTAGATCTCTCGCCACCCGACTACCGTCTTTTCAAGCACTTTGATGGATTCATCACCGGTAGAACCTTCGTCAATCAGGACCAGAGAAAAACGGCTCTCGTCGACTTCTTCGAATCCTGAGCACACAATTCTTATGCTGATTGAATTAAACAAGTTGTGTTACATTAGCAAAAGTGCACTGATTCAAATGGCACTTATTTTGATTACATTGAATTAGTTCACTGGGAGATCACAGTTTAAAGTAAAATCATAAAAACCGGACCAAACCTATGTAGGCATTGGCTATTTGAAATAAAATTACTGTACCGCCAAGAAAGTTGTTCAGGGAGATAAATACTCTGAGGAATGTTCAAATTTTTTTTTTCAATTTATTTGCGGATTATGCAATAATTTTGTTTGGTCAAGGGAACAGTTACATTCCAATAAAAATCACTCAATTGGCTACAAGTCATCAAACCGATTCAAAACAACTGTTAAACAATAGATTCAATATAATCAACGAAATATTTCTCATAAATAATTACAGGCAGATTACAAACGAAATTATAATAATAAACAGAATTCCTACAAATAACAAACGAGTCATTATTTCACAATTTCTTTCAATTTCGATTCTAAATACTGGACTCTCTGCACTAGTTTATCACTGGGCCTGTATTCTACATAGGGAACAGTCACTATCCTGAATCCTTGGCTACGTAGAATGTTAGTGGCGAAAACGTTGATTCCAGTAGGTTCCACTCTGCCACGAGTCATGTCATGATAGTCATACGTCAAAATTGCAACCCTGCAATTTGGAAAATACATAAAGATCAAGATACAAAATCAGCTATTGAATTCTTAATTTTCATTAAAGTCAGATAAAATTGTATCGAAATACCATTTTATGGTGGATGCTATTTATTGATATCAGTACAAGTTGTTTGTTTTTATATTTAACACTCGTAAGTGTTCATGTTCTTGTTGGTGATTGTGGGAAACGATTTTGCTGACTCACGCAAGTTTTTGAGAAACAGGCAGCAAAAATTATCCTTATAATTCATTATAGGCTAATAACTGATGATTCATGAATTAAAAAAACTACTGTTTATAACAATATTCAGAAGTATAGGGGTTTGTATCGGCGTCTACAATTTCAAAAAAAATTGTTTTATTCTACGACCACTCTCGACGGCGTGTATAAAATCCAAAATGCCACGTGTGGTCTTTGAAACTGGTATTGATAGCCAATTTTCTCTGACCAACATTGTTTTTGTAATAGTTCTCACAGTTAATTTGATGTGCTGTACGTTGATGCTTTTGAATTTCCACACTCGTGTTTATGCTCCTGTTGTTTCATAATATTCTTTGTCAGTGGCAGTCAACTAAAACTTGAATGTGAAAAACTACTTTGGTGACTTACACAAGTTTTTCAGAAACAAGAAGATGAGGGGAATGGAACACGATGATAATTAATGGTTCATGGAATTTCAAAGATCTTCTTTGCCCTTCAAAATTCATTTGGACTTTTCCTAACTTTTGCAAGCATCTAGAAGTAACAGGGTAGCTCGTCCACGATTTCAAGCAATCTTTCTTTATCCTATAGCCATTCTACAAGTTGTCTTGAGCTACCCCAGAGTCTTCTGGTGTGAATAACTCGATATGCAATGTGTGTTCTTTACAACGAGTTATGATAGCTGATTTAGTTCGACCAACATTCTTTGTATCACTGTCCTCATAGTTAATTTGATATGCGGTAAGTTGCCCATTTTGATTTTCTACACTAGTATTCATGCCCCTGTTGTTTCATAATATTCTTTGTCAGTGGCAGTCAACTGAAACTTGAATGTCAAAAACGATTTTAGCGACTCACGCGAGTTTTTGATAAACAAGAGCACAAGGAAGATGGACTTTTCCTGACTTTTGTAAGCATCTAGAAGTATAGGGGTTGCTTGTCCACGATTTCAAGCAATCTTGCTTTATCCTATAACCATTCTCCAAGTTGGGTTGAGCTATATACACTTGAGTTTTCTAATGTGAAAAACTCGATGTGTAATGCGTGTTCTTCAAAACGAGTTTTGATAGCTTTTGGACTTTTCCTGACTTTTGTAAGCATCTAGAAGTATAGGGGTTGCTTGTCCACGATTTTGAGCAATCTTGCTTTATTCTATAGCCATTCTCCAAGTTGTGTTAAGCTACACTTGAGTATTCTAATGTGAAAAACTCGATATGTAATGCGTGTTCTTCAAAACGAGTTATGATAGTTGATTTAGTCTGACCAACATTCTTTGGTCAAAGTCCTCCCATTTTATTTCGTGCATTTCAGACTACTCAGTTTCTATAATGTTGTTTTTATATTTGCCTATTATTTATTGAAGCAGGAAAGTACTATCCTCAGATATCAGAATAACAGCGGATAACAGAAGGTACAGAACGTAATGTTTATAAATATATAATTTCAAAAACTGATCAACTATTCGATTCTTACCTCCTTGCTTCCTTATTGAGTTTCACTTGTTCTAACGGCACTGGACTACATTTCTTATCTAACAGGCATTCAGCGTCTAAAACGAAAAAAAAAGTTATAAATAATAATAATAATTGTAGTTTATTGAACAAAACCACAATTTTGCTCAACTGGCTATAGAACGAAGTCTTTACGCCCATGTAACAAAATTGCTTCAAAATTACATAGCTTATTTTACAATATTACACAAAAAAAAATCTTATTTGAATATATAAAAACTAAAATAATTTCTAACAGTGTTTCTCTTAGGTGGCGATGTCTCACTCTTGCAGGGGGGTTTCTTCTCACAGCATACTTTCTAATGATTTCTACATTGTCGTATGTTCTAGCAAACAAATTGTTAATCACTTAGTTTAGTGTTTGATTGTAAGCCATTAGGGTGTCATACAATTTCAATAAAAAACATAACAAGAAATATAAAGAGATATACTATTACAATTATCTGAAACTATCAACCCTGATACAGTCACCTCTGCTCCTTTATTGTTGAGCCAGAACAATAATCAAACTATAAAAAAATTCTTCAAAATCCCATGATTCTACAGTTAGTTCAATGACTTTTGCTTACCAATGAAAAATCCTAGCCCAGTATTAACTTTCGTCCTTATGAGTTTTTCCGACTGTATTAAATTCTTCAAAGTGTCCAAAACAGAATTCACCATTTGGTACTTCTCTTTGGTGTGCGAAATTTGTGTTATCCTTATTGGAGAATTTTCCGATATCCTGGGACCTTTGTAGTCCTTCTGTAAATACTGCGCGGCACTGTCAATGTTCAGTAACTTCAGTTTGATTGAAGTGCTGGATGAGTCCTCTGAAAATAAAAGAAATCTAGTTTTTTTTACTATGAAGACAAGCAAGGCTGACAGAATCATTGTCCTTTGAGAGACATATTTACACTAACCAGATTTTGTAATATCTTTCAGAGTAATATTTTTTTCCACGCCAAAGCGATAAAGAAATATATGAATTTACGAAATGAAAAAAAAAAAATGTAATATACCTGCCAAAAAAATATAAGATACATTTTACTAATATTCTTACTGATGATATAAAAATCTCAATGATACCTGATAACTTCTTGAGAAACTCCTCACTCAGCACACTGGATACTTGTTCATTAGAGGCCTTATTCAGTAAAACCAGAGACCAAACTATTTCTAGCCACACGACAGGTGATGTAGCTTCTGAAGGAGTCAGTTGTGGTAACAGTACCTAAACCCCCCCCAAAAAATTGCATTAGCATTTGAAAGAACCACATCCCCAACTTTGCTGTGACAAAAGTCCAATGGGGTCAAGTCTGCGAAGTTTGAAGCTATATCTTAATCTGTTAACTAGAGAAATGCTATATTGAACTGAAAAATCATAAATTAATACCTCAAAGAACCTCTCAGAATTCGTGGGAAAATAGTTAAGCACAGCCAGAGTCATCAATAAACTGAAGATATCTTGAGGTCTGCAAGAACTGTCATTTTTAACCATCCATTCACTGAGGCTATCCAGTAATCCTACAATTCCACAAATTCAATTTCAATTTTTTGAATGCTAAAAAATATGAAACACCCACCGGGATTCTTGTACTTCATAAGCCCCAGACTGGTTAAAATCGATCCTACAACTGAACCTTTCTTTATATTCTTCTCAAGCGCTATACAAATGTCACCTCCCACTCTCGATAACAAATTTTCATCTGGAAAATTCAAAGTAGCCATACTATATAACAAGTCGCTGCATTGCTTCAAATTCAGCTGGTCCGTACTTCCTGTAATATTGTAAGCCAAGGCTCTGAGTAATAAAATGGATCTTCGCTTTCTCAACGACAGAGTTTGCATCACCTAGAAGACAATAATAGAAAAAATCTTGGTGAAATTGGTTGAAATTTTCAGTTGGATACTTCCCAAGTGTCTATATGAATTATAGAAGAAAGATTGTGAATTGAGACATACATACTTCATTTCTTAGGTTGACATTTTATGAATATTTTACATGTGTTTTTGATAGTGAAATGTAATTATGTTCTCAATCATTTTCTCATGACATTACTTGTACTTTATCGCAATACATTAATATTACTAGGAAAAATTAAGCAACCACAAAATAAATTTGACTTAGCTACTGATTTCCTCACCTTGACCATCTGTGATAACGTTATATTTTCCACCATTTTAGCAGCTTCATCGTCAGCAGTGACACTTAGAACTGTAGTCAAGTCGTCACTTCGAGACATAATAATCTTGGAGGGTTTGTGACTTCCTCCTGATTTTGTTAACAGTTTACATAATCTTATAAACCGTGAATCCCTTTCGAAGTCAGCTAATTCAACTTTACCAGCATTTGTCCAGTCGGCCAGTATGGATACGACCTAAAATAAATTTCCAATAACATTTCACAAAGTAAATACGGTTAGATAATGGAAATGGCGAAATTCAATTCATTGTTTTTATATTTAACACAGAAAACTTCTGCATGGGCTTAATATATGTAGAGGGAAAAGAACTGAATAACAAAATGTGTAAAATACAACTTACATAGGATTTTTATTGATTTTTCTGAGGATTTTCATCTTGAAAAATTAACTTGTTCCAAAGTCCATATTTTCATCAATATCGGTTATATTATTATAATAAATGAATTAGTTTATTATAATGAAGCATTAGAGTGAAGAAGCATTTTTAAAGACTTACAAGTAAAGTTATATTAGAGTTGGCTATTACAAATCAAGGACATAATAAAAATAACTTTCATAAGACTCAAATAACATGAAATATTCAAAGAATGAACAGTAAAAAGCAAAGTATCTAGAACTGTCTCTTGAGGCACTCCTGACTGTAAGTCCAAAAGATACAGCAATTTCTGCCGATAGGAACTTTCTGTTTCCTGTTCTTCAGATACTTGTCGAGAACTTTTATTCCCATTCTGACAAGCCAACATATTCAGAAATTAATTATTTCACATCACAATCACCTTTAGAGCATGTCTCGTAGAAACCCCGTTACCCTGCGATACAGATAACAGTTCATCAATATTTTTTGCTTTTTCCAGTCTGGCATCTGTGTAGGGTGTTCTCAAGTTATTTTCCTCCGAATTTAAAGACGCAAACACCTCTGCAACCATGGCGCTATGATTACTTGGACTGCCAATTACACTGTTCAATTTTCCCCTGGGCTTCAAAGAAATATCTTCAGCATCCTGGGAATTCTTCAACTCCGTGAAGGGTGGCGATAGGGCGAAATTATTGAAACGTAATAACGAAGGTAACACATTGCAGCATTTTGAAGTGCTTGGAATTATGCGGCTCAGTTGGAACATTTTCGAAAAATTTGTGTAACTACAAGAAAACTGAGTTATGTTTCTACTAGACAGACATGGAATTGAATAAGTAATTGATGTTACCAAAATCTGTTCCTTGATTATCTAATGAATTTAGATATTTTCCACTATTTTTACAAAATGTATCCACATAACCAAAAAAGTTTCCAAGTGTTTGACACTTGACAATTTTGATTTGAAAGTGACAGTTGACTTTTCATTTCGAAATACATTTCACTCAGCTATGGATATTATTCCAGTACCGTGACACTATAGGTATATACGGGTCATGATTCCTACTCAAATACTCCAAGCGAGACACTCGTGTATAAAATTCACAAATACAAATATAGGCGACAAAAAGTTGATTTGAAAAATCTTTGCAGAGATCTGATTACTTTCGATGGATAAACATACTTTTTTTGAAGTGAAGGGCCAAAGTTACGATTAAAGATATAATAGTCATGCTTCTCTGAATTCCACAAAATTTTGCAAAGCCAAAAATAACGCAAATAATTTGAAATATCTCAACTTTATAATAATGATAATAAATATCAACCTTTTATATACATTCAAATAAGTATATATTGATAATATTTTTACTTTTTATGGAAACTATCGAACGTTTCCATGAAAAGAAAAAGAAGGTATAGTTTTTAGTAAAATTTTCAGAAATCATTGAATACAGGAAGACTACTACTACCTCATCATGGAGATGTAAGGATATATTAACCTAACAAATATAATAATGAATGATAGCGATGATGAATGGTCTTTGACGTGGAGAATAAGGCTATTCTTCCACTTGACGAAACGAATATCAACAAATATGAAAGTTTATTTTCAGACCTATTGTGTATAATTTGAGTACAAGTAGGTAAATGTAGTTTCAAGTAAATTTGACTCATTGGAGGACATTTTTTCTTTATCAAGTAGACTGTTTTCAATATTCAGAGACAAAAGTTAGTGACTGAGTTCTGGCCTAATGAATTACACTATAATAGACAAAATATTTTTCGAATCCACTTCTGTTATAATGAAGAATTGATTTTTACATTTGTGTAGAGGAAAACCGCAACAAATGAATAAAAAATTAATATTTGAAAGTGAAATTCCCCATAGTAAAAATCAATGCTTTCCTCTAGTTTCACATTCGGAACTATAAAACTCAGATGTCGCTTCCTTCGTGGTCCACCCTGACGAAAACATGCATTTTCTATGAAACAGTGAATCGGCAAAAATGGTGAACTTTTCAGATGAGCATAAAGAAACACTACATCTGTCAACGTTTTTAAAGGAACTTTAAGGCAAACCTCACTTATATATTTCCTGTTTGAACCACGAGACACCAACATTATTGGCTAGATAAATAGTTCGAATGATTCAGTAGATAAAGATAAGGTTATTTTTGATAATTATATTTACGCAGCAATCAACCGTATCTAATGTTTATTTATTGTATTTTATTGCTACGATAGGATGTTGATTAACAATTTATGAATCGCCAAATAATCATATCTTCTAATAGATATTTCTGATATAACGGGCGATTCACAAACGCCAAATTCCGTAATATTTTGATGAATGTTTTTTACTACTAATAGTAAATAGTAATGAGAAGAATATATTTATTTCACACTGTAACTTATTGGGGCCAACTAAAATTTTTCCCTTTCTACATTTGTAATAGTGTCAGTAATTGGTGAATATTTTGAGAAAAGGTCAAAAAACTCACTATTTATTGAATATATAAAAAATACGGGTATTATGATTCAACTCACGAACACTACAAAATATTTTCTGATCATTATCCGAGTGATTCCTGAAGATTTCTTCATTATTTTTATTGTATTATAGTTTCCACAGAATCAGTTCTTGTTTTGAATATCAATTCATCTGGAACTGAAAGAAATATCCGTGTTTCTAGTTTGATCAAACCTTAATCATTACTTCTATTTATATAAAGGATCACTGCTAGAAACTGAACGCAATAAAACTTTAATTACAGCCATATAATATATTTTTTTAACATGTGTTTATACTTCATAAATTTTTTATGCTTCATAAATTTGTTTCATCTTTTCGAAAGAACACTATTTCAAGGGTATTCGTTACAGTTTCTAGTATCTTTCAAACGGAAATATATTACGCAGAATCATAAAAAGTCCGGCATTTACGAATGAAAACGAACTACCAACTAACCAAGGGTTGAGGTAACAACCTTATTATCTCCATTGTTTTTTATTTACTTCAACAAGGTTTCGAAATTGAAATGAACAAAAAGTCAAGACCAAGCTTCTTCAGAAGGTTTCTGTTTTCCTCACTTCTAAAAGCCCAGATGCCTTTATAAGACAAAGTCTTCAATTAGTTTTGGAGACTTCTCTCGCCATTTTATCAGTACGATAAGTAATATGGATCTTTTGTTGAAAGTTCACCGTTGAAAAACAAGTCTCCCACATCGACTTCATGGAACTTAGAAAGTCTTCATTCAGAACCGTTCTATTATACCTGCAATCTAAATATTTTTTTCAGCTCCAATCGAGAGCACATTTTTATCGAGTTTGTTCAACAGTTCCAACAACGAGATCTGTCCGAGTTTATGCAATACTTGCCAAGATTTAGTGTAGATCTTTGTCAGTATTGACATGGTAGAGGATGCTTTGGTGTTGAAATTGTATATCCTTCTCATTTTCCCAATTAGTATCTTCCGTAATAACAATATTTCTCTGTTGTTGGCTAACTACTAAAATAGTATCTGAAAATAAAATATTAGTCTAGTCTAGTAAGGCACTGGGATATTGAGGGAAAATATTTCGTGGTCCCCTCTCTACACAGTTGGGCTAACAAAGAAAAAAACAAATTTTTTTCGATAAAATTTGATTTTATTATTCAACATACCTGTTGATTTTGATTACCTGTTGATAGGCTCTAAATTTCTTTCAAGCGAGCATTCTCTTGAGGTCTGAGAACAGCGAAAAGTAGCTGGGGACCAGATCTGGAGAATATGATGGCTGCGGAAGCAAATCGAAGACCAATTCATGTAATTTTCCCATCGTTTTCATTGATTTATGCCACGATGCATTGTCGTGAACAACACTGTCTTTTTCTTTAGTTGGGGCCGTTTATCACGATTTTGCATTTCAAACGCTATAATAACTCTATGTTACAGTCAATGTTGATTGTTTTTCCCTTTTCACTCCTGTTAAACTTAGCAAAATACTTCTCAACGGTTGAGTTTCCTGGTGTAAAGTCCGAATAATGTTTTTCAATCCAAGTTTTGGCTTCAACAGTTTTTTTTTCGCCAAAAAGCAATGCTTTCCATCCATCTGTTCAAACTAACAAAAGTTGCTCCAATCAAAATGTGTTATCCCACAAACTAACAGTCCGACAGCTGTGAAATTTGTACAGGTGTCTTCTGAAGGTTAGGGTTAGCTAAAAATCAGATGGAGTTAATACTAGCAGTGCAATCTGTATGTTAGTATGCCCTCAGAAGTAGGTTCGCATCTGATTACCACAGGACTGGTTACTCTTCTACAACTCGTTCACCGTCAGTTCTTCACACCAGTCAAACTTTTCTTTTTACACACTGAAGTTATCAGGTTTTCAAGAGTTCGTAGTTTCTCAATGCTCATTCTCCTTCTCACATCGGGGATTAGACTTACATAATGAATATTGAAAAACCCAAAGGAAGAAAATGTCATGTTGAGGGGATCAGTAACTCAGTCGTGAATGACTCTCAATGATGTTTTTTGGTTACGTGGTTCAGTAGCAGTTGTTGTTAGATTCCTCTGCAGTATGGGAGGATTGCTGTGAGGAGAGAAAATAATTCACTTGTGGAATTATGATGATTGGGGAAAAAATAGCCATACACAGAATAAAACGTGGAAAGGAACAACTGCAGTAATTAGTGAGGTTGAGGTATTGGGTATATTGGAAAACCGTGAAAATTCAGAGAAAGAAGACAATCGGGTGGGATAGAATAGGAAAACTAAGCGATACAGTTTCAAAACCATATAAATCACATGGAAGAGGCACAGAAGACAAGTTTTAGGGGAAACCGAGTATGGTTGTCTCACGGCTTGGTTGTCACAGTGGCCATATGGGAAAATTGAACGAACTAAAGAGTTTATCGAACAAAATCAAAGGATCGTAAGAGCAGTATCTCCACCCTAACGTCACTTCAGTTCTGTGTGAGGAAGATACGTTCATTTGTTTTTTTTGGGACAGCAATAGTATTTTTTTTTGCAAATATGTCGAGTCTCATAAGTGTACTAGAATTTTCCGTAGATTCTTATCATTGCATGTATTTTTGATGTGACATCTGTGGTTCATGATATCACTATCCGTTTTCATGAATGAATATTGATTCAGAGTCATTTCAGGGGGTTATGTTTTGAAATGTATTTTGAAGCTGGTTGCCTCAACTTGACGTGTGCTGGTAGTCACATGTGACAAGCAGCACCATATACAGGGTGTCCCTGGACTTCCTCTTTTCCTCTCGGGAATGTATAGATGGGGTCAAAATATCACCAGTACTTCATATAATTTTTTTCCTAAAATCCTTCGTTACCAAGTAACGGGCCCTCGAAGTTACAAAATGAAAAATGTTTTTCTTTGATAACTTTTCAAGTGAATATTCAAAATCATCCAAATTTTGGTAATTGACTAAACAAATGAATTCC